CATCGATTGAACGAATCCAGATAAAAAAATATCCAAAAATAAAAAAAAAAAGAATAAAGTAGGGAAAGTGACAAAGTGACAAAGTGAAAAATTTGGCATCAAGAGATAAACAACTAAAAGTAAAAAAAAAAAAAAAAAAAAAAAAAGCCATTACAACACAATAGACAAAAAAGCTGAATCGTACTTTCATCAATGGTGGACGTGGTTCCTCTGGTAATTCAAGAGGTGGTCAATAAGCAGGGTCAAGGTCGGCACTCCTTGATTATTCTGCGACCAACCATCAAAACATTGAATAACAGAAAGCACAATAGGTCAATTCTCCACAACATAATCGACAATGAGGCTGAATCATACATTCATCAATGGTAAACGTGGTTCCTCTGGTAATCCAAGAGGTGGTCAACAAGCAGGGTCAAGGTCGGCACTCCTTGATTAATCTGCGACCAACCATCAAAACATTGAATAACTGAAAGCATAATAGGTCGATATAACAGTGTTGTAAGTGGTAGTTGTAGTGGTAGTGGGGTAGTAGTTGTGAGGTAGTGGGGTAGTGGTTGTGAAATAGTAGTTGTGAAGTAGTAGGTGAAGTAGTAGGTGAAGTAGTAGGTGAAGTAGTAGTTGAAATCGTCGATGTAGTTGAAGTCGTCTAATCTGAATAACCATAATGATAAATCCCTTGAATTTACCTTGGATGAGATGTCAGGTTTGGGACATTGAGTGGGATATTCATATTGATTATCTCGTTTACAAAGGAACCTATGATAACTAATGTTGAAGATTTAGCATTGACCTCGACCCGGTCGTGTATTTTTTCTAGTAGAAAGTTAGATTAACAACTTAAATATTAGATGCGTTGGTATATGAAAACTTACAATAAGTAGGCTTTAATAATAAAGGAGTTAATGATGGCTTGATATGACTATATTCCTCCAAGGTTAAGTCTAGGGGGTGTTTGTCTATTAAATTGTTAGATCAACAACTTGGGCATTGGGTGCAATGACATAAGAAGACTTACTAATAGATAACTGTAACATGTTTAAAGGGATAATAGTAAAAAAATTTGAGGGAGATTGGTTATGGATAGTATGGTATGGGGAATAGTTGATCATAGTTGATCATAGTTGATAGTAGTAGATGGTAGTAGATGGTAGTAGATGGTAGTATATGGTAGTATATGGTAGTATATGGTAGTATATGGTAGTATATGGTAGTATATGGTAGTATATGGTACTGGATAATATTTCTAGAGGTAAAAAATAAAAATGAATAATAAAATTCGAGAAAAGTGAATGGTAAAAGAAAAGAAATAAAAATCAAAAAGACGGGGGAAATCACTTTTATTTATACCTCCTTACAAATTTCTTCAATAACAATAAAACTTCTTTTTATGTAAATTTTTTAATAAAATAAAAACCAATATATCATTGATCCTGTTGTGGATTTTTTTAACTATCCATTTTTTTTTCACATGCTAAGATAAGTTTCTTAGAAAGCCAGCCTAGTATTATAAAGGTTCATACTCCTCATAGAAGTATAAACTAGAAGCCATACAGACATTCAACAATTTGGGGTATTGGATATAATTTTTGAAAATATAAAATAAACAATGAATTTTAGAACGAAAAAAAAACATGACAGATTTGATTTCGGGCAAGCTTAAATGCAAATTGTAAAAGGGAATCATGGACAAGTATTTGTAGATGGTTAATCTAGGTTCGTGATGATAATAAAAAATAAGGATTAGGAATAGGGTTGTGGCTGAGTTATATTAAATTTTAGTATGACCACTAAAAATCCTGTCTCCCAAAGTTTTTTTTTATTTTTTTCTTTTGTTAAATCTCTATATTTTTTTATTCTGATTTTTTTTTCATTCATATTAATTGATTTTGATATTTATTAACGTTTTAAATATAATTCCATTAACAGTCTTAATACCTTATTTTCTCGCTCTGCTATACCTCTCTATTTTCCGAATTTTTCTTTCTTTAGACATCGAGGTTTACATTAACAACTTCCCCAAATATGGCTTAATTGCAGCTCATAAGAACTATGAGTTCTACAATATAAACTCTACACCATCCTATTAATTGATTTTGTAATTCCTTTGAGTGATATTTAGGCTTTAAATTTCTTGAAAGTTACTCCGATTAGTTTTAGAGAGCCGATATATCTATCACAAAAGATATCCTCCTCAATCGGTTTCTATCATCTTCCAGCAAAAGATTCTTAGCATGAAAGTGCATAAATGTTTTTTAACTTAAAATTTTTTTCAATGAGAACCAACAAAATAACTGTTTCCAACTTGCTCCACTTGCGGTTGTAGCTTTCCTTTTCAATTCCAAACTTTTGTAACCATTAACCAAAATTGTTTATGACCCACATCAAACTGAACAGTGGTACTCAAAATCTCATCAAAGTCCTATTCCGGTTTTTTGATAATGTAGAAAATTTAAATTAAATTATAAATGTACCATCAAATCGATTTGGATTGTTTTTTTATTTAGATCAGTTTCAGCATGTTCCTTCTATAATTTGATGATTCATGAAAATATTGGTACGAAGTATATATTTTATAAAATTAACGGCGAAACTGTAAGGTGTGGGGGAATTTTAGTATATATTTTTTGAACTAAAGATTTACTTCTGTCTATCCACATACAACCTTACCTTTTACTTAAACACTTATACATTTATTATATGAGAACAATTATAGTTTCAGATGTTTCAATTGAAGAGCCTAATTATTTCTGATAACAGTTATGGAAGCATAATCCGAATTTTTTTATTTTGGACATATTAAAATATATTTTAATTCTTTGCACAGTATTAAAAACAGTTCCAGTAAAAATATATCCTAAGTTTCCTCAATGTTCTTTCTATGTAAAAATTTTAAAAAGTCATTGGCTCCTACTTCTTCTATATTGAAGAGGAAATGTTAAGCAAAGAAATTGGTTAGTAGTCTTTTTCCTATTAACTGTAATTTTTTGTAGTTTATTTGTGACTTCAATAATACCATACCTCGAAAATGTTCAGGAATATGCAAAATTCACACAAGTTAAAAGAATCTTGGAATTATTTATTTGGTGATATCTTACCAAGATAACTTTTAAACTTTGCCAATAATTTTATTATGTCCTGGTACTTTTGAATCTCGGGTATCAGTCAATTCTGAGTCAACTTCATCAGTTAAAAATTTGGACTATCTAGAATATCCTACTTAAAATCACTTTCTATAGTATACATATCTATTGCTAGAGGCTGTGATTTCAAGACATTAATTTTTTTTTTGATTCGTAGAAGCGAGTGTGCAGTCTTATTGAATAATTTAAGACCTAATGATATAACAAGACATATATTTATTGCACTACTCAAAAAAAGCTTCACAAATACCATGATGTTAAAAAGTTTTCCTCTTTGCTGTGTGTTTTCTTTCAATTGTTATAGAAATACATAACATCAACATCGGCGCTAGCGATTTTATTTCTACTATATAGCTATCCGTTTTTACAATATACTTTTGAGTTGACTTTAACATTTGAATCGACAAAAGCCCAAAAATAAGCCATGTAGATTAAGTGTTGTATATAAAAATCTATTGTTTTGTCAAGAGATCTGAATAGGCATAAAGTAAAGGTATAACTGTTAGGCAAAGACAGCTTGGCGCAACGAAAAAAAAGGTTGAAACAAGAACAATAACGCTGGGGAGGTTACCCCTATAACCTCCCTTCCAATTTGGTCTTACGAGAGTTTAAACTTCAACTAAGGATCCAGGGTACTACGGCAAACAGAATGGTCGACTCTTTATTCAGTATAATTAAACCCAGAAAATTGCAAGTTTCATCTCCAAAAGAGAAGACACAGAATGAAAGTGGAAAGAGATCCAATAGTTTTGAGAGGATAAAATTTGGTTCTCCCAGTTCATCGAATACTTGAATCAGGGCTAATCGTCAGGAATAGCCGTAAGAAGGAGATCGAAAGAACTGGTGGTGAAAGAGACAAAGAACGATTAAAAGGATATCATTGAAGGCCATAACCATGAAAACAGTAAATATGGCTCTAGAATTAAAGTGAAAGCAAACCAAAAAAAGGGTACTGAATTAATGTATATAAATGATATATAAATTTAAATATAAATTTATATATAATTCCTTTAAAGGATAAATTAAAGATTGAAAATATAGTGATTTAACGAAAGAAAAAAAGTAAAAAGAAAAAAAACTTTGGGAGACAGGCTTATCAGTGGTCATACTAAAATTTAAATATAACTCAGCCACAACCCTAATCCTAATCCTTTTCTTTTATTATCATCACCAACCTACCAAATAATTGTCCCTGATTCCCTTTAACAATTTGCATTTAAGCTTGCCGGAAATCAAATCTGTTTGTTTTTTTCGTTATAAAATCGATTTATTATTTTAAATTTTTTTAAAATAATATTCAATATCTTTAATTTTGGAATGTTTATAAATAGCATAAGACTCTTACTTCAATTAAGAGTATAAACATTTATAATACTAGGCTGGCTTTCTAAGAAACTTATCTTGGCAAATGAAAAAAATGGATAGTTAAAAAAATCCACAACAGGATCAATGATATATTGGTTTTTATTTTATTAAAAAATTTCCATAAAAAGAAGTTTTATTGTTATTGAAGAAATTTGCAAGGAGGTATAAATAAAAGTGATTTCCCCCGTCTTTTTGATTTTTATTTCTTTTCTTTTACCATTCACTTTTCTCGAATTTTATTATTCATTTTTATTTTTTACCTCTAGAAATATCATCCAGTACCATTTACTACTATTAACTACCATCTATTACCATATACTACCATATACTACCATCTACTACCATCTACTACCATCTACTACCATCTACTACCATCTACTACCATCTATTACTATCAACTATGATCAACTATGATCAACTATGATCAACTATTCCCCATACCATACTATCCATAACCAATCTCCCTCAAATTTTTTTACTATTATCCCTTTAAACATGTTACAGTTATCTATTGGTAAGTCTTCTTATGTCATTGCACCCAATGCCCAAGTTGTTGATCTAACAATTTAATAGACAAACACCCCCTAGACTTAACCTTGGAGGAATATAGTCATATCAAGCCATCATTAACTCCTTTATTATTAAAGCCTACTTATTGTAAGTTTTCATATACCAACGCATCTAATATTTAAGTTGTTAATCTAACTTTCTACTAGAAAAAATACACGACCGGGTCGAGGTCAATGCTAAATCTTCAACATTAGTTATCATAGGTTCCTTTGTAAACGAGATAATCAATATGAATATCCCACTCAATGTCCCAAACCTGACATCTCATCCAAGGTAAATTCAAGGGATTTATCATTATGGTTATTCAGATTAGACGACTTCAATTACATCGATGATTTCAACTACTACTTCACTTACTACTTCACCTACTACTTCACCTACTACTTCACAACCACTACCCCACTACCTCACTACCTCACTACCTCACTACCTCACTACCTCACTACCTCACTACCTCACTACCTCACTACCTCACTACCTCACTACCTCACTACCTCACTACCTCACTACCTCACTACCTCACTACCTCACTACCTCACTACCTCACTACCTCACTACCTCACTACCTCACTACCACTACAACTTACAACACTATTATATCGACCTATTGTGCTTTCAGTTATTCAATGTTTGATGGTTGGTCGCAGATTAATCAAGGAGTGCCGACCTTGACCCTGCTTATTGACCACCTTTTGGATTACCAGAGGAACCACATGTACCATTGATGAAAGTATGATTCAGCTTCTTTGTCGATTATTTTGTGTTGTGGTGAATCGACTTGTTGTGCTTTCTGTTACTCAATGTTTGACGGTTGGTGGCAGATTAATTGAAGAGTATCGTCCTTGCTCTTCCCTATTGATTCCCTCATAATTAAGTTATTCGGTTGAGAAATTCCAATATAAAGAAGTCAAATTTAAAAATAATAAAGAACTATCGAGTTTCAAATGAAAAGCCGTCCTCCAGCCTTTTTGATTTTAATCTTTTTTCAATTACCTTTCATTCCTTTCAGCAGTTTTTTTTTTTTTTTTTTTTTTTTTACCTTTACAACTATATCACCATCTTCGACTATCAACTATTATTTATTATTATCACTATTATCACTATTATCACTATTATCACTATTATCACTATTATCACTATTATCACTATTATCACTATTATCACTATTATCACTATTATCACTATTATCACTATTATCACTATTATCACTATTATCACTATTATCACTATTATCACTATTATCACTATTATCACTATTATCACTATTATCACTATTATCACTATTATCACTATTATAGATTATGATCTATTATTTACCATACCATACGAGATTCATACTCATTATCATCCTTGTTTGCTTTATAATTATTACTTTCAACATGCTGCAATCGTCTTTTGGTAAGTCTACTTATTCCAATGCACCCAATACTTAGGTCATTGATCTAACCCTTTACCAGACAAACATATGATTCACTGAACCTCAAGACACTACCGTCATCCTTTGCCATCATTGATTTTATTATTGGTGCAATCGTCTTTTGGTAAGTTTACTAATTCCAATGCATCCAATACTTAGCTCATTGACCGAACTCTCTTTTAGACAATCATGCTATTCTCTCAACTCCAAAGCTATACAGTTATGGTTCTCCACAATAGCTTCCTTTATCGACATGACAATCAAAGTAACTCTATCCATCTATCGTTAATGATCATGCATACAACATTGCAGATACATGTTGGATAAACTAATGGAACTGGTAAAAATCGTTTGTGACAACCTGCAACTGCTTTTGCAAGCAACTACCACACACATCCACACACATCCACACACATCTACACACTCCCACACACTCCCACACACTCCCACACACTCCCACACACTCCCACACACTCCCACACACTCCCACACACTCCCACACACTCCCACACACTCCCACACACTCCCACACACTCCCACACACTCCCACACACTCCCACACACTCCCACACACTCCCACACACTCCCACACACTCCCACACAATCCCACACACACTCACATTCATACCATTACCTCACTACAATTTGCAACACCATTATATCGATCTTTTGTGCTTGATGTTACTTAATGTTTGATGGTTGGTCGCAGAATAATCAAGGAGTGCTGACCTTGACATTGCCTTTAAACCAGCTCTTGGTTTACTAGAGGAACCACGTTTACCATTGATTAAAGTATATTTCAGCCCCTTTGTCGACTGTTTTGCGTTGTGGTGAATCGACATGTTATGCTTTCAGTTATTCAATGTTTTGATGGTTGGTCGCAGATTAATCAAGGAGTGCCGACCTTGACCCTGCTTGTTGACCACCTCTTGGATTACCAGAGGAACCACGGTTACCATTGTTGAATGTATGATTCAGCCTCATTGTCGATTATGTTGTGGAGAATTGACCTATTGTGCTTTCTGTTATTCAATGTTTTGATGGTTGGTCGCAGAATAATCAAGGAGTGCCGACCTTGACCCTGCTTGTTGACCACCTCTTGGATTACCAGAGGAACCACGTTTACCATTGTTGAATGTATGATTCAGCCTCATTGTTGATTATGTTGTGGAGAATTGACCTATTGTGCTTTCTGTTATTCAATGTTTTGATGGTTGGTCGCAGAATAACCAAGGAGTGCCGACCTTGACCCTGCTTATTGACCACCTCTTGGATTACCAGAAGAACCACGGTTACCATTGTTGAATGTATGATTCAGCCTCATTGTCGATTATGTTGTGGAGAATTGACCTATTGTGCTTTCTGTTATTCAATGTTTTGATGGTTGGTCGCAGAATAATCAAGGAGTGCCGACCTTGACCCTGCTTATTGACCACCTCTTGAATTACCAGAGGAACCACGTCCACCATTGATGAAAGTACGATTCAGCTTCATTGTCGATTGTTTTGTGTTGTGGAGTATCGACCCATTGTGCTTTCAGTTATTCAATGTTTTGATGGTTGGTCGCAGATTAATCAAGGAGTGCCGACCTTGACCCTGCTTGTTGACCACCTCTTGGATTACCAGAGGAACCACGTTTACCATTGTTGAATGTATGATTCAGCCTCATTGTTGATTATGTTGTGGAGAATTGACCTATTGTGCTTTCTGTTATTCAATGTTTTGATGGTTGGTCGCAGAATAACCAAGGAGTGCCGACCTTGACCCTGCTTATTGACCACCTCTTGGATTACCAGAAGAACCACATGTACCATTGATGAAAGTACGATTCAGCTTCATTGTCGATTGTTTTGTGTTGTGGAGCATCGACCCATTGTGCTTTCTGTTACTCAATGTTTTGATGGTTGGTCGCAGAATAATCAAGGAGTACCGACCTTGACCCTGCCTTTAGTCCACTTATCAGATTACCAGAGGAACCACGTATTCCATTCATGAAATTACACAGTTATGTTGATTACATTAAGATATTGATATTCACCTATTTCGATACTAAGTCTAATAAAGGATGCGAATTCACCATATCGATTAAGTTACGAGAAGCATAAATTATGATAATATATATTCCCCTATTGAATTTTTTTTTATTTTATATTCATGTTTTAAAGTACTCCTTTTTTTGGATAACACAATTGTGAATCTGATCCAACTTTTGAAATGCAAATAATGTTTCTTAATTTCATTTTTTTCCTAAAAATGATGGTAGTTCTTATTTACCTACCGCTGTTTCTTGTCGAAATCTTCTTAATTTGACTTCCTAATAGGACTGTCTACCTTATTAAGTCATATGATGAATGATCTTGTAATTGCTTTTTTAACCACACATTTTAAATTCCCCAATTGAGCAATTGTAATATTTTATTTTATAGTACCGAACTGATCTTGGGTGTCATAGTCTTTCATTTTTGACCACTGTATTAAATTATCCTGGTACCCTTATATCAACAACTTTTATTGTCGAACCCCCAACATAAACTTTAGTCTTGATATTATGTATTAAAGATATTAAGGTGGTTTCGTTTAATCATTATTTTAGAAAGAAGACCCCTTTGACCCTGAATGCTCTTTATGCAATTGCATTAAAGATATTTGCAACTAAGACCATATAAAGTAACATTGATTGTTTAATGAGAAATGGACAAATTAATTGATTAAGAAAAATTAAAATTTATGTTTCATTGTAAGAGACCCCAAACGCCTTTATTATTATTATTATTTTTTTTTTTTTTGATTCCACAGATCCTGAATGTATTTACAAGTTTTGGTTTTGCGACTTTCTTTTATATCAACTTTCTAAAGTTAGCGATATCGCTTATTACTTTAAATTATTGACTCTTAACTCTTAACTCAAATTACCTATATAGATATATCTTTAAATCCACTAAAATTTATTTTGCTACCTGACCACATTGATCAAATTAAATTTGATGCTGAAACATAATCACTTTTATTTTCTCATTGGTACAATATCTGTATCAGTGAATTGACGGATTTTTTTTTATTTATTCGATGTAAAAATAAAATGGAAAATATGTGACCTTGTATTGAAGAAGCTTCTTTTAGAATCCGGTTAGATATAACTGAAATATTATATCATTTAAATCTCTCGTTTTTTTTTTTTTTTTTTTTTTTGCCCCTACCATTTTTATAAATTTATTTGTTAAAATATTTTTTTTACAATTCCAACCTTTGAATCTCTTCAACTTCGTAATGAGACCAACCATCAAATTATAGAAAGTTTAAAATAGAGAGTTGAACAGTTGTACAATATAAACTTCTATTTTATTCATGCATTTCATTATCACTTGAATTTTGAATTTTTTTTTCTTTCTCAAATTGTTGTAACTCTCATTAACACTCACTGTTTTGTTTTATAAATGTAGAAAAAAATTCATAACAATATTAATTTTTTTAGAATTAATTATATTTAATGATAATCAACCATATTTAAATATAATTAAATATAATTAAATTATAGATCCGATTTTATTAATTTATACATATAAATAAATATTCTAACATCAAGAATTTATAAAAAAAATTAAAAAACATGCAAAAAGTTAAGTGCCTCGAGCCGGATTCGAACCGACGATCTCGTCATTACTAGTGACGCGCCTTACCAACTTGGCCATCAAGGCTTCTCGATTTCTTGCATGCATATGCCTGGGCTGGCACTAAATGGTGAAATTTCTATTCAATATTTAATAAAATATGCCTATTTGTTGAATAATATTTTTATCAATGTCTGTTTTGTTTATTATTTATCAATGATAACTTTATTTTTTTAATTTTCGTTTATTTTGGATGATTTATCATTAATTGTTGACATTTTTCCACTTGGGTTAGGGTTGACTTATGAGGGCAAGGGCTTTTTTTTAGTAGGCTTGCCGAATTTGGTAATAAATGTATCTTTTTTGAAGAGTTTAGTGAAAAAGCTATTTATAGTAATATTCATGAGGTTTTTGTACTAGCCGTGTAGTGGGTTAGGGTACTGTCATACAAATTTTCAATTTTGTTGTTGAAATATCATGATGACCTGTTGTTGGACATGAATTCCGCAAGGGTTAGGTTCAATAAAAATTCCTTCTTTGGGATTTTAAGGTTTTTTTTTTTCTTTACTGAGCACAGGGAACCGATTATCTGAAATTCAGATCAGTGCTATGGTGTTTGTTTCTTCATTTTTCTTCACCTGGTTTTGTTTTAGAAGCATTCTCTCTATATCAGTTAAAAGTAGAGATTTTAAAATGAGAAAATAAACAATTATTAAATTTATTAAAAATTATGAAAGGATATGTAAAGAAATAGTCCAATATATCATTTCTTTTCAATTATAAAAGTCAAAAGATATCCCAAATGACATGGACCACCCTATGTAAAAGTTTTATTTTTTTTATTGTTTAGTTTGAGTGGGGATCCCTTTATGTTTTTTTTTTTTTTTCGTAAAAAAAAAGGAAAAAGAAGAAAATATCTTGATTGGCGATAATGTTTGGTGATATCTAAGAATATCAAAATAGAAATTTTTACTCTGTACTAGAAAAAAAATTTATGGAAAGAATTTTTCACATAATTTAGCAATTTTTATATATATTTTTGAATGACAAAAATTGTTAACCATATTTAAAAATATAGAAATATTTATAACCATTCTATATATAATCATAATTGCAAATGCGTTTAATCACGATTTTCCTGTTTTCTGACTTCAATAAATGCGTTTAACATCTTTCTTGAAAGAATAGGGGTTACTGTTGTATCATGTTTACTGTGATACGTTTGTTTTTCGATTTCTTTCAAAAACCTGTCCACAGTCCAAAGATAGCTATCAGGATCGTCGCAGGCAGCACGTTTTAGTTGATGGTTGTTAAGAATAGTCAGAAGAGCATCTCGATGGTAACTTCCAGCAGGGTTGTACAAAAAACATGTTTTTACCTCGGAAGCATCTGCAGAGCCAGCAGCAAGGAGCTCCTTCAGCTTATATCTATCAGACGCCCTTTTTAGTCACAAAATTGTTCGTTATCTCTAATGGATAATTGGAATGGCACGCTCATATAGTAATCCAATTCTTGCTCTTTTAAGTAATTAATCGCATCGTCTACGATGATATCAAGGAGTTCAATTGGGGAGATTATTTTTCTAGGATCAGGATCAGGGCGCCGAGCAGCCATCCTCTCCTCAAAGGTTACCCAGTTAGGTCTTGACCTTGGACGTGGGCGGCGGAAAATTTCCTTATTGTTTTTTTGAGTTGAAATGAAAGCCAAATATATACCAGATAAGTAACATTTTGGGACTGTTTTTAAAATGTAAACATCTATAAAATTTTCCATAACAACCTCAAATTCCCAGATACGATCGTAATAATCAGCACCAGGACAAGCGATATTACAGCCAATATAAACGTTCCAAAATCAGCTGTGAAGACAACAGATTTCATTAATGAATTGTTTTTTCCAAATTTCTTGACTACCATAGCGAAGGAAGTATTTATAAGAGGGGTCAAAGATCTTGTCGATATTTCTATAGGTTACGTTGAATTCATCGATCTTCCTTGTTTCATAATCTTTGATCAAGTTTTTTAACGATTCTACTTCATGCCAACATGCTTCAGGAGTTAAGGAGAAATTTGCATTTAAAATGGAGATAGGTGTCATATCAAGAGCAGTAGAAAGGGCTTCCAATTCTTCAGTTGATATGTCACGGATGGAAGGATATGGAGATTTTTGTTTTAATGCATCAAAATTGATAAACTTAGATGTAGCTAAGTAATCAAAAGTGTAAGTTTTTTTTTCTTTATCCTGATTCTTTTCGTCAGAAGGTTTAGGTTTGACTGAAGACATTTTTAATTTTGTTAAAAAACAAATGGTAAAGAATCTCTTTCTTTTCCAAAAGTTGTAAGTAGATTTATGATTTCATAGATCTTTTGATAAGAATAAATAAATTTGATAAAGTTATTAAAAAAAAAACTTTTAAACCTGAGTCGAATTTAGTCGAATATAACTGATATAGTGATATCCTGCAAATATGACTATTTTTATTTCTATCAGCTCAGTTTTTTTCCAATATTATCTTTGATCTTTAGATGGATTCGGTTCCCTCTTCAGTAATATCATATTGTTCTAGGCTGATGATTGTGGTGATTTTCAGTTTTTATTTTTATTTTTTTCAACCCAAATTACATAATCAATTAATTTCTACCGTTTAACATACTAGCCACTAAGGCCACTGATTACCCCTCCAATGTTCCTACCCAAGCATTTTAAGGTGAAATGAAATGAAATAAAAAATTAAAATAAAAATCAACATTTTTTTATTATTTCCTTAGAGACTTGAAAACGTAAAAATGTGTCAAGAAATAAAAAAACAATATTATTTGTAAAAGTTTAGTTATTTAGTAAACTGAATGGTTCTTGAGTGTCAATTATACCATGAGATCTTGGCAATAGAATGACGTTGTTTTTGTATTCAGTGGATTTTAACTAATCAAAGACGCTTAATTCAATATTTAACTGATTTTGATTGAGTGCTTGAAATCTGTAATATATATTTATGGTAATTATAACATGAGAAAATAGTTGAAGAAATATTTAAAGATTTAAAAAATGGGAATTGTTTGAAGCCCAAAGTAATTTTTTTAGTAAAATTAAGCAGTGAAATAAAAATTACTATGTTATTATTGTAAACTTTTTCAATGTTTTAAATGAATATTTATCCACCTTTTAAATAATCTTTTTTTTTTCTTTGATAATATGTTTATCGTGGTCAGTAATTATTACTTAATACTTAGTGAAATTAAAAATTTTGTTGTGAAAAAAAAAAAAAATCATTTAAATTTATATGATACCTGTCGTTTTAACTTCAATCAATTATATATATATATATATATATATATATTAGATAAAAAGAATTAAGGGTCTTTTGATGAGGAATATATTCACAATCACAATCACAATCAATAATTCTAACTTCCTTCTTTGACCTCATATTTTTTTTATTAAAAAAATAGGATCATTAGATATGAATTTTTAATCCAGTTCACAATCTTGATTCTTTTTTCAAACAAAAATAACTTCATTATAAAATTTCTATTATTCTTTTCTTGTTTTTTCAGTCTTTAATTTTATTCATCTCAATAACAATATATTGTGATATTTCTTCTAATTATTTTTCCTTTTCTCATATGTTCATATGTTGTGACTTTTTATTTAATAACTACTACCCCTTATTCAATTAACCCTATTCCCTTGACGCGTACTAAAAATATTCTCTGATCCACCAAAATAAAAATAAAAATTAAAAATAGAATCCAACTACCACCATTCACCGTTTCTCCACCAAACATCCACATCCCCTCCAAAAATACGAAAAAAATGTCAACTCACACATCCAGACGAACATCTTCACGTCATAACCCTACCATATCTTCGTCTTCTTCTTCATCCCATCATATCTCCAATAAACCTTCCTCTCACACAAACCAACAACAACCGAACCCCTCTTCTTCCCCACCAACATCCGTCCATGCATCCGCAGAAGGCACCGGTCACCCGCTCAAGCGCGTGCGCAGGAAAGATACAATTGAATCACTCATTACAAGACCACCATTACTAGTCCGTCCAGCTCTTGCCCAACTCCGGTACCACGTACTCATGGACGGTCTACGCGTAACTCCACCACAAGCTCCTGGCGATCCGGAAACTGGGCTATGTGCTTACCGGCCCTACGTGTGGTCGATACTATTACGCGTGAGTCCCGCTGATTTACCTGCCGAAAAATACGTGGCGCTTGTTAGGAAAGGCGCGTCTCCGGCATACACAAAAATCCGTAACGACACGTTTCGAACCTTCACCACTGACGCCGTTTTCCGTTCAAGGGTTTCGGAAAACGCGCTGGTAAGAGTGCTCAACGCTGTCGCTTGGCAACGCCACTTGTGTGCAGACCCGGAGCAGCCGGCGCCGGCGCCGGAGTTTCTGTATGTACAGGGAATGAACGTTTTAGCGGCACCATTTTTATATCAGTGTAAAACAGAGGCACAAGCGTTTGCATTGTTTTACACGTTTCTATCGCGTGACTGCCCGCTATATGTGGTTCCGACACTTGAAGGCGCTCACACTGGACTTAAACTCGTTGACAAGTGTTTGGAAATCATTGATCCGGCGCTGTTTGATCATTTACAAAGCAAGCTGTTGACTGCGGAACTGTATGCGTTTACTTCTGTTCTTACGTTTAGTGCTGGCACACCGCCGTTATCACAAGCACTTGTACTTTGGGATTTTTTATTTGCATATGGCCCGCACTTGAATGTTTTATTTGTAATTGCCCAGTTGACTTTGATGCGCTCACATCTGTTTGAAGCACAAAGTCCAATGACACTGCTAAGAAACTTCCCTCCGCTACAGGCTCAAGAGATTATTAAATTGGCAATCTCGTTTGTCCCACTGTTACCGGACTGGCTCTATGATTTGCTGGTGCGGCACCCGTTCGATCCGGCAGTAAGTTCGCAATTGGCTGCCAGAAGTTTACGTTCTCGGAGCTCCAGAATTAACATGAAAAAGTGATTTCCTTTTTTTTTTTTTTTTTTTGTTTCTTTTTTTTGGTTAATTATTAAATATATACTTTTCTTGGTTGATTATATTTTAAATAACGGTTATAGACTTTAAAATACTCGCAGCTCGAAATTATCTTCTGGAAAATATGTCGAAACAACTGTGCGATCAGAAAACTTGCGCCCTCCTAAAGCCCTACATGCCGCTCGACAAGCTGCAACCTGTGCAAATTTGACGTAGATTTTGCCCACACCCGTTGCTCCCATTTCCGAGAACGAACTGGTTGAAGAATTGTTTGGCGGTGCTCCATCGGCAGATCTAGGCACAAGAACCTCTTCAACGGTTCCGTACTTGGAACACTCGGCTTGTACATCTTCCACAATCTCTGCATACTCCTGGTCGTCGCTCAAGTTTTCTGGTGTAACTGCGTTTAACAGCATTAAGATTCTTGAAGGTGCTCTTCGGTGTCCTGTTTCCAAGGGAGCATCATCATCTTCATTTTCCTCATCATTATTATCTTCATGTTTGATACCACTTTTGTCGTCCTCGCCCTCACTTTCGTCTGTAGTCTCGTAATCTCTAGATGACCGTTTGTGTCGGCTATTGCTGCTTCCAGTTGAAGAGCTAGACCGCGTGGACCGTCGTGTTTTGCGATTCTTTGTGTCACTTTCTTGTTCAATATTGCGTGCAAGATTTACCATGGCTTCGACTCCCATGGGGAGTGATGCCCATGGCGCATGTAATCCATAGGTAGCTCTGCCTACGCGTAATCTAGAATCTCCAATTTCCATTCCGGAAAGTCCCAGAAGTGCAGCCTTGTTGACAGTTTCAGCGTCTTTATATTCCAAAAACACAATTCCACGAGTCTCGCCTGCGGGGGAATTTTTGTCTGTGACAATTTGAAGTGCCACAACCTCACCAAAGGCTGCAAGCAGGTCCAGAATTTGAGTTGGTTTTAAGAAAAATGGAAGATCAGCCACGTAGAGCTTATTTTTAGAGTCTAAGACTCGTGCACTGATTGATTTAAATTTGTCTAGAGCTTCAAGATCTTCTTGTGATGCATTTTCCTCTTCTGTTAATCGTTTCCGTTCAGCTTCAATTTCTTCTGCACGCAGCTTGATTCCAGCATCTGCGGCCTCTTCAAACTCCAAGCGCGATGGCGATGGAGTGATGTAATCTTGTGCACGCGAAATAGCCATGACCCATTCTGAATCGAGTCCTTTAAAGAAAGAGCCATTAAAAGTGTTTGCAATGGTGGCGAGTTCTGTGGTGGCAAATTCGAGCATAATGAAAGAACCGTCATTTGAAGCACGCGCAAGTTTCACAACAGGTGCATCTTGTACTGGGGTAAGTAAGTTGATAGTGGCAAGAGTTTCTGTAAAGTAAGCAGCCACCTCATCTGCAGTTACGTCGTAGCCCTGTGGCTTGTAGCTTGACACAATAATACGCCGACTAGAACGTGAGCTTTCAGGTGCTAATGGGGCCACAAATGCTGCCGCCGAAGTATCTTGTTCACCAGATGCAGTAATTCGCAAGGGTTCTCCAGAACGGCCGGTTGATCCTCCCATTGATCCCATACGCGACATTCCACTTGCTCCACCAGTGGCGCCATTACCGATGCTATTGTTTCCACCTCCCATTCTGCTCATCATGTTACCAGGACGTCCATTTGGTTTAAATTGAAGTCCGCCGGGTCCACCGGCTGTGGAATCAATGAGTCCTACCAGTACGGAATCGTCAATGGGACGTTGTTCGCCAAGAAGATTGAAATGGCCGGACCGTTTTGCTATAGATGCAGGGACGCGTTCAAAGCCGTCAAAGGGGATATCCCATCGTGAGTTATGACGCACGCGCTGTTCGAGTGGAATGATTTGAGAAAGGTCTGGAAGAGTGGAGTGTTGTCGTCTGCTGGAAGAGTGTCTGCCACTTCTGCCTGCTCGTGGACTGGCTGAACGACTACGGCGTCTACGGCTTCTGTAAGAATCTCTAGAATCTCTAGAATCTCTAGAATCTCTGGAATCTCTCGAGTCTCTGGAATCTCTGGAATCTCTAGAATCCCTGTGTTCTCTATCTCTATCTCTGCGATCTCTGGAGTCGCGATGGTGGTCACGATTGGATCTTCTGTCGGATCTATCTGATCGGTCACGGTCTGAGCGGTCTCGGCCCCAATCTTCACGGTCTGAGCGTCTTCTTAGTTCACGTTCGAGATCTCTTTCACGTCGGGTTTTTTCCCTATCATCTTTTGATTGATCATCTTTAATAAAATTAGTGAATATTTTCTTCTTCTATATTTTAGTTTTACTTACCATCCCAGTTGTCACTCATGGTGATATATGGCTTGTTTGTTTGTTGGTTAATTTTTGGTGGTGACAAAAAAAAAAAATAATAATAAATGCTGGAATTTTTTGTAATTTTTATTTCACAAATAGCCAAAAAAAAAATTTGATATTCAGGTTTAGGGTTTATATTACATTGATTACATTAAATTTAATTCATTTATATTTATTTATTCATTTATTAATTTTTATATTTTCATATTTCATCACACATTCATCTTTCCATTCATCATTTCAATATTTAAAACAAAAGCATTCTTCTGGGGTCCTCAATGAGCTCCTTGATGTTCTTGAGGAAGGTGACAGCCTCTCTACCGTCCAAAAGTCTGTGGTCGTAGGTAAGAGCGAGGTACATCATGGGGCGGGAAACAACCTGGCCATTGACAACAACGGCACGCTCCTTGACACCGTGGAGACCAAGGACAGCGGTTTGAGGCATGTTGATGATAGGGGTACCGTAGAGAGAGCCGAAGACACCACCGTTGGAGATGGTGAAAGTACCACCGGCCATGTCTTCAAGAGAGAGCTTACCATCACGGGCCTTGACACCAAGATCGTGGATACCCTTCTCAATGCCAATAATGTCAAGCTGCTCGGCGTTACGGAGAACAGGGGTGACGAGACCCTTAGGGGTAGCAACGGCAATGGAGACATCGAAGTAGTCACGGTAGACAATGGTGTCGTTGTTCTCGATAGCAGCGTTGACGGAGGGGATGTCCTTAGAGGCAAGGGCAGCAGCCTTGGTGAAAGCACCCATGAAGCCGAACTTGATACCGGTCTTCTTGAGGATATCATCCTTGTAGAGCTTGCGCATCTCAATGAGGGAAGACATGTCGACTTCGTTGAAGGTGGTAAGGGAAGCAGCAGTGTTTTGGGACTCCTTCAGACGCTCAGCAATACGAAGACGCATACGGTTCATCTTGACACGGTGCTCTTCACGGTTGCCAGGAGCAGGGGCAGCAGCAGCAGGGGCAGCGGCGGCAGGGGCAGCGGGCTTAGGAGCAGCAGGCTTGGGGGCAGCAGGAGCAGGAGCGGCAGGAGCAGCGGCAGCGGGAGCAGGAGCAGGAGCAGGAGCAGCAGCTTCCTCCTTCTTAGGCTCTTCCTTGGGAGTTTCCTTAGGAGCCTCTTCCTTCTTGGGGGCAGCGGCACCAGCAGAGCCACCTTCCTCAATCTCGAAAAGGGGTTGGCCAACAACAACGGTATCCTCAGGGTTAGCGAGGAACTTTGTAATGGTACCAGCGAAGGGGGCATTGACAGCGACATCGATCTTATCAGTCTCGATGGTGGCGACCTCTTCGTCCTGTTCGACGTAGTCACCGACGGATTTTTCGAAAGACTTGAGGGTACCTTCAGTGATGGACTCGGCCATATCAGGGACATTGACGACGGCTTTAAGAGAATGTTAGATTGAAAACAAAAAAGAACAACAACAATAATAATGACAATGACAATGACAATGTCAATGACAATGTCAATAACAAGTAGTCGATTATTATAATTATAGTTTATAAAGAACATACCATAAGATCTAAGTTGGATTTGAGGGCATCTAGGGATGGTCAAAGCAGGACGCTTGCCAACGAGCATAGTTGAGCGAGCAGGGACGGCGGAAGAGAGGTATCTTGGGAGAGCGCGAGACTGGGTAGCGGCGGCAGCAGCCACACGTCTAATGGAAGCTCTGGCGACGACAGATCTGAACATTGTTGTGGGTGGTGGTGGGGGAGGATTTAGATGGAAGGAATGGATTGAATGGATGGATATTAATGTGATGTGTAAAGGAAAGGAAAAGGAAAAGAATAGGGGAGGGGCTGTTTTTTTTTTTTTTATTTTAATAATTTATTATTTTAAATTAATATTAATATATAAATATAAATATAAATATTTAATATATATATATATATATATATATATATAAAGGAATAAATAAATAAAGAGGCCTTTTTAAAATAAAATAAAATAAAATAAAAATAAAAATAAAATTTTGTTGGTGTGAAAGCGCGCTTTTTTATAGGAAGAACGGCGGACATAAATAATTTGGCAGGCAAGCAAAAGTTGTTTTTAATAACAACAAACAACAACAAACAATATATTAAATTATTAATTATTAATTATTAATTAAAATATATATTAATATTAAAAATATATTAATAAAATTTATATATTTAAAAATAAAAAGAAACGACCGGAGCATCCCGGCCAGCCAATCCCGTATGGGCGAAATAAAAAAAATTAAAAAATTAAAAAAAAATTAAAGCCGCAGAAGGTAAAAAGCAGCCAAACAGCAAAAGCTTTTGGAGGGGCAAAATAGCGGCAGCCAAACAGCCAAGTAGCCAAACAGCAAAAGAAGAAGTTTTACGGGTGCAAACAGCCAAAAAAAAAAAAAAAAAAAAAAGAAAGTTGTTGTTGTTAATGATGATGATGATGATGATGATGATTATATATATGATGGTGGGGCTCTCTAAGATGGCTAAAAATTGTTTTAAATTATTGAGTTGAATTAAACCAACGGTTGTTAATTGTTAAAAAGAAAAAATAAAATAAAATAAAAAATGATTTTTTAAAATTATTAGAATCTTTTTTAAAAAATGATTTATTCTATTCTATTATTCAATTTCAATTTCAATTCAATTTAAATCAATTCATTTTCATTTTCAATTTCAATTTCAATTTCAATTTCAATTTCAATTTCAATTTCAATTCAATAATTAGGTCTTTGGGTTAATAATTATAATAATATAAATTTTATATATATATATATATATATATATATGAAAATCATTATCAAAAAAAAAACATCCCTTTCAAAGATATTAATTTGAAATCAACGGATCCAAACTGCCGCATTACGTAATTTATTTTTATTTTTATTTTCCATAAAAGCAATAAAAACACAAAAAACACAAAAAATAAAAATAAAAGCCGCACTGACATCCTATTGGCTATCACCACTAAACCCTCAACCCTTAACACGTGATCAAGGTCTATTGTTACTGGCTATAACCTTAAAAAATCTTCGGACTTATTACAATAACCCTAACCCTGACACAAACCCTAACTAACAAAGACCGAAAGTCCGTTCGGAACTCTTGCGGGTCTTCTTTTTTATTTTTTATTTTTTTATTTTTATTTTTTTAATTAATTAATTATATTTTTTTTTTTTTTTTGTAATTTTCACCATCCCATTTTCAAAACTACTCTATCTTCTAAACAATTTAAACCAATGAGCCTTGTAGAGTACTCCGATAGTGAAAGTGAAAGTGAAAGTGAAAATAATAATAATAATAACTGCTCTTCTAATCAAAAAGAATCTCCTAAAAAAATTAACTCATCAAATCTACCACTTAAATCATTAAAATCATTAAACCCATTAAACCCACCTCTTCCTCCTCCACCAACAGCCTTTCTGGATCTTTATGACCTCCCACCAAGACTAAGCAAAGCTTTCCACAATCGGCCCCGTACAATCCAACACACCCCAGGATCATATCCTTCCCATATCTATCTTTCATGGAGACCTTCCCATCAACAACTCTCTAATCTCACTTCCATTCTGAAATCATGTCTTGAACAACTATCTGTATCCCAACCACATCCCCTCCTTCACCTCAACCATCAACATCACTCGCTTCTCAGATCTACAACTGGTGCCCCACAACCTCTCCACGTGAGTCTCTCGCAAACTCTTATGGTTCCTGAATCCAACTTAAAAGATTTCCGTTCTACCGTAGAGCAAGCTTTTAAACCAGAAGAGAAAGAGAAAGAGAAAAAAATTGATGAAATAACTCTTCAATTGGGACCAAGTTGGACTCTTTTACCAAGTTCTGACGGAACCCGCACATTTATAGCCCTTTTAATTAATAACGGGGCTTCCAAAACAAAAATAGCAAAAACGATTGTGCGGCTCAATGCGGGTCTCTCTGAACTTAATAGTAAAAACAACAATAACAATAACAACAGTAACAACAATAACAATAACAATAACAACAACAGCAGCAGTAGCAGCAATAGTAGTAGTAGCAGTAGTAGTCATAGTAGTAGTAATATTAACAACTACTATCCGGAACATCCAAGTGATCTTCCTCATGTTTCCATCGGCTGGATCGACGGGACTTGTGATTTAGAAACTTTTAAAATTTTTACTCTTAAAAACGCGTCATTGGGCGTTCCGCTTTGTGAAGTAACCGCGTGTGTTAAGACTGGGCGCGATGTTTTCCGTATTGGGACGTTTTGTAAACAAATAAATAAATAAACAAATAAATAAATATCACTGTGAATTAATAAATTAATAAATTAATAAATAAAAATAAAAATAAAAAAATTAGAAAATAAACAAACTTTTCAAAAAAATTCTAAAGAAAAAAAAAATCTCCCTAAAAAATCAAATCAAAACAAACAAACCACCAGTACCACCAACAACCATTACTATTATCAACAATTAATTATTCACTAGATCATTCATAAATCAACTACTAAACCCCCTTTTTTTTTTATTCATCATTATCTTATATTCCAAAATAATCTCACTATTATTATGGACCTGAAAACACCGCTGGCTCCGGCTGCCGGTAACAAGCGGCCTGATAATACTCCAGCAAAACTCCAAGCTTCACTTCAAACTGATAAAGAAAATCATAATCATAATCATAATCATAATCATCATCATCATCAAGGACCTGGAATCAGTAGGCAACAAAGACCTCTTGTTCCTTTATCTTCATCCTCTGGACCTGTTTCTTCTTTGTCTTCTGTATCATCTTCTTCCTCTTCTGCATCTGCTATAACTGCATCTACTACTACTTCTTCTTCTTCTTCTTCTTCTTCTTCTTCTTCTTCCGCATCTTCATTCCCATTCTCAATCACCGCTTCAACATCTCTCCCTCCAGTATGTGCACCTGCTCCTGTATCTCTAGCTTCCTCTTCTACTGGTTCCTTTGCAGACCTTGAAGACCTCTCTCATCTTCTAGCGATGCCTCCTTCTTCTGCACGCTTCGAACCTTTCCATGCAATCCATGCAGACCCAGTTCCTTCGCCATTGCCACTGCAATTGCCATTGCCACCACAACCTTCTCAATCACAACCTCAATTGGTCATCCCAAGACCTCTTTCACCCTCTAAAATTACAAAAAAAACTACCCTTTCACGTCCCTCTTCACCTTCAAAATCTCCTACCCGCCAATCAATCTCCTCAGTTGCATCAATCTCTTCGGTTGCCTCTCCTACTAAATCTTCTGCTAAACTTAGAGGTCTTTCAATCACAGCAGAACAACTCACTGCTGCTACAAAAGACCTCGATATAAACCAGAAAAAACCATACCCTGCTCTTCTTCCTGCTGATTTTGCAATTCTACCTGATTCTCCTGGGTTCTTGTTTGATCAATTGCCATCTTTGTCCTCTCCAGAACAATCTTTAGCGTATCTCGCTTTAAATGAATCTTCCGCAAGATTAGTCTCAGGGGCTTCTGATCCACCAGTATTTGCAACTGCCCCCTCTTCTTCTTCTTCTTCTTCTTCTTCTTCTTCCTTTTCCCCTAAAGTTAACAAACAACACCACCAATTCATTCAAAGACCTCCATCTCCTACAAAACCTACACGAGTCCCAAGCTTAACCTCCACATTCCAAGCACAACTCTCTCACCAATTCGTCAACTCTTTTGCAAGCCCTTCTCCTAATTTTTCTCCCATTCTATCTTCACAAACACACCATTCTCCAACACTGTCTACAAGTCCCATTAATAATAAACAAGAGCTGGTTCAACGCAGAGCTTCGTCTTCTTCGCCCAAGAAAAAATACGAAACGTGTGTTTTTAAACTTACTCCACCGCAAACCCAAAAGCAAAATAAAAAACAGCAGCAACAGCAACAGCAACAGCAACAACAACAACGGCAGGCGGTTGTAGGGCCAACAAATGCAAAATATAGAATGCATCATCAACAACTGGTTGTTCAAAAACAACAACAAACTCAGGGGAAACCGATATCACAGCAGTATAATAGACCACTCCAAAATGACCTTGTTCAACCGGATCAATCTATTCAACATATTCAATCTCAACCTTTGCAACAAGTAAGTCAATCACCTAGCCATCAACAACAGGCTGTTCATTCTTCTCAACAACAATCTCCTCATTCTCATCCGTTCATCTCGCAGCCTCCTATTGCAGCCCCTGAACCAGCCGTTTATTCATTTATCCAGCCACAGCAACCCTCACCTCAACAACAACAACAACAACAACAACAATCTCCACTTTCTTCTACCACGCTGCGCTCGCCTACAATAGAACAGATTATCGTTTGTGGGTACCACCGTAACCCGTTGTTCATGCACCATCTGTCGCAACTAAACCCAGACATGGCAGCCATGGTTGCACGCTATGTGGCCACCTATTATCCAGAAGAAACCCAAGCACAAGGGCAAATTCACCATTCTCAACAATTGTCACCTCAACAACCATTTCAGCTATTGGAAAATGTTCAAGGAGTGGGTCAAGAACACGTACCGCATCAAATTCTTGTTCAGGCTCAAGAACAATTGCAACAACAAGTACCTGTTACTGTTCAAGTTCAACAGCTCATTCAACAACAAGCTCAACAACAAGCTCAACAACAAGCTCAACAACAACAGTTACTGCAGCAGCAGCAGCAGCAGCAGCAGCAGCAGCAGAGTCCGGTTCAAGTGCAAATCCAACATCATATACCTGTGGTTCATGTTCACGGACAACCACAAGTTCAACAACACCAAATTCAGCATCAACTCCAACAAGTTCAAGCTTCCCAACAACAGCTTCCTCTTTATATTCAAGATCAATTGGCACACCAAGGTCTTGTTCAAATTCCTCTTCATATTCAGGATCAAACATATCACCATCAAAGTCCTCCCATTCATAACATTCAACATGCACAAGTTCAACAACAACAACACGTGCATCTACAAGCTCATTCTCAACCACACCCAAATCAAGTCCAATTGCATCAGATTCAGAATCAGGAAGCTACTATACAAATGCATAGGGTTCAGAACCAAGGAATGGTAAATAACACTCAGAGTCAAGTCAATGACCAGATTCAATTGGAAAACCATGCCCAGGCTCAAGCCCAAATTCAGGCGCATGCTCAGGCGCATGCTCAGGCTCAAATTCAAGCTAGAGCATATGCCCAAATTCAAGCATGTGCTCAAGCCCAAACCCAGTTACAGACTTTGACTCCACCTCACCATCCTGCTCAAATTCCAGTCCAACCTGTATCCACAGTCCCTCTTCCTGTCCATATTCCGGTTACTGCTCCACCACCTGTTGAAACAACAACTCCAACAACATCTGCTGTTTCTGCTGCTGCTGTTGTTGCTGCTGCTGCTTCCTTCCCAACCTCTGCCCCTCCTGTAATTGCAGCCCCTACACCCAATACTATCACCCAGTACGTTTTGCTACCTGCCAACTCTTCGCAAAAACGCCCTACCCAAGCTCATGGCAAAAAAAAGCAGCAACAATCCCAATCTCAACCTCAATCAGCATCCGCTTCACCATTGAACCCACTCCCTACTCGAGCACCTCTCACGCCTTCTCCAACCCGCCAAAAACTTTCCACAGCCCCTGTCTCCTCCAGCACTTCATCCAGCGCTTCCACAAGCCCAGAAAAAAACAGAACTTTTGGAAGTCCACGCTCTGCACCACCTCCCGTGCCTTCACTTTACCCAACAACCACCGCGTCTTCGTCCTCATCAGCTAACGGTGTTTTTTCGTTAAGCCCAGCACCTATCTCCAAACAAAATTCTTCCGGGCTTGTATCACTTTCTTCTAGCCCTGTGGCCGGTGGTGGAGCTACAACAACGGCTTCTGGGTCGCCAGTAAAATTGAGCCCCTTGAAACTAAGTCCTGTCAAATTGAGTCCTCCTAAACCTGCACGAGCGGGTACCCCTGCTGCAGTAACAACACCAGAAGCTGGTGATGAAGTAAGTTCCACGAGCGGTACTAGTGGAGCGGTTGGTGCTGTATCAGTGGCAGTTGATATGAATATGGAAAAGAAAGGCACCAAGAAGAACAATAAGAACAATGCTTCTTCGTCTTCTACGCAGGACCTTGCACAGCCTTCTCCGCAGAATCCTCCGCCGCATCAAGCTGCAGACTCAGACTCGCCAACGCCTTTGTCTAAAAAGAAACAAACAGCCGCACTAAGCACTTCCAAACTGGGCCGTCCACGCAACGGGTCTCTGGCTCGCTCCGAGCACAATTCCTCACCGGAATCAGTGAAGCTGGCTACCACAGGATCTTCTAAAGCATCATCCTCTTCTGCTGAACTCGCTGCCAATTCAGCAAAACCGGCAAATGCAATCACCAAAGCAGAGTCCGATGCAGAAATTACGGCCAAACTCAAAGCACAATTGGACCAGCTAGAACGACAACAACACGAGCGCCATCGTCTGGGCCCACACAAGCGCGGCGGACTGCCACTCAGCGCTGTCGACCAGTACGTCCAAGAAACAGATGAAAAAGATCAGTACAGGTGTCTGTACCCTGGATGCACTAAACTATTTAAACGCAGGTACAATGTGCGATCCCACGTGCAAACGCATCTGTCAGACCGACCATATGCGTGCGGACTTTGCACCGCTCGCTTTGTTCGACCACACGATTTACGACGCCATCTTAAGTGTCACGATCCGGAGAAGCAATACAAGTGTTCGTGCGGACGTTCGTTCACTCGCCATGATGGGTTGCGCAAGCATCAGCTCAAGCACGAGTTTTTGGATGACGAGGCTGGAGGTGGCCCACGCTGTGTTCCCCGCGACAAGTCTAAACGATTTCTTAAAAAGGAAGAAAGCCAAGAAGAAGAAGATGAAAAGGAGGATGAAGAAAATGGATATGTTGAATACCCGAATGGCGATAGAGAAGAACAGACTACCTATGTGTATGATGAATATGACGATGAGTGCGCCAAATGGATTCACGGCCAAGACCGTTATGATAACTTTAAACCCTACCCCCATGGTCGCGAACAAGATCTTGTTCTTAATCTTACAGATACTGTCACCTTATCAACTACAACCACCACCACTACGACTGTAGCCTCGACTTCTGCTGTCGCGCTTTCAGCAGCAACCATAGCTACAGCTGCTCGAAGAACTGTGAGCTCTTCCAGTGCCATGTCAATTGACCTTGATCCTCCAGCCACCGCCGGTACCACTGCAATCTCTTCTTCTTCTGGCGACCCGTCCTCACCTTCGACCTCATTTTTCCCTCGCTCTCCCGTGATTCCCTACAATTCATTTATGCCAATATACCGCGCATCTTCGTCGTCGTCAACGTCTTCGGTGGCCATGGCTCGTGCTGCCATGCGCGCCGTAAGTGGGTCGTCTGTCATGAGCATTGACACTGATTACAAGAACGGGGGCAGTGCAGGGTCATCGTCACGCAAAACAAGTGGGTCGTTCGATACTCCTGTAGCGTTTTGTGAGCAATGGATTCCCATTCCGACGTTTGTGCATGAAAACGAAGAAGCCCCACAGGATCATGATTCCAAAATGGGTTTCTAAAAATTTACAATTTGACATTATTTTTATTTTATATTTTGTTTGCTATTCATTTGTACCAAGAAAAAAAAACCGCTTTTAATAATTTAATCAAATATAGAATTTTCTTTTACAGCTTATTAATTAATCCATCCATTTTGCCAATCATTATTTTCTTCAATCGTTTTGGTGTAAAATTGTCGTGTTTTATTCTCCATATCAAACAAGAGTCCCGAGCTTGTAGTTTCATATGCGTAAGGAACAAATGGTAAAATGGGAAAATACTTTGTCCCAGAGCAAAGCATAAGCTGCTTTATATGTAGTGAGTTCAGAATAAGTTTTTGCAAGTTTGGTGAAGAATAAAGAGGCCCACCCAAAAGAATTTTTACATAGTTTACTTTCATAGAAGTAATTTTTTGGAAAAGACACTCATAAAACCAAAGTGGGTAAAATACGCTATCTGGAGCAATCTGGTCTTTAATAGACCAAGGGTCCTTGGAAATAGATATCAAGGTATCAATATCTGATCCTGTCGAATTATATTTTTGGAAAAGTTCTTTAAGATTTTGGGATGTAGGTGACTTGTTTCGGTATAGTTTGCTGACTGGGAAAAGACCTCCATGATTTGAAAAGTCCTTAGCAAATGTGAATTCCAATTGGATTCGATTAAGGTTTGTCAATGTTGGAAGTAATTCAAGTAAAAGTTTGGGTGTGCTGGATTCTAAAGAGATAGAAATATACTCTAAACTAAAAGAAGAAAAAGCATCATATGAAATAGACTCATTACTTGGGAACCCAAGTTCTACTTGTTGTAACTGCGGCATAGAAATAAACTTGCTAAATAAAGCTACCATTTGCGGGGTCCCCGTGCGGGTGAATATTTTGGTAACTAAAGGCAATGTAAAAGATTGAAATGTATTAAAAGTAACAGCCATTAAGCTCGATTTTTCAGTTTTCAGTTCAAGAGATAGTGTGTTTAAGCTTTTAGGAAGATCGGAAAATAATAAAATGGTATCTTGTACTTTAAGAATTACATTGGACACTTGAAAAACTGGCAAAAAACAATCCATATGTTTAAGTTTCCGGCATTGAGAAAGTTGTTCCAAGATTTTAATGTATAACCAATAACCCACGTTAAAAATTGAAATATTTTCCAGATTTGGTAAATTAAAAAATGTTGGCACTTCATCACTTTTCGGATTTGAGTTCCAAATTGAAAGGCTTGTTACTGTTTTTAAATAATCCCTTTTCAACAGACAAATGCTTTGAGATGAATCATCATTTAAAATATAACTCCACCTAAAATTTTTGATTTGGTATGCTCCAATTTTAGGTAATATCTCAGAATAAAACTTTTCTAAAACATTTAAACCGCTAGAAATATCTTTAGAAATTTTTAATCTTTTGAGTTCTGGGTAATTGGATTTTTGAAAAATAATTCTGGTGAACCAGTCGATTTCTTCGCTTTCTGACCTAAGTTGTTCAAAATCATTATGGCCATATAGTGACAAGTTTGTAACCGATTCATTGTGGAACCAAGTGTATTTTGTTGGATTGTTAAAAATGGTTGGATTTATGAGTTCTAGTTCACTGTGACCTTCAAAAAGCTGTTTCCATTCTTGAGGGAAAATTCTTTCAACAGTGTTTGAAGTAGAACAGCTTTGGTCATAATAATCTTCCTCATAATCATATTGCCTTTTATTATTTTCGATAATTGGTGGAACATCTGAAATAACCATACAATTTTTCCATCGAATAGTCTGATAAGCAATTTTCAAAGTATTGGATGTTTGAGTCAAATTGCGAAGCTCAATTACTGAAACATATTTGGCAATTGACTGATGGACTTCCAGTGACAAAGACTCAATATTTAAAATAATCTGAGAAGTGTTACTTAATTCTTTTGTTTCAATGGTTTTTATAACACTGTTGGCTTTTTCTTCTTCTTCTTCTTCTTCTTCAACAAATTCGTCAAATTTGATATTTTTGATAAAACATACTCCCTGATAAATTTGGAAACCCAAAAGTTTTATCACAAAAGCGACATAATATAGAAACAGGCAAAAGACTTCTAAAACCATAGAATCCCTCTGTTCTGTATCTATTTCTTGATCATTGGTTATTTCGGTAAGCAATAGAACGTCGTCGTTATTAGGAGTCTCATCTGAGCTAGATTCTTTTAAAGACCCATTATTTAAGCCAACTTGTTTTTGTTCGAGATCCATATTTTTTTTGTTTTTTTTTTAACAGGATGTCAATATTATTAAAGAAGAAAACAAAAATCAATCTAAATTGTCAATATTTTTCCTTTAAATATTTTAAATCAAAATTCTCTCAAAGGCTAAAAACCTCAATCATCAATTTTTTAGGTTCAAAAAGTGGAAAACTCAAAAGTCCTTCTATTTTTTTAAAAAAAAAAATTGATGATATAATAATTTTTGTTTAAATTAAAACCGTTTTAATCTCACTAATTTAATTCATCTGAATTTATTTTTTTTCTATACGAAACTCCAATATACAACATAGCTTCGTGATACTCTTCTTTATCACAGCCTTTAATATCATTTCCCAAAGATAAGTCATGGCCCCCATCTCCTGCTTTTTTTTTGTTTGAAATTTATATTTACTACTCTTACATGTTAATTCATAATGATGAATAGTTTGATTAAACTATTTTGGAAAAAAACAATGTCTTTTGCTTTTTTTTGCACCATTCATCAACTAATCGTGACTCATGGTTAAGCTTCTGTACTCTTTAAAATTGAATTAAACAGCTCATATGACAAACCCATGATCTATCTTCTTGATTACGTAAATTTGATATTTCTCCTTTTTTTTAGAAATGTAGATACTTTGCAATCATAATGTTTGCAGAAAAACCAAACCAGGTAAACCAGAATATTTTCAACTTCAATCATGATCTCAAATCCTAAAAGCATAAAAATATCTTAAGCATATTTTGAAGCCAATAATTATAAAAACATCAGTTAAAAAAAAAAAGATATTTTGGACGACACCGGAGTTGAACCGGGGACCTTTCGCATGCTAAGCGAACGTGATAGCCAACTACACCAGACGCCCTATCATGTAACATTTTAAAATGTATTGTAAACCAGAAAGAGACAAAAATAAAAAAAAGTAAATATTCAGAAATCTGGGCCGTTCATTGGGGAAAGGGCTGGATGGTGTAAAGGGTAACACGTTCGCTCGAAAGCGGAAGATACTGGGTTCGATTCCCAGAATACCCCCTTTTCCTGAGGATGTGTACGGGAGTATACACCTAGACTGAAAACCATAGGCTACCCTGGTTACAGGAATTCCGACTCTTCCGTACAGTCTAAATAGCCTGCAGGTGATTGCGGACCGTATCTCTGACGGAAGAGATTAAGAAATACATGGGCGTCCGTGAAGATAAGTGGAAATGGGTTGGGAAGGTTTTGGGACCGACAGACTGGTTCTCCCTGTTCCTCGTAAGCTGGCATCAGGACCCATCTTCCGGGCTACCGGAGACGCACAGAACAGAAACCACCCGTACTAAAAAGGTACAAATGAAAACCGGCAAGTCACATAGTCAGACAATAAAAGTATAGCGCAGATGCTGATGTTATATAGTTCTATAACCCTTGAATAAAAACAAACAAACAAACATGGGCCGTTCATTGAATGAAAAAAGATAATTAATGTAACAAAAAATTAAATTTGTTAAAATACATCAATATTCATTCATAAGCTGTTTTTTTTCCCGTTGGATTTGTTCGGGAATGCACGCCTCACATGAACACTCGGACTACTATTTCCAACAGGAAAGCCGACTCTTCCGTTTAGTCAAATTAGCCTGTAGATAATTTCGGTCGTATCTTTTACGGATATTATTCAAAAATAAATTAAAGTCTTTGAATTCAAGCAGAAACAGTTGGTGTAGGTTTAGGACTGACTGACTCGGTTTTCCCAGTTCTTCTTAAGCTGGCATCAGAGTCCATCTTCCCCGCTACCGGAGGCGTATATGCCAAAACCTTCCGTACTTAAAAGATACATCTATAAGAAGGCCGATTACGAAAGTCAAGAAATTGAATCAGTAGCATTGAAGTCGATGGTATTTTTTATAAGGCTTGAATGAAAGCAAACAAACAATTTTAAGTATGAACTTGTATGAACACTAACTTTAACTGACGATATTGCATCACTCCACATTCCGCATACTGCTCCAAACGGTTTTAAAAGCAGCAAGACAAGGAAAAACTCAATTAAGTTGCCATTATAAAAATAAATAACATTGCGCTTTATGAGCAAAAAACTGGTGCAAAAAAACAAGATTTTCACGTGCCTCTTTTTATTGCGCCATTGAAGTTTGCGGAGCGGAGAACAAACTCAGAATTGCGACAACAAAACTCAAAACTCAAAATCAAAAGCAAGTATAAAAAGAAGCAGTATTTCTCAAAAAAAAAAAAAAAAAAAATATGAATTATTAAAAAAAAAATCTTCATCATCTTTCAATATATTATTCTCAATTCAATTTACAATGAAATTTTCTCAAATATCTATTTTACTTTTTGCTGTTTTGGCTCAGTCAGCGTCATTAACTCCGGTCGATTTGTCTTCATGGTCTAAGAGTGACCTCCAAAGTTTCCTTGATGATTTCCATGTTCAGTATGACGCCTCAAAAGATTCTGTGAAAGACCTTGCTTCCAAAGCGCAAGCACAGTGGAATTCTTTTGCACTTCCTTATACAAGTTGGTCAACACCTGAACTCCAAGCATATCTTGATCGGAAGGGCATCAAATATCAAATTGACGCAAAAGCCAAGAACGCTCGTGCAGATCTTGAAAAGCTGGTGGCAAGAGTTTACCCCGACAATGTGAATTTTGAACAAACAGCTAAAGAGGCAACCGCTTCGGCATCCAAGTCAGCATCAGCAGCATACGACAAAGTTTCCGGATGGTTGTTTGATACTTGGTCCTTAGACGAACTCCGTACATTTGTCAAGAAAAATGTAAAGGAAGGAATCAACACGTCAGAAGCTTCACGAAAGGAGCTTGTGAGTGCAGCACAGCAAGCATACGATAAGCATGCTTCAAAAATCAAGGCTGAAAACTTTTACCCAGGGAAATGGGTATTTGACGGATGGTCTGATAAGGACTTGGAACAGTGGCTACAGAAGAACAAGATTTCAATTGAAAATAAAGCTGGCGGAGCACAGAAGACATTAGCATCCCATCGCAATCAGTTATTGGGTGCAGTGCGCAAAAATGCTCGATACGCTTGGTTGAGCGCGCAGGACGCACACAATTCGTTTCTCGACTCTGTAGGAATTGTGGGTGCTGATGTTTACGACAAGGCTAAAAAGATTAAGGACAGTGTTTTTGATACTTGGTCTGATGCTCAATTGAGCCAATGGCTTGAGTCTCATGGCCTTAATTCCAAGGGTTTGAAGCATGATGCTTTGATCAAAGCTGCTCGCGATAATCGAGACCAACTGGGTCGAGATATTTCTTACTATCTTGACTCTGCTTCACGCACCGCTAGTCCCATTCTTGATAAAGCTGGAGAAGCAGCAGCTTCTGTAACTGATTCTGTCAAAAATGTTGATACAAACTTTAACTTATGGGAACCTGAAAAGCTTAACGAGTTTGTGTCCGGTGTAAGGGCTTATGTTCCAGCTTGGATTGACGACGCAACTAGAAAGTTGCGCAGCGATGGCCTCTGGGCACATACTCAGGCATCCAACTATGCTCGTCGACTATTTGATCATTGGTCATCTGCAGATCTTGCTTCTTGGTTGCGTCGCGAAGGTGTGGAAGTGGACACCACAGCAGCTAACGCTCGCGATACACTCGCAAACCGCGCAGCCTTATATTTGTCGACTGCAAATAAGTTTTCGGCCGAAAAGTACCGACAAATGTCTTCACGATTTTCTGCCGATTTCCGCAAGGCTACTGATGGTGCATTTGAAAACTGGTCTGATGACGAATTGCGCTCATGGCTTACAGCCAAAGGTAATGATGCACAGAAGTATGCAAAGTCAGCACACGAAGAGCTTGTTAAAGCAGCCCGTGGAGATTGGGGTCGTTCGTATGTTGAAGGATTTTCAGATAGTACACGAGCTGGAGTAGCTTCTGCAGGGTCTGCTGCTTCCGCGGGTGCATCAGCAGTGGCTGGTGCCGCTGGTGCTGCTGCGCAAGCTGTTGCCGGATCAGTTGGTTCTGCTGCAAATGCTGGTGCTGCTGCTGCTGCCAAAGTTGGATCTAGCGCAAGTTCTGCTGCAGCTGGCGCTGCTCGTGCTGCAGGAAGCTCTGTGAGTTCGGCTGCTTCGGCTGCCGGCGCTGCAATTACAGGGAACCCTCAGCCTACAGGCATCCTTGCTAATGTTCCTAATGCATTCTGGGGTGCATATGGATGGTTCAAGGAGCGACTGAGATTTTTGAGTCCTGGAATTGATGCTGCTGGTCCAACAGAACTGTAAACGGTTTAGCGTCTGCTGTTTTTTTTTTTTTTCAAGTGTAATCATAATTTAAGATGAAAAAAATAGTTAATTTCAATTTTTGTAATTTTAATAATTATAAGTATTTAAAGAAATAAATTTAAGAAGAACATTGAAGCTTGAATAACACCCAAAAATTTTGCAAACAGAAGTTCTGATCACTAATGATACACTGGCTTCATAGTTTATTCAAGCATTTTTTGATTTGCAATTTATTGATATATACATTGTTTCCAATTATGACAGTAGTCCCTGTAAAAAAATTGTGTACTTTAACAGCATGGAATTAACTCATAGAAGTTTTAGCCTCGAAATGCATAGAAAACTTGGCTTAATCAGAGATCATAAGGTTGCTATTTCTTTAAAAGAATTTCTTTGTTTTTTACATTGACAAACAAATATTTCATGTGTATCTAAGCTAGATTGCTATTTTTTGCGTTTGAATTTTTATTACAAGTGTTGGAATTTGTTTCATTTATGTCTACAGTAGATTAAATAAGTTTAGGTTTCTACGAGCAACTCAAATACTTATTGGTTTTCATACTTGCTGTCTAGTGAATTTTGACTGTTAAGGGGATTAAGTATTTTGTCAACTCTTTATATTACATTCAAGTTATATATTTTTGAACCCTTTTGAATATGACCTCAGAATCAAAAAGTTTTTTTTCTTGTTTCTAGGCATTATTTCACAAAATCTGCAATAAAATATTACTTTGATAATCTTTTATCTTTTGAATCTGTTAACAGATTTAAGATTCTAAAGATGCTGGTGGCGTAATCTTGAGGTTGTGCTGATTGAATTTCTTTTTTTTTTTAATTGTAGGTCATATTCATCTGGTTCTGGAAGGAACTAAATACTTCTTTATTTTTATGTAATGAGACAAACTTTAAATTTAGACCTAATTGTTCAAAATAGAAGAAATTGAAAAAAAAATTGGAGCAAGTATATTGAAAACTTGAATAGAAATTTTACAAAAATTCCAAATATGAATCAAATATTAAATCCAATTTTTTTATTTTTTTTTAATATGAAAACCGTACTTTAAAAAACCCTTTAACATTTTAAAATTGGAATTGCTAAGATTATAAGCTTTAAAAGCAAAATATGTACAGCCAGTCAAAAAGGAATGGCTTGTTGTTAACAATTAATTGGACCAGTTTTTTTTTTTTTTTTTCAATCTCAAAAAATCAAAAATCAAAAAGGAAGACCTCAAAATTAATGACGTCAACTCAGATGTTCCGGTCAAAGATTATTGCGGAAGCATTTATTCTTTGAAATATAGAAATTTGGTTTCCTCAAAACACAATGGATTTTCAAATAATCATCTAACAAAAATGGTATTTTAACTTTGTTATCATCAAAATGTTTTCAACCTTTAAGGATAAAATAATAACGTTGACTAAAATAATTGAGAAAATATCTTCAAGTCGAATTATAGTGATTGTTTTGTTAATTTGAGAAAAATAAAGAAACTTCAGAACTACTCATTTTTAAAGTCTTTTTTTTTTAACTTAAACATATTCTATAAAACATTTAGGCATTGGCCAGATTTGGTGTTATTATCATCATGCTACTGGTTTTCCAGCTTTACTTCCTTGTTGATTGTATTGAAAATATGAAATTTAAAATCAAGACGATTGTTTAAAGTGATTCCAAGCAATATAGAATTCTTTTCTTTTGTAAAGTTTAAAATTTTTTTTATTAAGTAAATCAAAATAATATTTTTTAATTGCCTGCCCCAAAGTTTCAAACACTTACATTTTTTAGTTCCATTGGCTTTTTATTTACAACATTTTATTAGAGTCACATGATTAGGGCGTCTGGTGTAGTTGGCTATCACGTTCGCTTAGCATGCGAAAGGTCCCCGGTTCAACTCCGGTGTCGTCCAAAATATCTTTTTTTTTTGTTATATATATAAATATATTGTTTTAAAACAACATTCCTCCATTATTTGAATTGTGTTAAATTGTTATTTTTTTTTTTTGCTTTTCTTTTCAATTGTGATAATATAATTTGAAAATTTCTAAACATTATGTTTTCCCTTTAAAACAAAAACATATCGATATCTTCTTCCCCCCTTTGATCTTATCGTTGTCACGAGGTCTGCCTAGGAATGACAAATCTGTGACAAAGTAAGTCTAAAGATGAGTCACATGTTCTCTAAGCTCTCTTTTTGTTACAAGGTATGTTTTTTTTATTTAACCAGTTTATCGAAAAACCTCTTTTTAAAAATCTAATCGCCGCATTTGGATCAAAAAAAAAAAAAAAAAAAATTTTAAAAAAAAAAACAAACAGTGTCTGGCCTCCCTTTTTCCCTTCTCCCCTTTTTTTTTTTTTTTGCTCCCAACTTAACTAACCATCACAAACATCTACACACTAATCAATCAATCTATCAACCATGTCTGAAGAAGACTTCACTGCCAAGTTCGCGGGCCTTGGACTCGAGGACAAGAAAATCAAGGAGATTGTCAAAAACAAAAAGGTCGCTACGGCTCTTGCCGAAATTGCAGACGAACTTCCTGCAGGGACCACTACGCCTAATGCCAGTACTCTCCACTCATTAGCAACCCTATCTAAAGATGTTGACGCCGAATTGAAGCCTTATCGCAAGCTTGTTACCGACGCAATTGCTGATGGCTCACTTAAAACTAACCTCCAGCTTGATGCTGCTTGGAAATATGTTGTTGCCAATGGAGCAGCCTCCACCAGAAGTGGTCTAGATGAGGCATCCGGTGTTGGTATTGTTGTGACTGAAGCCCAAGTCGAGGAGCAAGTGGCAAAATACATTGCCGATAATAAGGCTTCTATTGAGGAGCAGAGATACAAGGCTGTGCCTTCAATTCTTGTCAATGTCAAGAACTTGCCTTCTTTAAAGTGGGCCAGTCCTGCTCTTTTCAAGCCCATTATTGATAAGCAAGTTTTGGCACTCCTGGGACCCAAGGATGACCGGGATCTCCTTAAAAAGAAGGAAAAGCCTAAAAAGGAAAAAGTCTCTACATCCAAGAATGCAGCCGATGATATTGGCTCTGCTACTAGTTCCAGTCGCTCTATGTTTACCCAGGGCTTCCTTGGTGCTCTGCACAAGCCCGGTGGTAACCCCCAGGTGAACCCTGAGTTTATGAAACAGCATCTTGCCTTTACTGGTGGCAAGGTTTACACTCGATTCCCTCCTGAGCCCAATGGATACCTCCACATTGGCCACTCCAAGGCTATCACTGTTAACTTTGGATATGCCAAGTTTAACGGTGGCAAATGCTATCTCCGTTACGACGACACCAATCCTGATGCTGAAGAGGAGCAATTTTTCACTTCAATTTTGGAGATTGTTCGCTGGCTTGGATTTGAGCCGTTTAAGATTACGTATTCGTCCGACTACTTTGACCACCTTTACGAGCTTGCTGAGCATCTTATTAAGAAGGATCTTGGGTATGTCTGCTTCTGCACTGCTGAGGAGATGAAGCATAACCGTGGTATCAGCGAGGAAGGCAAAGCTGGTGGTGAGCGCAAGAACTGTGCACACCACGGGCAATCGGTTGAGGAAAATCTCAAATACTTCCGGGACATGAAGGCTGGCAAGTATAAGAAGGGTGAGGCAGTTCTCAGAATGAAACAGGACATTACCAACCCAAATCCTCAGATGTGGGATCTTGTTGCATACAGAGTCGTAGATGCTCCCCACCACCGAACTGGCGACAAGTGGAAGATCTACCCTACTTATGACTTTACCCACTGTCTTGTTGATTCCTTTGAGAATATTTCTCACTCTTTGTGTACAACCGAGTTTTACCTTTCACGTGAGTCGTACGAGTGGCTTTGCGATGCTGTCGATGTTTACAAGCCAGCCCAGAGAGAATACGGTCGTCTTAACATTACAGGTACTGTGATGAGTAAAAGAAAGATTGCCAAGCTTGTTGAGGGCAAGTATGTTCGTGGATGGGACGACCCTAGATTGTTTACACTTGTTGCTATTCGCCGTCGTGGTATCCCGCCTGGAGCGGTTTTGTCGTTTGTTGCTCAGCTCGGTGTGACGACGACCAACAGTAATATTCAGGTTGTTCGCTTTGAGTCGTCGATTCGCAAGTACTTGGAGGACTCGACGCCTCGTTTGATGATGATTCCTGATCCAGTTCCTGTTATTTTGGAGAACTTGCCTGAGAACCACTACGAGGAGATGGACATGCCTTTTAAGCCTGGCTCTCCTGAATTTGGCGAGCACAAGTTGCCTTTTACTCGCAAGATTTACGTGGACCGATCTGATTTCCGCGAGGAGGCGTCCAAGGATTACTTCCGTTTGGCTCCTGGCCAGTCGGTTGGTCTGCTCAAGGTGCCTTATAATATTCGTGTGACTTCATACACCAAGGACGAGAAGACTGGTCTTGTTACTGAGATTCGGGCACACTATGAAAATGATGTTGCACACAAGAAGCCCAAGACTTACATTCAGTGGATTGCGGATGCGCCTGAAAAGGGTTCTCCTATTAAACTTTCTGAGGTCCGTTTGTTTGAGCAGCTGTTCAAGTCTGATAACCCTGCTGCCCACCCTGATGGATTTTTGGCTGATATTAACGAGAACTCTGAGACGGTGTTGAAGAATGCCATCATTGACACTGGGTTCTGGGAGGTCAAGAAGCGGTCGCCTTGGAAGGTAGAGTCGCGGCCCGGAACAGCTGAGTCTGATGAGCAGAAGCGGGAGGAAGAGGTTCTGGGAGGCAATGAGAGCCAGTGGACACCCGAAAGTGTGCGGTTCCAGGCTCTGCGAGTTGGGTATTTCTGTATGGACCGGGATAGTGTTGGGGATGATAAGATTGTACTGAACCGGATTGTGACGCTTAAGGAGGATAGTTCCAAGAGCAAGTAGAGAGAGTTTTGGAAATGTTTTGGGATGAAACTAATAATACCCATGAGTGTTTGGAATATGAAAAATTTGTAGTTTTATCCGAAATGATTTGTGTATTTTAAAAAAAAAAAATTAAATAAATAAATAAAAAAAAAAAGCCTGATAGAAATACATGTTTACGAAACAATTAAAAAAAAAAAACGAAATAAAATAAAATGAAAAAATAATTAAAAAAAAAAAAAGGACCCTGGAATTGTAAATTAAGTGGAAGCTTTGCGGAAAGGTTTCAAAAACCCAGACGCCTTTTTCTTTAAGGCTCCGCCAGGACCCAAGTGATTATGCGCGTCGCCTGGAGCGCGGCCGTACGCGGCGTAGGAATACGCGTAGGCAGTGTTAGGGTCTGCTTCAGGAGCAGAAGCCGGTGCAGTTCTGGGTTGCATGAGAGCTGTTCGGAACTCATTTGTATATCTGTCATGACTTGTTTCGGAGTCATTGCGTCCAAGAACAGCAGCTGCATACATTGGAGTAGTAGGTGTTTGCGGGGTGCTATTGGAGGGTTTGCCAGAAGCCTCGGAGCCTAGCTGCGATTGTAATGAAGAGAGTTTGTTATTGTATTCAATAGAACGCTGAAGAGCAGCCTGTAAATCAAACTTGAGAGAAAAAGTGGCCTCCGGGTTGTCAAGAGTGTCGAACAATTTCTGCCAATTTTCCATTGATGGGTCATCTGGATCAAAGTCTGGAGGAAGATCTGGGTCTCTATTTTTGGGTGTTTGGTGGTTATTCTGCGAGAGTTTGCGTGGAAGAGTTTTAGTACTTTTTAAGGGTTCCCTTCTGGGTGCTTCAGGAAGAGCCTTGTGATCCCATGTGGGTAGTTTCTGCGGCTGTGGCTGCTGCTGTGGCTGTCTGCGGGGGGGAGGCACTAACGGCGAGGGAGAATTTGGAGAATTTGTTGTCATTTCCAACGTGACACCAGGCTTTGATCTATTTTGGACTGTCGATGGCTGTCTGGCAGTGGGTGTTGTTGGTGTTGCGGGAGCCGTCCCACGTAGGGAAGAGTCGGCAAGTGTTGCAAAGGAGCTGAGCGTTTTGGTTGACGCGGAAGGCGGCACCGGCGTAGTAGGAGAAGCGTCCAAGTGCGGTCGCGGGGGTAACGCGGCAGCCGGAGGAGGCCCTGAGAAACTTGCAGCGGAGGTGTTTGCGGTGGTGATTGTAGCGGAGCTTCTATCGCTACTTGTGCTACAAGAGGAAGAGAGCGAGGATGGGAGCTCAGCGTTATTGAGGCTTGATGGGACCAGAGGAGACAACGGAGCAGCAGCGGTTGGAGTGGATGCGCAAGTGGGAGAGCCAATGATGGGAGAAAGTAACGGGCCATGGTGGATTTTGATATTTGCAGGAACTCCAGAGATGCCTGAGACGGAGTTAATTGAGATTGTTGAAAATCCGGAGACATTGGATGAGTTTGATGAGTGTTGAGGTTTTTTGACAGGGTAGTAGAGGTCGGTTGGAGGGGTACTATTGAGGGACTCCTGAGCCGGTGCTTGGAATCCTGAAGCTACAGAGGTATTTGCGGCACCAATTGCCGCTGCAATTGTTTCTGGTGAAAGGCCGGGGATTTTGGAGACGGTAGCCACGGGTGAATCATAGTTGGTTGGATTTGTATAAGGGTTAGAAGACACCAAGGGTGAGTAGGAAGCACCAGCGGCAAAGGGAGGTGCTGGGGACGGGATCGGAGACGGGACACTGTTACGGGCGGAGGGAGAAGCAAAAGAGGAAGAAGGGGACGCAGGAGTAAGGGTTTGAGCAGATAGGCCTGAAGGGGTAGCGAGAAGTGAGACAGCAGCAGGAGAGGAGTCTGAAGGGATTGGTTGTTGTAGCTGTTGTTGGTGATGGTGGTGGTTGTTATGGTGGACCTTAAGGTTTGAGTAGTGACTAGAGGAGTCATTATACTTGACGGAAGACATTGAAGATGCCGGGGTAGAGGCTACTGAGGAAGAGATTGTAGAAGATGACGCACTTTTGGAGAAGACAGAATGGGAGTCATCGTCTTCGTTGGAAAGATTTTTTGGTTTTGATTGACGAGGGTCGTAGAGAAAGTCTTCGAGACTTTTGGTGAGTTGTTTGATGGCAAGAGCATCTTGACGAAGAGGTCCTGGGAGATCAAGATCTTTAGGAGAAATTGCATTTGGTCCGAGATTAACAAAAGTCAAGACATCATCAATGAGCTTTAATTGGGTGTACTCCTTGTATGCAAAGAGAGTGCGCTCAGCGCAGTCTCTTGGGAGCGAGAAGAAGTTTTGAAGAGCGGCGACCAGCGCCAGGTTTACAAAGCGGAAGAGAATGGAGAGGTCGAGGGCGGCAAGGCCGTAGCAGTATGAATAGAGAGGATGATTGAGATCAGTATCAGAGAAAATACATGCTAGAAGCAGTCGCATTTGTTGGATAGCGCATTGGATTTGGTTGAGTAGATGGCCTGCAGTTTCTGGGAGGTGTAGGCGATGGCGTTGGGCGGTATCGACGAGGGAAGATTGGTCGACTTTTTCTCTAATGAGGTCAAGATTAAGGAATTTAAAGTGAAGAATTCGTTCACGTAGGTATCTGTTGTAAGCGGAGAGTAATCTATTGTGAGCGGATGCTTGAGGTAAGGCCTTTGCGAGGTTTGGGAGTGCTGGTTTAGTTTGAAAGGCACGATAGTCTGCGAGGATATCGAAAGCGGTACAGTCGACACTGGAACGGTTAGCTGTTGAGTATGTACGTGCGAGGAAGGATAGAAAGACATATTTGGGTGCATTTGCGTCAGAAAGAAGTTGGTGAAAGACGAGATGTGCCTTGAGAGAAACAGTCATGGAAGGCGAGTTAAGTTTTGGGATGAGCAATCTGGCGATGTTTGCATAGGGGGCTTCAGCAGATGATGATGTTGATGATGGTGATGATGGTGATGATGATGAAGAGCTTGTTGCAAGATAGTTTCGGATAGCATAGAGGTACTTATCTTTTGGCGGGGCTTCTTTTGGTTTAGTAGCGCCCTATTTGTTTGATAGTTTAATGTTAGTATAATAGTATAGAGTAGAATAGAATAGAATTGGAAGTAATGAAAGTAATGAAAGTCAATTAGTGAAGACCTAATTATTTTTGCTTACCTTGATAGCTTTTGAAATGGCCATGTTTGAAGATTCTGGGACCATTTTAAAATGTTTTTTTGTAGATTTTTGTTGGTTGAGATGGGGAAGGGATAAGATAGAAAGTGAAAGGGAAAGGGAAAAAAGAAGAAAAAAGAAGAAGGGATGAGATTTATAAAAAAAAAATTAAAAAATAAATAAATAAATAAATATAAAATATATATATAAATAAATAGATAAATGAAGATTGAAATAAAAGCAAAACAAGGAGATTTTATTAACGTCCAAGTCTCAAAGGGTTTTTTTTTTTTTTATTTAAATTTTTTTATTTAAATTTTTTTTTCAATAAATGTGCGTTATTAAATAAATAAATAAAAAAAATTTTAAATAAAAAAAAAAATCAACGCGTTTTGTTGCAGGTTGTCAACAGCAACTACAAAATAGTAAAGAGAGAGAAAAAAAAAAAAATAGTTGCACGGCTAATTATAATTACAAACACACACACATATGCTAGAAATATATATATATCTATTTATGTAAGCAATACCCCTACAGGACCCGCGTGACCCGTACGGCTGTAGTTTGTTTTTTCTTTTTTTTTCATTTTCAAAGATATTTATATATACCAAAAAAAAAAAAATAAAAAATAAAAATTCCATCATTGATTTGATTTTAAACAAGTTTGAATAACAATTTGTTATTTTTTTTTATTTTGTCTATCATCTACAAACATCAAATATTATTATCACACAAAAAAAATAGTTAAGGATCTTTTTTTTTTTAAAAAAAAGAAATCCTGTTTCCAAATATCTGTATATATATCTATCTATCTATCTACAATGACCTTCTTGGTGCTCCTTGTTGCTTTGAACAAACATACCCCTCTCTTTGTTTGTTTCACCATTGTCTCCACATAAACACAAGACCTGTCATGGCAAGGAGATCATCCCCTCAAAATCCTCAATAATAATAATAACAACAACAACAACAACAACAATATTAAAAACAGTAATAAAAATAACAACATCATTCACTATATGTCCAATCTTACCCACCATCTTCTCACATAAAAAGTCTTCTTATTCCCATTATTCCTAATCTTCATCTTCATATTCATCTACTTTCCATACTATAGCAACCTTCTAATGTCTAAAATACCCTTCACTAAGCTACTTTCCCTTCTTTTCTTCCTTCTATACCCCTCCTACGCACAAAAAGTAGGCGTCTGTAGTGACTTTGGCCTAGCTTGTTGGTCAGCTTCCTCAGCCCTCAACTTTGGATGTCCATCCCCAGACTCACTTCCACCAAATTCCCAGTCTTTATCATCATCTTCATCAACAACTCTCCAAGTCGATCCAACTTCAGCTCACAAGTGTCTCTGCCAATCTTTACCTTTCCTACAAACTTATGCCTACTGCATCCGCTCCCGTATCCAAAATCTCTCTCAAATTAACACAGCTTACCTCTTTCTTTACAGACAATGCTTCTACAATGCAGATACCTCCTACTCCCTTGGCCAGTTTGAAGACCTCTACTACAATGCCTCATCATACATGGCTTCCCAAGAATATAACAATTACCTATCATTCCTAACTTCCACTCAAACTCCTACATCTACAACCTTTCTCACTCAAGCCCTAATCAATTCTGAAACCCTCTTGGACATCCCGGTTTCTATAAACAACACTGCCTTTGACAAACAGTACAATGCTGCAGCTATTGCCAAAACCCAGTACCGTCTGGGCTCTATCTACGGCTCACTCTTGTTGGCCTACTGGGGGGCTATTATTGTCATTGCAGCAATCCACCGGTTTATCCAACAAGTCTACCCAGAAATCCTTTTTGCCAATAACAAACAGGTCAACATTATTCGCAAATACCTCATTCTTCCAGCTACTTTTAAACGCAACCGCTCAAGACCAGTTAAGCTTCTTCTTTCCTTCTATCTATGTGCACCTACTCGAGGCCAATCCCTAATCTTGCTCGGATACCTAGCTCTCACAGCGGTCTTTCTTACCATCCATTACGACATTTACCAAGGCAACCCCATCACCCCAGGCACAAAATACCAGCTTCTCAAATACCTCGGATCCCGCTCAGGTATCATAGCTTTTACCCAGCTCCCACTCGTCATTGCCTTTGCTGCACGCAACTCTCCCCTCATCTGGCTCACTGGCTGGCCCTACGACACCTTCCAAATCTACCACCGCTGGACAGCCCGCGTCATGATGATCAACGTTCTTCTCCACTCAGCCTGTTTCATGACCATTGCCGTATCTGGGTGCACATGGGTTTATCGCTGGGAGGAAATTATCAATTGGCGGTTCGGCAACTTGGCCACTTACTCTGGGGTAATCATGGCACTTGTGGCCATTAACAAATTTCGAGAGCATTTTTACGAAACCTTTCTGGTAATTCACAAAATCTTTTTTCTTGCCTTTATGGCGGGCATCTTCCGTCACTGCTGGGACTTTGGCTGGATGCCCTGGGTCTACGCAGCCCTTGCAATTTACTTTTCAGAAAGACTTGCTCGTGTCTTCAAAACAACTGTTTCTGGAGTCATATGCTCCGCCTACGCAGAAGTCTATGACGACAAGGTATTTCGTCTCACGGTCCAATACTCGGGCCGCTGGACTGTCGAGCCCGGTCAGTATTGTTATATTAGGTTTCTTAGGCCCAGTTTGTTTTGGCAGGCTCATCCGTTGTCAGTCTATGCAGGCCCCCACGATGCATCATCATCATCATCATCACCAACCCTGCAGTTTTGCGTGCAGGCACAAAATGGAGCCACCAAAACAATAGCAGAGCACTTGGCCCAGCGCCCAAACAAAAATGGACCACTACGGGTTCTAATTCAAGGTCCATATGGGGTTCCACAAAAAGTCGAGAATTATGATACTGTTATTTTTGTGGCTGGTGGACTAGGTATCACAGCGGTTTACTCATACGCGCAGCATTTAAAACAGCGTGGGAGTAGTAAACATCAACGCGTGGTGGTTATGTGGATAGTGCGTAGTACGAGTTCTTTAGAATGGTTTGGAGAGGAACTGGCAGAGCTTGCAACAAATGGAAGAAACTGGTTTGACATTCAAGTTTATGTCACAGACTCGACTAGTCGGTCAGCCTCGCAGACCAATTTAGCTGTAGAAGACCAACAACTTCCTAGTTTCCCGGATTTGGATCCCTGCGAGACGCTGACTGAGTCAAGAATGCAGCGCGACGATAGTCAAGCAACGCTAAGCCTGGAAGAGCTAGACGAGTTGGAATTAGGCGGTGGAGAGTATCATCAACAATATAGACAAACATGTATTCACTCTATCACAACAGATTCCTCGACCTCATCACTAGCAGCGGCCCTTCATTTACAAATCAAAAGTTCACAGCAATGTCCAGACTCATATGCAGTTCCACTCACGCCAACCCTGGACATGGGAGAATACCAGCGTTTTAGTATGATGCAGTTACAAGAAGAAAATGAAGAAAAAGAAAAAGAAAAAGAAAAAGATTCTCAGTTTTTTTCAGTGGCTGTTCCCAAAACACCAACCACTCCATACGCAATGCACCGCTTTGCTCAATCAGATGAGTCGCTTTCCTCTGAGTTATTTAACTTAGGGACACTACCCAAAGAGGCACAGTGCGGGTACGAGAAGTCAAGCTACAACGAGTTTACGAATATGAGCCGAGGTGGAGCTAACGCGGTTGGATGGGGTGCGTATGGTAAAACTAATGTAATGATTGGGACTACTACTGTGACGCCCGGGGTCCGTGTGATTTATGGTAAGCCCGATGTGAGGCGTGAGATTGCAAGAAGTTTGAAAGAAAATGTAGGGAGGCGTAAGTGTAGTAAAGATGATGGTGATTGTTTAGAGTCGGGGGATTTCCATGGATCTTTGGATAAGAAAAGTCAAGAATATAAAGGCATTGGAAACCCGCTGGCAGTAATGTCGTGTGGACCACCTGGGCTTGTGGATAGTATTCGGGCCTCGATTGTGGAACATTTGCTAGATTCTGAGGGTCGAGTTGATTACTTTGAAGAGGCCTTTTCGTGGTGATGAAGAAGAAGAAGAAGAAAATAAAAATAAATGAATAAATAAGGTGTTTCTTTTAATTAATTAAATAAAGTATATAGACAATATAGGAACAGAAACAAGTAATAGGATAGAAATAGAAGAGATTAGTTGCCTAATTAGAAGAAGACTAAAATAAGGGGGGGGGAGAGGAATAAAGTGAAGATTAATTTTTTTTTTTTTTCAGGGGTGAGAAGGTTTTAACTAAAGAAACAATTGCGCTATTGTTTTTTTTTTTTTACTACTTAAAATTAAAATTAAGACTAAGTCAATTGTTTACTATTTCCCATTTAGAGTAATAACTTCTATTTGCATTTATTTATTTATTTATTTAAGACTAATAAAGTGATTAAATTCATTTGAATATTAATACCATTGTTATTAATTGACATTTCTTTACTGCTTGAAGATTGTGTATTTTATGATGAGATTTAAGATCTTAATAGAAGAAGAAGAAGAAGAAATTTTAAACAAAAAAAAATCTTTTAATTAAGAATTGTTATTATATAGTCAATATGAATTTAAATATTTGCAAGAGATTTTTCTTTTTTTTTCTTCTTTTACTACCCTTAAAAACTATTTCAAACTTTTAATTAATTATTTCACCATAGTTTATTAGTTCAAATATTTGGCTGTTGTTAAATGGCCAGTTTTTTATTTTTATTTTTTTTTTTTTTTTATTATTTTTGTTGTTTACTTTTTTTCTCCCCACACATACAAATTGAAGATTTAAGCCGCAACCCGTATTTGGAGGAGGAGGGGAGGGAGGATGAGAAAGATAATTTTAAAACCAAAAAAAAAAAAAAAATTATATATTTATATATTTATATATTTATATATTTATATATTTATATATTTATATATTCTCTGACTTATGAATTAACTTTCAATATATAAACATCTGCTCTTTAACTATGTAGAAGCTAGGAAACTAACTCCTTTTTTTTTTAATTATGATATACAAATATGAAATATAATATCCGGATATATTCAAAGAATTTCTTTTCTCTCTTTTGTACATGTTAAATGATTGGAATGTATCAAACAAATATCATTGATTTTAACTTTCAAAAAAAAAAAAAAAAAAAAAAAAAATACTACGCGAATAATTCAAGAGTTAAGAATTTCAAGTTTTTTCTCCTATGATATATATATATATTTTCTTGTCTCTTTCTTTTAATACATCTTCAACGGTCATTTTATATTATATATATATATATATATATACGGTATACCGTATCAATCTCTACCCAGTCTTTTTTTTTTCCTTTTTTTTTACCTTTTTTACCTTTTTTTTTCTTCTAAAGTAATATCCATTCTCTATCCACATTGTTGTTATCAAGTTGCTATTATTATTATTTTTTATCTGTTTTTTTTTTCTCTTTTCTCTTCTCTTCTCTTCTCTTCTATTTTAAATACCCAATTGATGGATTTATTTTTGTTTTCTATCGGGTCTTTTTTTCATTCTTCTATATATACCACGTACAAAACACGCTTTACATTCCGTTGAATTTTATTTTATTTTTATTTTTTATTATTTATTATTTTTAAAAGAGGGTTTTCCTCTCCTTTTAAACGCCTGCGCCGCACGTACCCCTTTTTAAGAGTTGTACTGAAATATATATATCTATATTTTCTTTTAAAAGCTGGGGGGTCTTTCTTGAAATGAAAAAAAAAATTGTTATTCCTTTTTCTTTTTCTTTTTCTTTTTCTTCTTCTTACAAGTCTTACCAGCATTGTCTTAAACATTGTGCACCGATAATTACTGGGATTTTAAAAAGAAAATGTGTTTAGCGCGTTACGAAAAGGACTTTGAGTAAATCTTATAAAGAACAAGACATGATAATTTGTGAGAGTTAAATTGAATGCATATGCGTTTATTTTAAAGAAAAAAAATTTTTTTAAAAAAATAAAAATAAAATGAGATAGAGGAAAAGGTTTTATTGAAATGGCTGGTTTTAAAGTCCATTTTTTTTTTTTTTACATGTCAAAAGCTTTATTTTTATTTTTTTTTAATATTATTTTTTCAACTATTAATGGTTTATTTTTGGGATAAATAGATAAATAGATAAATATATAAATATATAAATATATAAATATATAAATATATATATATATATATATAAAATAGAGATAATCTTTCTCTCTTTATTTTATTTTTTATTTTTTTATTCGATCCGCAGTATTAAAATTTAATCAATATTTTCTTTGAATCATAAATACTTCCCCCATCTACATCATTTTTATTAAACTGTTTGACATTAACTTTAAATTTAAATTTAAATTTAAATTTATTATTTTTATTATTATTATTATTTTTATTATTATTATTATCATGATAATATAAAATAATCTTTTTAATTTTCTTCCATTATCATCATCATCATCATATATACTGTTAAACTCATCTAGCATCTATTTCGATCTTTACTTAAACTAACCGACGATTTCTTTAATGATTGCTGTTATTATTGATTAAACAGCAAGGTTCTTATGTAAATGTAGCTTGTAATCAGTGCGCACGAGACTTTTCCTTATAAGCTGTATTAATAAGTAAGTAAGTAAGTTAGTAAGTAATAATAATAATAATAATAACGTAACTTTTGTTTGTTTAATAATAATATTATTATTATTTAATTATTTATATTATAATATAAATATTTAACTCATGAGTAAAAAAAAAAAGTCCTTATTTTATTTTTTATTTTCTCATAATTATTTTGTAGTTTTCGCCTTGAGCTGCCTTTTAGTGACAATGTAAGCTTCTTTTTTATTTTATTATTATTATTATTATTATAATTATGACTTTAATTATTGCTTTGAAAGTCGTACTTTGAAAAAAAAAAAAAGAAAAAAAGAAAAAAAGAAAGAAAGTAAGTAAGAAAGTAAGAAAGTAAAAAAAAAAAAAGTATTTTATTTTAAAGTCAAAATAAAGATGCTGAGAATGAGAAAAAAATATATAAAATGAAAAAAAAATGAAAAAAAAAATGAAAAAGACCTTAGCAGTTTTAGAAACTGTTGAAAATAAAATTAAATAAAATTAATTTTATCATTTTCATCATAATCAGCAGTTTATTTATTTATTTATTTATTTATTAAATTAATACCTTCTCATCATCATCATCAGTAAGTTTAATTAAAAAAAAAAAAAAAAAAAAAAAACTGCTCAGGTCACAAGCTTTTTTTATTTCTCTCTATTTCTTTCTTTCTTTCATGCGGCGTTCTAAAACAATTTTTTTTTTTTTGAAAATACATAAATTGCAACAACAAAAAATATCTATATATTATTTCCATTCAATTCAATTCAATTCAGATTATTATTATGTCCGGACATCCGTACGGGCATTGAAGGCTTGTAAAAAATGGCTTTTGAAGAGAAATAAATTTATATTTTTTTATTATTATTATTATTGTTATTATTATTATTATCATTGTCATTATTTTCAAAAATTTAACAACTTTAACAAATAATTAAAAATATAAATAAAATAAATATTATTCCCGGCATACAGTAAACTCATAATAATAATAATAATAATAATAATATTTTAATAGTCACCTTTCAGTGGGCTTTGTTCTGATTCTTTTGTGTCTACAAACGATAAGCCATCTGATTATTTTTATTTTTATTATTATTAAAAGATCCCGCATAAAACTTTTCACTACTGTATATTTTGTGTTCTTTTGCACTATTTAAATATATATATGTATATAAAAAAAAGGCATTTTCCGTTCGGTTTCCTTTTTTTTCCTTTTTTTTCCTTTTTTTTTTTTTATCAGATTAAATTTTTTTTTTTTAATATATAAGTCTTCTCTCTCCCTCCCCCATCTGACTCATTTCCACCATCACACGATTATCTTGATATCATCTTTTCCATCTCCCAATCATATCCTTTCATTCCCATTTCTCCCTTTTCACACACATACACACACATCATCATCTTCATCATCTCATCCCACAATAAATATGAGAACTCATATAACATCTCTCTGCCGTCACATTGCAAATGAACTCGGCCTTCACTCACTTCTAAGCTCTGCCCGTGACGTGCGTCTCCTCATCCTCATCAAGTTTGTCCGCATGGTAGCGTTTGGTCAATCTTCCATCTTCCTAGTCCAGTTCTTTAACGCCCATGGCTACTCTGAAAGCCTGTCAGGACTCTTCATGAGTAGTACCCTTATAGGCGATGTCATCATCTCTTACTTTTTAACTCTCAACGCAGACCGCATCGGCCGCCGCAGGGTCCTTTGCATAGGCGCCCTAATGATGCTAGCATCCGGTGTCGTCTTTGCCGTCTCAAATAACTTTTATATCCTCCTACTAGCTGCCGTCATAGGTGTCATTTCCCCCTCAGGATCAGATATTGGACCTTTCCAAACTGTCGAGGAATCTACTCTCGCCCATTTGGTCGCCCCCCAGTACCGTAATGATATTTATGCCTGGTACTCCCTCGGATCCGCTCTCGCACTCGCATGTGGTCACATATCCGGAGGATGGCTCATCAATGCCTTGACGGCTCCACGAATCGGTCTTTCCTCCCTAGAAGCTTATAAATCCATCTTTTTCATTTTTGCCATCTTTGGTGGCCTTAAGCTCTTACTTTCTCTCAGTCTTTCCCATAAAGTCGAGGCTCCACTCTATGAGCTTTCGTCAACCTCATCATCTTCAATCAATAATAAAAAAATAGAACACACTTCCACCCCACCTTCGGAAACTACCTCGTTACTCAGCCCACCACAAACCCCAATCGATCAAGAAGCTTCTCTCACCCCCATCACCCCACGACGCAAGTTTTCCATCCTCCCAGAGCTCTCAGCAGCTTCAACAAATATCGTCGTCAAACTTTCGCTGCTCTTTGCTCTCGACTCGTTTGCATCTTCTCTCATAAAGTCAACATGGGTCTCGTACTACATGACGAAAAAATTTAACATCAACCCCACAGTCCTGGGCTCTACCTTCTTCGTCACTGGTATCATTGCATCTCTCGCAATGCTGGTGTCTTCCTCCCTAGCAAAACGTCTGGGACCGGTCCTCACCATGGCTCTTACCCATTTCCCCTCCTCCGCTATTCTCATCTTCTTACCAATGCCCGCTTCATTTTCTGCCTTTTTTATCCTGCTGGTTCTTCGCTCATGCACTTGCCAAATGGACGTGGCTCCTAAACAGGCCTTTCTCTCAATGGTCGTTCTGTCATCAGAGCGTACCGCAGTCATGGCTTGGGTTAATGTCGTCAAGACGTGCTCCCAGATCTTTGGCCCCTCCATTGCAGGATTTCTGGCTCACGAAAACAAGCAGTGGATCTGCTTCGTGCTTGCCGGATCTCTCAAGGTGTTGTATGACATTTTGATTCTGTTGACTTTTGCATTCAAACCATTCATCTCTTCGGAGCAATGATTTCATTATTACAAAAAAAAAAAAAAATCATTTTTATGTTTGTGAATAGACTTTTTTTACCATGTTTTTTTTTATTTTTTATTATTTATATTTAGATAGGAAGTTTTTCTTTAAAATGCATTTGTTAATTTTTTCATCACTTGTCAAAAAACTCATTTCTATAAACCTTTAAATGTTTTTGAATCCCCATCATCTTTTTTTTTTTTTTTTTTTTTTCTTCTTCTACAACCAACTCAAAATGAATCAGCAATTTGTAACAGCTTTTGAAGATTTGTATAAAGCACTTACTACTAGAGAAAAGTACGCTCATTCTATTCATTTCTCCTTGTAAAACATCTAACGTCGCAGCCTCTCGTCAATCCACTGGGATCTCCTTGAAACCTTTCTTTTGAGAACAATCAGTGAGCAAGAGTTTGAAGAAGTGGTACGTTCCCTCAAAAAACATTTAATGTTTCAGCTAACATCCAAATAGAATGGTACTGCTGCAGACGACCTTGTAGATAAAACTATCAATGCCCTAACCGTTACTACACTCTACGATGACCGTGCATTGAACCTCATTGGAAAGCTATGCTGTTTCTACGGAACCAACCCTCGTGCATTCATCATTCTCTCAGTATGTCAATCTCTTACCATCTTATTCCTCAAATCCTCTTCTAATCCTCCTTAAGGAATATGCAACACATATCCCTGAACTTTCTGATGTTTCCCTAACAAGCATGCTTCTGACCCGTCTTGCCAAAGTCGATGAAAACGCATGGCGAATGGCTAAACTCTGCGCCGCCCTTGTCACCCGTTTTTCCAACCACCGTCACGAAGCCGCAAAAATCCTTCTCAAAAATACATTTTACAAGTTCGGTGACATCATTACCAAAAGCTACGATCTCGTGCTCCAATGCTATTTCATAGAGCTCATCAACAATTGTGTCCCAGCAAGAGTCTATACCCGTGGGCCTCCCTTTGTTTCTGTTTTGTGGCCAGAAAGTCCTGAAGAACTTTGGACTTCTCTCCCCAGTACCCTCTCCGTTGACACATCCTATTTCGAGTACTTGAAAAAGGTCGACAAGTTTCTTAGTAATCAGTAAGTATATCTTAATATTTTTGGTATTAATTTTCTAATCCCCCCTCCTCCAGACCTCGCACAAATGTTTTCCCTATTGCCAAAATGGAATTGCTTTCGCCTCTTAGCAATGCCCCCATAATGGCTCAGGTCTCTAGTTCCAGTCTTCTTTTGATGAAACCCAAAAGCCACACCAATCTTGAAATTGAATTGTTAGAGTTTTCGTTTAAGCACCTTGTTCGTACTACCAAAAAAAGCACAAAATCAATGCAGTACATCTTCTCATCTACACAGTCTCAGGTTTTATTTGCTTTGGACAATAGAACTTGGAACTCAGCCTCTCTTACCTTGGAGTTTGAAGATGAAAAATCAGAAAAACAATTCTTTGCTCAAGTCATGGGTTTCATAAAAGAAAAAGGTTGGAACACTCCGGAAATATCTGGCGTCAATATACTCAAAATGTCTGTAGTGGATACAAGTATTAATGTTTCTTCTCCCTCAACAACTCGAAACAAAAACGAGGATACTTTCCCCTCTAGCTCAGAAAGTAGCAGCATATACTTCCAACAATCACCTTTACCTGCTCGCAGGAAAATGTCTCAGGGAGATTCAATCATTTCCCTAAATGAAAAGTCTTGTCCGGCCATCCCGCGGGCTCCTACAACAAAGGTACAAGGTACCCAGCTGCCACCGCCAATTCGAGCTGGGTCTATTGTGAAGTTTCTCCCCATGGCTGATTCACAAAAAATTAATCCGAAAGATCAGCCAGTTACAGAAAATTTCAAGTCACAAGTCACTCATAAAACACCAAATTCTGTTGATCAAAGCTCGTTTACTCCTGCCAAGATACAAAAGGTTTTAAATAATGTGCCCATTACCCCAATTGTCTCTAATGTTGTTACTGAAAAACAACAAAGTGTAAAAAAAATGGCAGTCTCGGTCCCCACCTTGGGGGTCAAGGGGAAAGCTAAAGGGTATAAAAGTGACGAGGACGAGTTTTGGGACCCTCCAACACAGTCTAAAAAGGACACTGCAATTGCCAGCAAAAATGTTTCACCAGTACCACCAGTTGTTGCCCAAACACCTAAAGAGTCTATTCAATTAAAAAAGAGTGCCAAAAAGGCGGTGATCAAAGGTAAAGCAAAGGAATCTCCCAAAGCAAGACAACCCAAGGGTAAATCGGTACGGGGGAAAAAAGTAAATGCGGAGAAGGCGAGCGAGAGAGCCGTGGAAAAGGAGAAGGAAAATAATATAGGTGACGACAACGGAAACAAACAAAATTTAGAGGAGGAGTCTATTCAACAGTCTTTGGAGCATGAAAAGCCTGACGAGAAGGAAAAGTCTGTCCAAAACCTCTTGGGAGGGCTAATTAAACCTGAAGAAATTGCAGGAGACGTAAACAAAACACAAAACAAAACCCTAAACCCTAAAGAAGCTCTAGAACCTCCTGGTGATTCAAAGAAGGAGGAGGATGAGAGAGAGAGAGAAGAATATGAATCGGACCAACCAACACGGCGTGGTCTTCGAGCTGACCGGCGGGCGCGTCGATTGAAGAATGAAGAGGAAGAGAAAAAGCGTAAAAGAGAAGAGGTATTGCAGGAAAAGAAGCGTAAAGAAGAGGAATTGAAGAAGAAGCGAGAAGAGAGGTTGTTGAAGAGGCGTGAGGAGGAGGAGTTGAAGAAAAAGCGGGAAGAAGAAGAAGATGAATTGAAAAAAAAGAAAGAACTGAAAAAGCTTGAGCAAAAGGCTTTGGAAGAAAAACGCAAAGAAGAAGAAGAAGAAGCTTTGGAAAAAAAGCGTCAGCAGGAAGCTTTGGAAAAAGAAAAGAAACGAGAAGAGGCATTGAAAAGGGAGGAACAAAAGCGCAAGCAAGAGGCATTGGAGAAGAGTAAGAAGGATGTTTTAAAAAAACAAAAGCAGGAAGTTCTTGAAAAGAAGCGCAAACAAAAGCAAGTCTTGGAAAAAGAAGAAAAGAAACGACTAAAGGTTGAAAAGCAAGGAGAAGACAGTGGTGACATGGATCATGGAGATCATGTCGAAGAATTGTCTAATAAACCTATTTCTGAAGTTGTTTCACCTCCTGTTGATTTTCTGGCCCCAATAAGCACCAATTCAGTAGCGTCAGTTGTATCCAAGGTACTTGAGAATTTGGGTCATCGCGAGTCTGACGGACCCTCAATTGCTACTGTTGTGTCGGAGGTGTTGGCTACCTTGAATAAACCTTGCAAGGAAACTCAAAATGTGCATGAGACAAGAGTAGAACAAGTCAAAGAGGAAGAGTCTAGCAATGAGTTTACTGGAGTGTCGAGCATTTTAAAAGATCATGGAACTTCTTTTGTTGCGAAAAGCAATGATTTCAATGGCACGTTCGACACACCAGTCAAGGTAGCAGGAAAAGATTCCACAAAACCCATGCGAGGTCCAGTGGCATTTTCCACCCCACGGAATATTGCGACAAGCGGTAAAGTTACCAAAACAGAAAAGGATTCAATATCCTCTTCATCTGGGGCAGGACTTAATTCGCTCAAAAGTGAGATGGCAGCCAAGGAAAAAAGCTTAAGCTTTGGTACTCCACTTAAAGTTGCAAGAATACTTGCCACGGAGACAACAACAGCTCCTCTTAAAAGGACCACCAAGGATTTAAAGGGCGGTTTCTCGTCGTCATGCTTTGTTGGTGCAGCCCCAAGTAATGGAATTGGTGCTAATAATAGCACCACTTCTGGATCTCCTACCTTAAACAACCCACGAGTATTTACTACAACGTCGCCATGGGAAAGTGCACCAGACACGTATCAGGCTCAAAAGGATAGGTTTTTGGAGACTGTGACTGGGCAGAGGGAAACATTTCATGAGCTTTTGGGGCACTTGACAAAGCAAGTAGTTCGAAAGATGGAGTTTGTGGAGATGAGGATGCTGAAAGATACGGAACAATTTGAAGAATGGTTTGAAAGGACTAAGGATAAAATGAAGACTAAGGAAGATGGATGGCTGGCCGAGATGGCACGATTGAATGTAGTGGCTAGCCAGAGTGCGGAGCGAAGCCTTGCATCATTACAGGCCTGGGCGGTTTTACAGAAATAAGGCTATACATAAGGTTTGCTTAAGATGATTTATTGATTGATTGATTGCTTTGAAGTTGATAATAATTTTTTTTTTTTTCATTTTCAGCATAATAAATGTCAAAAAAAAAAAAAAAAAAAGAAATGGAAAATGTCAGTTAGAGACTTTGGAAATACGCCGCACAGGGCATGGTAATTACTTGATTTGGGAAGAAGAATTTGGATTGAATGAAATCTAAAAAAAAAAAAAAAAAAATGCAATATATAAACAACTTGCACATGAGGATCTCCTTTTGAAGCAACGAGCCTGAGACAAGAGTTTCAAGGTTCAAAAGTATGTGAGTCAATTGGGAAAGGTTTTTGCTATAAAAAAGTAAAAAATTAAAATAAAATAATAAATAAAAAATAAAAAAATTAAATGAATAAAGATGAATTAGAATAAAAAAAATAATCACGTATTCATTTATTATTAGTGCTAAATACTATATAAAAAATTATTTTGATAAAAATTATTTTTATTATTATTATTCTAGTCTTTTTTTTTTCTCTTTCTTTAAACTTCGAATTTTTTTTTTTTTTTTCAAATTTTCATAAAAATGGGCCATTTGACTAAAGTCTTTGGCCAAATCCCTCGTCATTTCCAAAGTAAAGAAAACATTAGTGCACCGACTAACCAGCAACAACAACAATATGATGGGATTAGAACCAGTATATCAATACGAAGTCTACGAGGAACAAAACGAGGGAACAAGCGGTGGTCTCGAGGGAAAGAAGAAAATGCAAGTAATCAAAGCAACATGTCGTCTCAAGAAAGTTCAAGTTCAAGTTCAAGTTCAAGTTCGGAGCTGACGAATTTGGTGGCTGAGACAGATTTGTCAACAACAATAGTCAGCACAAAAGGCTCGAGTGATCAGCAAAACATCGACTCAAATGAAACGCAATCGCCGTTTGGTGACGTGGGCGAAGAAGAATATGTGGTGATGGAAAAGGGATTGCAAAGTCAGCATTCAGACGAGAGTTCAACGTCGGATCCTGAAAAGGAAGAAAATGGTGAGAATCAGAATAAACAGAAAACAAGCCCATTACAAACCACTCGGCCTAGAGGATCAAGTGCAGGAAGTTTTTATAATGCAGCAGCAGGAACTGGGCCATTAGTTTCAAACGCAAGCGTTATCCCGGCATCAGAGTCTTCCCCAGTACTCCCCCCATTACCACGGGCGCCGGATATTTCTGTAGAACAAGCAGCTAGTGCCAGTTTGATGGCATTACATGAGTCATTGCACTTGGCCAATCTGAGAGACCCGACCTTGCGTGGGAGTAACAATTTGAGTAATGGGCGTATGCAGAATAGTAGCTATGGATCTGGAGGTAGTAGCAGTAGTCGTCGGATGAGCCGGATAGAAAGCATGGCTGGAAATATAGGAGCAGAAGAAGGATTAGTTTCACCATCATCATCATTGGCAACTCCTATACAAACAATTACACCAGAAACTATTGTGGGGTCGTCCGACCGGTTTCTGATTGAAGCAACAACTCGCAGTTACCGGTCGTTGTTTCGACAAAATGGAGAAGCATCAGAAGGGAAATCTATGTCAGGGTCTGAAGTTTCCACAGGGTCCTGGTCTGCTGGGACCCCCAAGAATGGTGTTCGGGGGAACGGCCGATTTTTAGGGTCGATGCGTGAAAGATTAAGTCCTGGGGGGTCACTTTCACGGCACAATACAAATGGAGGGCCCATACAACTGGCAACAAGCAACAGCAGTGGCATCAGTAGCTTTGACAGTGGAATCAATAGCAGTGGTGACGATCTACGTGAGACTTTCTCCGAGGTGGTCAAACTTAATGGCTCAACAGAAGTGTCAGCAGGACGAGTAGAAAGACTTTCAGGGGTCCATGATCCTCGGCTTGAGCTTAAATGGAGCATTATGACACCAATGACGACACCACCAACACTACCATTACTACCATCATCAATGTTACCACTACCACCAACGACATCCAAAGCAGGGAACGGGTCAAATGGTCGGTCGGCACTCGTTTTGGGTAGTAACGGGCAACTGGCGGTGACCACCGCGGCTGTGGCGGCGGCAGCGGCAGTGGCAGCAAGCGCCAATTTTAGTGGGCAGACATGTGTAGGAGGAGAAAAGGGGAGAGTAGGAGGTACCACCAACGGCAAAGAGTCTTCACAGCCGGGGCAGGTGGATATAAAAACTTCCAACAGCCCCGCCATTTGCCCAGAAAATAATAGCAAACTTGAGTTTCAACAAGAACAACAAGAGCAACAACTACAACTACAACAACAACTACCATTTCAACCATCTCAACAAAAAACACAACTTGAACATCAACTAGTAATGACAGAAGACGACTTGTACCCCTTGACATGCGGGTTTGAAGACGAAGACCCAGCGTTCCATGAAAGACACTATAGACGACACAGATTTGCTCACGAAAAACGGCTTCATGAACAGATGCCGCAGTACCGGCGACTCATTCATAGCATCCAGAGCCAGGCAACCAGTCGCGGAGACGAGTACTATGATCCAGTAGTAGCCCAGCGCGACGGGTTAACACTTTATTGGTCAGATGTGCGGAATTTAGAAGAGGGAGAGTGGCTGAGTGATACTGATCTTGCTTTTGCGTATGCGCATTTAGAGGCGACAGTTCTTGCACGATGCGAGAGACGCCATGAGGTTGTACTGTTACGGCCTGCACTTGCATATTTGTTACAACATGCACCGGAGTCTGCAGAAGAATTAGCTTCAGCTTTGCCGGCGTTTGATGAGGCCCGGTTCGTGTTTCTACCCATCAATGATAACTTGGATGTGAGCGCGAGTTATGGCGGCACACATTGGTCACTGTTAGTAGTATCGACGCATGATCATAAGGCTTTATATTACGACACACTACATGATGGTGTGGTGACTGCGGCGGCACAGCGGACAGCAGATAGATTGGCAGCTGTTATGGCAAGAAAGAAAAGTCCTGGCTCTGGTTCTGGCTCTGGTTCTAATAATCCTGGATCTGGTCGGCGGCCGCACAAATTAAGTACGGTTGCGGTGCCAACTCCGCGACAAGTCAATGGCTCAGACTGTGGAGTGCTTGTTGCCGAAATTACGGCGCTACTGCTACGGCGACTTGTTGCTGCGACTGAAGCGCGACAGCCTGTGAATCTAGGTATGGAGGGTGTTTATTTACTTGCCTCTGCTGGGCGAACGTACTTACTTTCGCAGATGCTGGCGTTGATTGAAGAGAACGAACACAAGTACAGTAGTAATCATAATAATAAACTGTCAGCAATGAGTAGGGGAGCAACAGCAGCAGCAGCAGCAGCAGCAACAACAACAACAACAACGGTTGTAACGACAGGTGAATTAACTGGTTCCATTGAAAAGAAGGACCGAAAACTGCTCCACAACTGGCGCGAAAAGCGCTCATCTGGAGGAAGCCGCAGTCGCAGCCGTAGTCGGGGGTCATCAAGCGATACCAGTGACACCAAGTCTGCTAGTCCTGAAGGCAACAAACGGCGGTGGAGTCTACGGCATAAGACGAAGACTAGAATTTAAAATGGAAAAAAGAAGAAAAAGAAGAAGAAGAAGAATCTATAATTTTTTATTATTTTGTTTTTTTATATGTATATTTTTGTTTTTTTTTTTAGACTCTGCAATTGGAAATGTTAAAGACCAAAATATCCTCAGCTCCATTAGCCTCGAGCTTATCCATGACTTGAGCAATATCTGTTTGCAGAACCATACTAGAAACAGCGACCCAGTTATCTTCCTCGAGTTGGGTGATGGTAGGGGCTCTACGGCCTGGAGTAATTTTGAGGAGTGCTGGGAGATTATTTCTTGGTGCATTATAATTGCAAAGAACGTAACGGGAAGCAGCAAGAACACCTTCGATACGAGAACGAATGATTTTAACACGTTCAAGATCTTCTTGTGAAGCATGCTTGGATTGTAAAAGCCAAGCAGAAGTATTGAGAAGAGTACCAATAGGCTTGAGGCCAGCAGCACGCATGGTTTCGCCTGACTCGACGAGATCAACAATGGCATCTGCAACGCCAAGAGCGACAGCAGCTTCGACAGAGCCGCCAACATATTTTATGGTAGTTTTAAGGTTTGAAGTTGATATCCGGTTATCATTGGCATCAGAAGTTTTAGATCCTTCAGCAGCAGCAGCAGCTTGTTCAGCCTCAAGTTTGGCAAAGAATTCCGTGGTAAGCTTTGTAAAGGAGGTGACGATAGATTTTCCAATGAGTTGCTTAGGTTCAGAAAAGGGACCATCTTCAGGGACCTGGACTTGTAATTTGCACTTGCCAAAACTTAAATCAAGTAACATATCACAATCCATACCACTTTCACAGACTTGGTCATAGCCTGTGATACCGAGGGCACACTTTCCTTCAGCAACGAAACGGGGGATATCAGCGGCTGGTAAGAAGACGAGAGCAACGGGCATATTTGTAGAAAGAGCGATATCAAGGCGGTGGGATCTTTTGAACTGAATGTCAGCGCCATTGAGCAGTTGGATTGCGCGTTCATTGAGACGGCCCTCTGAATAAAGGAAAGGAAAGTGTTAGGATAATGATGAAAATTAAAATGAAGATGAAGATGAAGATGAAGATGATAGATAGATAGATAGATAGAGATATATTATTGGTATATAGGCATACTTTTAGGGACGGCAAAAAGAAGTCTGTCTGTGAGGTGATTGACCAAATCCATTTTGAGTAGTTGAATAAGGATAGTTTGTGTGTTTTATAAGATGATGATTATGGTGAGAATAATAATAATAATAATAGTAATAATAAAGATTGTGGTAGGAAGAAGAGATTTTTTTTTTTTTAGGAATGGATGTACTTATAATTAATTAAAAAAATAAAAGTTACGGAAAAATTTTTCAAAATTTAAATTTTTTTTTTTTATATATATAAATAAATTAAAACAAAAAAGTAAAGGAAATAAACAAACTTATATATATATATTTCTACTACGATATAACTACAAATCAGTCATTAAAAAAAAAAAAAAAAGAGAATCTACTGTAGTCATTTATATATTTAAATAAATATTGGAAATCCCCCCCCCCTAATTGGTGATGTTAATATATTTTTTTTTTTTATTAAATAATTGAGTCATCAAAATCACCAAAAAAAAAAAAAAAAAAAAAGCACAGCTAGTAAAAGTGTTAGACTAATGCCATGTGGTAAGTAGGTTGGTAGGAAGTAAGTAAGTAAGTAAGTTGGTAGGCTGTTATTATTTATTAAATGTATGGCAAAAGGGGGGGAAAGGATGGACTGAAAAATTTCATGGGGAGGGAAAAAAAAAAAAAAAATAAATAAAAAAAAAAGTTGTTTTTTTAAGATATAATAATAATAATAATATATGAGATCAGGGTTAGGGGGATATGTGTGTTTTTTATTTTATTTTTATTTTTATTTTTAATATTTTATTTTTATTTTTTTTTTTTTTTTGGGGGAGAGGGGAGGGTTTTAAAAAAGAAATAGTAATAAAGAGATTCGAACTGAATAATTTTTAAAATTTTTTAAATTTTATGTGAAAGAGACCAGAAATTGAAGTAGTTGAATTTTCTGCGGCTTAAAGAATCTGTTTATGGTAATGACGTAGATATATATAATATACTATAATAAATACATATATATATATATATATATATATATATTTGTGTGAGTGACTGCTATTTCCCAAAGTAGTATTATTTATTACATAATTATAATTATAATTTTTTTAAAAAATGTTACACTTTCTTAAAACACTACTACTACTCTTAATTACATTACAATAATAATATATATTATATACCTAATTTACAACATTTCATAACTTGCAACAATCATGATATTTAAAACCAAAAGAAAAAATAAAAAAAAAAAATTTTTATTTATTTACTTTAGTTGAAAATTGGTATCTGCGGCTCATATAATATAAACCCTAACCCGTTATATAATGGTTTATTTTATTGGGATTCCTTCGCACCACCACTGTCTTTCTGCCTTAGTCCCAGTTTACTGTGTATATATATATATATATATATTTACACCTTCTTATTACAATACCATATAATATAATATATATTACATACACACTATTGTATATTTTTTTGTTTCTTTCATTCTCTAGTAGGTGGCTCTCTCTCTCTCTATATATATATATATATATATATAATCTTTGTCACCACTTTTAACCCTTAACCATTAACCCTTAACCCTCAACCCTTCTTTCTCTCTCAAAAATTTTTTTTTTTTTTCGCTCCCCCCCTCCCCCCTTTTTTTTTTTGGTTTTTTTTTTTTTTTTACTTTCCTTTTCTCACCACGTCTGAGGAAATTCTTGCCCTACCCGACAACTGCAACTCACACATCACATAGTCAAAAATGGTGAGTTTTGATTTTACCTCCTACTGTCTTTTTTTTTTTTTCATCAGTCATTCATTTGATTTATATTGGCATCATCATCATCATCAAGATACTGTCGTTTTTTTTAATCGATCAAAACATTATATCCAGCACTAATCTCAATACCAATAAATTTTTCAACTCTTTTTTTCAAAAAGAAAAAAAAAACTTATGATGATTGGCCTATTTTGATATTGATACCCTTCCTTTTTTATCTTTATTTTTTCTCATTTATTTATTTACAATAAAAAAAATTATAAATACTAATACCTTTTTTCTTTAGGATACTAAGACTCCTGTTAAGTTGGCCAAGGTTATCAAGGTGCTCGGCCGCACCGGCTCCCGTGGTGGCGTCACCCAGGTCCGTGTTGAGTTCATTGACGATTCTTCGCGCACCATTGTCCGCAACGTCAAGGGCCCCGTCCGTGAGAATGATATTCTCTGTCTCATGGAATCTGAGCGTGAGGCCCGCAGACTCCGATAAATGTTCTTCTATTTTTATTTTTTTTTTTTTTTTTTTTTTTTTTTGGCCATTTTTTTTTATTGATGGGAGGAAGATTAAAAAAAAAATTTCAAACTGTATAGGATAAAAAAAATTGAAAAAAAAAAAAGAAAGAAAGAAAGAAAGAAATAATATGAAGTTCATGAATACGAGTTGTTTTAATTGAAAAAATAAAATAAAATGAAAAAAATTGATATAAAACTAAAAACTAAAAAGAATCTTCTTTTTTTTTTAGATTTTTACATTTTAAACGTAGCACAAAACTTGAATGTTAAAAGTTGATATTTAAGAACTTTATATATATATATATATTTGATCTGAATATTGCTTTTTTTTGTTTTTCCATTTAAAAGTCTAGAAATTTTATTTTCTAAGTTTGTTGATTTTTATTGTTGTTGTTGCTTAGCAGTAACTAACTGCTGCAAAAAAAAAAAAAAACTTTTTTGAAAAAAACTTTTTTTTTGTTTACCAGGTAATTAAAATTACTTTTTTTTATTTGTTTAAGTTATTATTTATAATAATAAAGTTACCTAACTGTAGTTTATATAATTATAGTTAAGTACAGCAAAAAAAATAAAAAAAAAAAAACCTTTTCATTTTTTGGAGCCATCAATTGGCCATCATCACCAAATAAGACTTTGGTTAGTGGTTTTTTTTTTTGGTTATTTATTCATTAGTTTATTATAGTTTATTATATTTGAAATATAGTACAAAACTTTAAAAAAAAAAAAAAATAGAATAAGAAGAAGAAGAAGAAGAATAAGAATAGGACCCCTTTCCCTTCCAACCCACCCCTTAAATTAAAATCAACCATAAATGGATATTAAAAAAAAAAAAAAAAGAGAGACCTTTATATAAAGCTTATACGTTATATATACGTTAAAAAACATAAAAACACAGATACAAAAAAAAATAAATAAAAATTGAAAAAGAAAATGCAATTATTAAACGAATGACCTGAGATAGTAGTTAAAAAAAAAAAAAAAGAGAAAGAAATTTTATATATATATACCAACAGTCAACTTCTTTTTTTTTTTTTTTTTGAAATCTACATTCACGTATTAACTTGTTGTTGTTGTTGTTGTTGTTGTTGTTGAGATGGTTGCTGCTGCTGTTGCTGTGATTGAGTAGTCTGTTCCTTCTTCCAAAACCCTAAAAGCAAATCTGCATATCGTTGTAACTCCTCGAGTGGAATCATGAGCCGGAAATCAGTCAATAACAAAAACTGAAGTTCCAAATGGTTTAATTCATCAATAGGAAGTCCTCCAACCTTGGCATACCGTGAATTTTTATAAAAAACATCCGAGAAAAACTTGGATGCTACCGTCACTCCTGCAATAATAAGACGGTGAATATTATAGCTATCCATTACAAAAAGTTGCTTCTTTGGAGCAGGAGAAGACGAAGATGATGATGATGATGATGAAGAAGAAGAAGAAGATGATGATGATGATGATGACGATGACGATGATGATGATGACCCACTTGAATTAACCCGATCATTCGATTCTTCATTCCCATCACCACGCTCCAGTCTTGCACTGCGTTTACCATCTTCTCCCTCATTTCGTGTATCTGAAGATCCTGCAGATCCATCAAGCTCACCAGAGTTGGCACGCTGTGCAATGCGATCAAAATAAACAAGTAACGAAATAAAAACCTCATTAGTCGTAGGACAATACTTGAGAATACGATTCAGGTATGCCTCCAATCCAATGGCAGGCACGTTACGTCCATGAAATGCCAACACATTGGCCGTGAATTGTGATCCATTGGCACTAGGCCCAGATGATGAAGAAGAAGACCCAGACCCAGACCCACTGCTACCGCCACCATGGCTATTGTGCGAATAAGCTGTTTGATAGTGTTGTGGGTGTAGGGCATCATTGGCATCAATAATTTTTTGCAGCAAAGCTGTTAACATGACAATCACCTCAGGAACTGGGTGGTTAGCAATATCAAGATGTTCAAACGGAGATTGGGTGGCTGTTGATGATGTTTCATTGGTTGAAGAGTCTTTATACTCTTCTCCAGTGACCGTCGCTTCATCCGTCGTGTCGGGTGGCATGGTCACGTCGGTTGCTTCTGTTTCCTTGGTGGCCTCAGTTGGTTGGCTAGACGCGTGAGAATTTGCAGATGATGAAGAAGACCCAGATCCAGCATTAGCTCCTTCCTCCGAGTCTTTTGGAGCATCAGGCAAATGTTGGTCTTCATCATCATCATCATCATCATCATCATCATCATCATGCTCATCCTCATGCTCATCCTCGTGGTTGTCTGTTGTAGGTCTGTGCATGGGGGTTTCTGAAGTCATATTTACATCTTCGTCATCTCCATGTTGTTGTTGGTGATGGTGGAGATGATTGTGGTGATGGTGATGATGATTATCTTCATCCACATCCATCTCCTCCTCCTCCAAAGAGGAAGAAGAAGAATGGCGAGTGGTAGGTATTTGTTTTTGCTCAGGGGCCTGTGTGGAGATGCCCGAGGCCACAGCCATGGTGACATTTGTAGTGGTAGACGCCGGGTGTGGTAAAAAGGACTGGGAGTTTGAAGATGATGAAGCACCGCTTAAAGAATGGCGTTGGCGGTCTCTTTCTTGCTGTTGTTGTTGCTGCTGCTGCTGCTGCTGCTGCTGCTGCTGCTGCTGCTGCTGCTGCTGCTGTTGGCGAAATGAAGATGTAGACATCCGGTGATGATGATGATGATGGCGTGCTGCAGCAGCCGACCCATAAGAACTCGAAAGACCACTGTTATTACCTCCTGCAGTTCCAACAGTAGAGTTAGCATATGGAGAAGTACCAAAGGCTCCTGCCCCTGTAGAAGTGCGTGGAGATTGTTTGCGGATAGAAAAACTTCCTGGTTTGGGGTAGGGGAACGCTGATGATGCTGAGGAGCTGAAAGATGAAGCGGCGGATGAAGAAGCCGAAGCTGAGGCCGAATAAGGAATGTTGTTTGAAGATGCAGAGTAGGAAGCTGCCGCAGCTCCAAAGTGGAGGCCGCCATTGGAGGTATTTGTACAAGAGGTATTATTTGAGGATGCAAAGGGTTGCTGTTGTTGGACAAGTGAAGATTCTGAGGAAGAAGATGATGAGGTTGAGGTTGAGGTTGAGGTTGAAACGGCAGCCGCTGCTGCTGCTGCTTTTGCTGCTGCAAGTTTAGAAGTGAGTAGGGATGTACGAATCGTTGGATGTTGCTGTTGGTCGGCGGAATCCGAGGGTTGGAATGAGCTGGTATTATTTTCTGGGTCAGAAATACTTGGGAACCGTGTACGGTCAGGAACAAGTGGTGAAGCATCACTCTGAGGCGATCTCTGAGGATCCATGAGACCTCCAGGTGAAGAATCATCGTGGCCGGCCGGTGTTGTAGTTACAGAGGATGGAGGAAACCCTGAGACAGAAAGTTTTCTATCAGATGGATGTACTGTGGATGATGAAGAGATGTTTGGTGTTGTAGTTGCCGTGGCAGTTGTTGATGCAGCTACTGATGATGATGATAATGATGATGATGATGCTGCTGCTGCGGCTGCTGCTGTTACTGCTGCCGCCGTCGCTGCCGCCGCTGCTGCAGCTGCTGCTGATCCAGCTCCAGGAGCTGGTGCAAAGTATGCTGAGCGTTCCTGGAAAGTAGTAGTTGAAGAAACGGATCCTGGACCCTGAGCATATGGAGAGAAGGCGGTATGGTAAGATGATGCAGACTGTGGAATGACACTCTTGTAAGAAGACGAAACTGAGGAAGGTTCATTTGTGTTTGGGACGTAGCGGGATGCTGAGGACACAGAGAAGTAAGAAGAGGCAGCGGATGCAGAAGCCGAAAGACCGGCAGAAGACGGCGAAGTGGCGGAACCGGAACCACCACGAGAACTTGGGTGGGTTGGGACACGGACAGCTGCGGATGGAGGGGTTACAGAGGGCACGGAACTGAACCGTTCACGCGAGTATGCCGGAGGAGGTCCTGAGAAGGGCATATTAGAAGATGGAGTGTTATTATTATTGTTGTTATTATTATTATTATTATTATTATTATTGTTGCTGTTACTGTTGCTTGTAGCTGAGGGGTTGGCTGAGGCTGGTGTAGTTCCTGGAGGGACTTGAAGCGCGTGTCCTTGGACAGTAGAAGATGGAGAGATAAGAGGGTCCATATGAAGATGATTATATAAGAAGTTTATATATATATATATATATATATTTATTTATTTTATGTTAATTTTTTTTTGTATTATTATTATTATTATTAGTATTATTAAAATTATTTCAGTTGGACAGATGAATGGTATTTATATTTGTATGTATTGGTAATAATGAATGTTGGTGGTGGTGGTGGTGGTGATGGTGATGGTGATGGGATATTTTAGTGGTAGGAAAAAGGAGGAGGAGGAGGAGGAGAAGAAGGTTGGAGACGCCAGATGGCTGTTTTTGTTGTTGTTTTTTGTTGTGGTGGTTGTCTTTTTTTTTTTTTTTTTTTGTTAAGGCCGATAATAAATAGTGAGGAGAGCTTTTAATTTTTGGTGGTGGTGTTGGTGCTGGTGGGAAATACTGGCAGGCTGGCTGGCTGAATGGCTGAATGGCTGAATGGCTGAATGGCTGAATGGCTGAATAGCTGAATGGCTGAATGGCTGGCTGATCGGAGAGGTTTTTTTTTTTTTTTTTTTTTTTTTTGGGCGCACGGCAGTAACAACAACAGCAGTAGTAGTAGCACCATTAACAACAGTAGCATTATAATAATTAAGTATTAACAGATAAAGAATTGTATTTTTTTTTTATATATTTTTTATTTTATTTTATTTTTTATTTTTTATTTTTTATTTTTTATTTTATTTTTTATTTTTTATTTTTTATTTTTTTTTATATTTGGGCGTTGGATGGCTTTCCATTGGCCGTATTATGTATTGGCTCATGCCAGCTTATATCTACTATATAAAATATGAAGGAGGAGTGAATTAATTTTATATATGAATTAATTTTCTATTATCATAATTATTATTATAAAAATCCCAAGTACAAGCATAGTAAAACTTATATACGTGCTCAGGTAGTAATAGTAGTAGCAGTAGTAATTTATTTAAATATATTATAAATATTTAATGGTAATGAATGAATGAATGAATGAATGAATGAATGATAGAAGATAGCCAGCCAATCGGACTTATGGTCATGCCCAGAAATTATCTATATTATCTACATATATATATATATTCATAATTATTATAACAACAACCGGTTGTGTCCCGCACAGCCCACAAAAAGGGTCTGACGGGATAACTAATTTGTTATATAACAAACTAACAAACTAACAAACTAACAACCGTGCATATGGAAATGTAAAAGGACTGACAAGACAAATGGATCAACTAGTGGCCTTGGAAAACCCGAAAAAACCAACATTTAAATGGAAAAGTTTTATTATTTATTATTATTATTATTTTATTTTATTTTACTTGATTTTACTTGATTTTACTTGATTTTACTTGATTTTACTTGATTTTACTTGATTTTACTTGATTTGATATCGTTTCTTTCTTTCTTTCTTTCATTGACTGTGGCGGATAATTCTGACGTCACGCGTTTTTATTTTATATTTATTTTTTATTTTTTTTTAAAAAAAAAAAAAAAAAAAAAAAAGGACTTTTACTTATTATTACCTTTTAATATATATAAGCTCAACAGACATAAAAAAAAATTTTTTTTTTTTTCAATAAATCAATCAATTAAACAACAGCAAAATATTTTCTTTCCTCGATCCTCGGAGCTTTGACACGGCAAGAAAGAAAAAAAAAAAACCTCTTGGTTAAAACGTTCAACAATATCAATCAAACTACACCAGCCACAAGCTATATAAAAAGAACAAGCCACAGAATGAAAAATAAAAATAAAATAAATATAAATATATAAATATAAAAAGTGGCTTGAACGAATCCAAAAAAAAAAAAAAAAATATCGTGAAGCCTTACTACGGTACGTACCTAAAAAAAAAAGTCCAAGCTTAAAATGAATTTTTAAAATTTTTTTTTATTCAAGTAAGGCTGAATTAAAAAGAGACGACCTTTTATTTTATTTATTTATTTTTGTTTTTTTAAAAAAATAAAAATGTTTTTCACTAGTATGCAAGTTAAATTTAACACTTATATAAAATTTTTATTTTATTATTATTATATACACGTGATGTTCACGTGTATATAATTGAATAAGCCGTATAGGTTTATTCCCCGTTAAAAAAAAAAAAAAACTTTCAGCCATATAACTACAAAATTAATTTACAGACCAAAACCCATTCATCTCACCATCATTCTGTCAAACTTAACAAAACCTAACCAACCAACCAACCACTTATTAGAAAAAAAATAAAATGTCAACTGCTTCTAAAGTCACTTTTGGTCTTACTTGTGTTTTCAGTGTCGTCGTCATCTATGGTGTTTACGACTACCAGAACCGTGAACGTCAGGTAAGTTAACATGCCTCCAATATTCTTCTTCTTCATCTTCCTTGTCAAAAAAAAAAAAAAAAAAATCATAATCATTATCATTATCATAATAATAATAATACCCCGTCCCTCCTTACCTCTAAACTCATCTTTCTTCTAACTTCCATCTAAGGCTCTTCGTCTGGGTCCTGTCAGAGACGCTGAACGTATCCGCAAGAAACATGAAAGTCAAGGCATTGAAGAAGCTCCGGTTCTTACCCCTCAACAAGAATCCCGCAAAGCAGAGTACGAGCTCCAGAAAAAGCTTCAGGCTCAGTATCAACAAGTCCAAACTGTCGACCCTGTTTCTGCTCAATACGGTCCCTCTACTCCTACAACTCCTACAAATCCTACTTCTTCCAGTTGATTTTAAGATTTTACATCAATTCTCTGCTGTGTCTGTCCTCTCCTCCTTCCTTCCTTTCTTTCATTTTTTTTTTTTTTTGTAATCCCATTTTCTTGTAAATAATTCTGTTCAATTCATTTTGTGTTTTTGTATTTTTATTATCCTTGTTTTTTTTTTTTTTTTTTTTTAAAAAAAAACTCCTTTCCCCCCGAACTCTTCAAACGCCGAACGGAAAGAACTGAGTTTGTCGAATGATCAATATATGCTATGTGCTGTTAAGGTGTTTCGTAGTAAATGCCACTTTACTAGGTTACTCCATTGATTGAATTGTACTGGATCTAATTGACCTTTTCTCTTTATGAAAATTAAAAAAAATAAAATAAAATTGAGAAAAAAAATCAGAATCTTTTTCTTTCCCTAGTAATCTTTAATTGTTTTTTTTTTTTTCCTCCAGGAAAAAAGCTATAAAAGATTCTAGAAAAGAGCCGCACAATGAGAAAATTAATAAATTTCCCCAGATCATATTGTAGTTTAAATTTAATACACAAAACACTTTTGGTTTAAATCAAGCTCTAGGGTTTAGACCTAATTAGTTTAGTTTGGTGATCAACTACCTCTGCGTACATCTCATCCCATGACCATCTCTAGAAAAAAATAAACAATATCAACTCTTCTTCTTCTTCTTCTTCAGCTTGTTACACTTTTATTTGTGCATTAATCACGTGATACCCTTACCCTGAAAAGTTTTGAATTTTATTTTTATTAATTTTTAATTAATTTTTAATTTTTTTCAAAATCACCACCATTTGTTACAACATTTACTGTATATCCGGCTACTTTTTTGTAACATACGAGTGTGTCCCGCGCAGAAAATTTTTTTTCGTTTTTTTCTAATACTCTCTTTTTTTTTTTTTCCCCTTCCCCCCCCTTTTACCTGCCTTTGCCTGCGAGAGACCAAGTACCAGCCCACCACCTGACAGACAGCAAAAATGGTTCAAAGACTCACTTACCGACGAGCAAATCCTTGTACGTTTTTATATCATCATAATCATCAACGTCTTCATCATTTATGGCAAAAGATACCCAGAGAAAATAAATAAAAAAAGAGCCAGCCATATCAATACTGAAGCTCTCTAGTTTTTTTTTTTTTTTTGATATAATGACCCTAAACTAACGACTTTTATAGACAACACTAGATCTAACAAGGTCAAGATTGTTAAGACCCCCGGTGGCAACCTCAGATACCTTCACCTCAAGAAGAACCCCACCAGACCCAAGTGCGGTGAGTGCGCCATTGCTCTCCCCGGTCTTGCTGCCCTGAGACCCCGCGAGTACTCCCGTGTCAACAACACCAAGAAGACTGTCAACCGTGCTTACGGTGGCTCTCTCTGCGCCAACTGCGTCAAGGAGAAGATTGTCCGTGCTTTCCTTGTCGAGGAGCAGAAGGTTGTCAAGCAGGTCCTCAAGGAGAATGCTGAGAAGGCCAAGTCTGAGAAGAAGACCAAGAAGGCTAGAAAATAAGCTTTTTCGCGGTTTAACTTTTGATGATAAATGGTGATAGCTTGGAATACAATACAAAAAAAAGAGAAAAAAAATTTAATACATTTGATGATTATTATTACTATCTTCTTTTTTATTTTTGAAAATAGAAAGTCATCTTGATGTTGGAACTTTTCCTCAATTAACATGAGTATTCATTATAGCCTTCGTAACTGTAAAAAAAAAAGGGCTTGTTTGTTAATATTAATTTTTTTTTAATTTATCATTTACTTAATCATGTGATTTGAATGAAGTATGTAGTTAACCGCTGATCAAAAAGTTCCGTACATCTGGCTCAAAAGTTCTTTGTAGAAAAGTTGAGTCTTAAGGACCGCGTGCTTTTTTTTTTTTTTTTTTTTTTAGCGCAGCTGGAATGATTGAATGATGATGATTGAAAATAATAAGGTGATTTGACAAAGGTGGCTTCATTGGGGTTACTACATATTAATTATTATTATTATTATTATTATTATTATTATTATTTTTTATTAAGAACAAACCATGGGCTGAATAAATTATTGAAAAAAAAAAAAAAAACCGCTCAATGAATCTTTGGAATCAACAATTCTTTAAAATTTTTTGGTCCAAGCACTTCAACAATTGTTGAAAACACCATCCCTCCCCACCTTCTGAACAAATCTCAAAAGCAACTTCTATAGTAAACTCAATAAGTTAGGTTTCTCTATTGCTTACAATTTTTTTTTTTTTTTTGATAAGCTCTGATAAGCTCTAATAAGCTCTAATAGGCTCTAGTAAACTCTAGTAAACTCTAGTAAACTCTGGTAAACTCTGGTAAACTCTGGGCTACACTAGAGTTATGACTTATGCCTAAGGACTTTATTTTAAAGAAGATGCCAGAATAGGCTAGATTGTACTTGAATCGTAACGGCCAGCAAGAACATCCTAGAATTATCTCCACCAAACAAACTCCACATTTGTTGTTTGGTCTTTTCTTTTTTAAAATAAAAAATAACAAAAGAAAAAAAAAAAAGTATATAAAGAACCTCTCCGGCTTTCAAAAATCCCTCTTTTCCTTTTTCCTTTTTTTTTTTTTTTCTTCTTCTTCTTATTCAATTCAAAAAACAAACATACAAACAAACAATCTTTTTAAAGATACAAAAAATCAACAATACATTATCCAATTAAGTCTAACAAACTCAATTCATAATATACAATACAAAAATGTCTCAACAACAACCACAGCTCACAGACAATGTTACCCGTATTCTGCAACGGGCAACTCAATTGACTATTGACCATTCTCATTCTCAAATCGCACCTCTCCACTTCCTCGCTGCAATGCTTGAGGCTGAGGGTGGTGAGGCCCCATACCTGAAGACCGTCATTGAAAAGGCTCGCTACGAATGGCGACCTTTTGAACAGCTCGTCAACAAGAGTCTCGTTCGTCTGCCGGCCCAAAACCCAGCACCTTCTTCTCCAGACATGTCCATGGCCGCAAACAAGATGTTTAAGAATGCACTCGAAATTCAAAAGAATCAAAAGGACTCGTTCCTCGGCCAGGACCACCTGCTGCTTGCTCTTCTAGATGACTCTTCTATCCAAAACATTCTCAAGGAACTCCAAATCCCTCCCAAGGCACTCAAGACACAAATCACAGCCATCCGTGGTAACCGCAGAATAGATTCCCGCATGGCAGACTCCTCGGAAGAGTTTGAGTTCCTTAATAAGTACGCCCAAGATCTGACAACAGCTGCCCGTGAAGGCAAGATTGACCCTGTAATTGGCCGTGACGAAGAAATCCGCAGATGTATCCACGTTCTTGCCAGACGAACAAAGTCTAACCCTGTTCTTATTGGTGACCCAGGTGTCGGTAAGACTTCAATTGTCGAGGGTGTTGCTCAGCGCATCATTAACGGCGATGTCCCCAACATTCTTGCCCAATGCCGCCTCTTCTCGCTTGACTTGGGTGCCCTCAAGGCTGGCGCAAAGTACCAAGGTGACTTTGAAGAACGTATCAAGGGTGTCCTCAAGGAGATTGAGGAATCCAAGGATATGATTATTCTCTTTATCGACGAAATCCACATGCTTATGGGTGACGGTAAGAACGATGCTGCAAACCTCCTCAAGCCCATGCTTGCCCGTGGCACTCTCCACTGTATTGGTGCCACCACCAATGAAGAGTACCGCAAGCACGTTGAAAAGGATGCCGCCTTTGAGCGTCGTTTCCAAAAGATTCCAGTCCGCGAGCCCACCATCCGTGAAACTGTTGCCATTCTCCGTGGTCTTCAGCCCAAGTACGAAATTCACCATGGTGTTCGCATTCTCGACTCTGCTCTAGTGACTGCTGCTCAGCTCGCATCCCGCTATCTCACCTACCGCAAGCTTCCTGACTCGGCTGTCGATCTCATTGATGAAACTGCCGCTGCTGTTGCTGTCGCCCGTGACTCTAGACCTGAGAAACTTGATACTCTGGAACGTGAACTCCAACTCCTCCAGGTTGAAATCAAGGCTCTTGAGCGTGATGCCAAGGCTGACAACTCCACCAAGGATCGTCTTTCTGCTGCCCGCAAGCAAGTCGCCGACATTGAGGAGCAGCTTGAGCCTCTTCGTGCTCGCTTCGAGGAAGAGCGCAAGGGCCATGACGAGCTTAACAATCTCAAGAAGAAGCTCGATGAGCTCGAGACCAAGGCACAGGACGCTGCTCGTCGCGGTGACACTGCTGCTGTCGCTGATATCCGCTACTTTGCCATCCCTGATGTGAAGAAGCTCATTGAGTCTCTTGAAACCCAGAAGAACAATGATGAGAGTGCCATGCTCGAAGACATTGTTGATTCTGATGCTGTTTCTGAGACTGCTGCCAGACTTACTGGTATCCCTGTTACTAAGCTTACACAGGCTGAAAACACTAAGCTCATCCATATGGAGCGTGAGCTTTCCCGCCAAGTTGTTGGTCAGCCTGAGGCTGTCAAGGCAGTGGCCAATGCTATCCGTCTTACCCGCTCTGGTCTCAGCAACCCCAATGCTCCTCCCAGTTTCCTCTTCCTTGGTCTTTCTGGTTCTGGTAAGACTGAGCTTGCCAAGAAGCTGGCTGGTTTCCTTTTCGCTGACGAAAAGGCCATGATCCGTATTGACTGTTCTGAACTTCAGGATAAGTGGTCTGGCTCTAAGCTTTTGGGTGCTGCTCCTGGTTACGTTGGCTACGAAGAGGGTGGTATCCTAACTGAGGCTCTTCTCCGCCGCCCTTACTCTGTTGTCCTCTTTGATGAGGTTGAGAAGGCTGCTCCTGAGGTTCTTACTGTCTTGCTTCAGATTCTCGACGATGGTCGCGTTACCAGCAGTTCTGGCAAGCTTGTCAACTGTTCCAACTCCATCATCATTATGACTTCCAACTTGGGTGCCGAGTACATTAACCGCTCGACCGCCATCAATATTGATGAGTCTACCAAGAACTTGGTTATGGAGGCTGTTCGTGGCCACTTCCGCCCAGAATTTATCAATCGTATTTCCTCAGTTGTTGTCTTCAACCGTTTGTCGAAGAAGGCCATTCGCAAGATTGTGCACATTCGTTTGCGCGAGATTGAGAAGCGCTTCGAGAGCACCAACAAGAACATCAAGCTGGATCTTGACGACAAGGCCTACGACTACCTGGTAGCTAATGGTTACTCTCCTGATCTCGGTGCTCGTCCTTTGAATCGTCTTATCCAGAATGAGATTCTTAACAAGTTGGCCATTTTCATTCTTCGTGGCCAGATTGAAGACGGCGAGACTGTTCATGTTATCAAGGCTGAAGGCGAAAACACTGGCTTGGACATTGTTCCTAACCATGAGCCCAAGGTGATTGAAGGTGAGGAGGAAGATGATGAGATGTACGATGATGAGGATGACATCCCCTTTGACGATGTCGAGTAAGAAGGAAAATTAAAAAAATAAAAAAAAATAAAAAAATAAAAAAATGATTTGATAAATGATTCTAAATAGTTTTTAATGATAATAAAAATTTTTTTTAAAAAAAAAATAAAAAATAATTTGAACAAAAATCCTGGAGATGATTGATATTTAATTTAAATTTTTCACGCAGGATAGCTGTGTAAGCCGCACAGCAATGTAGTCGAGTCACGCTGACTGATGGAACATAATTGCCACAGAATTTGACTGGTTTTGTGTAGTTGATTTTTTAGAATCTTCTTGAATGACAAAAAAAAATTTCATATAAATATAAATATAAATATTTTTATTTTAAAATTATAATTTTTTTTTTCTTTCTTTCTTTCTTTCTTTCTTTCTTTCTTTCTTTTAAAACCAAGTTTCTTTTCAATCATTTCTTTGCTTTGAAAAAGTTCCATATTGCCTTTCTCCCCTCCCCCCCAAGGTCTATCTATATATATATATACAGGTTTAATTTAATTTAATTTAATTTAATTTATTTTTTGCCATCCTTTAGCAAAGTAAGTGCGGCTGAAATTATTAACCGGGTAACTCCCACTAAAAATTTTTTTTTTTTTTTTTTTTTTTTTTTTTTTTTTTTTAGTTTTAGAAAATTTTATTTCTCAGCAGCCACACCAGAAATTTCCTTGACAAGTTTCGCCGCCGTATTTCTCAGAGGAATCGTCAATCAAATATCACCAAACTCATTTTTAAACAAAAGACATCCTCTTCCTTTTTCCAGTTTGTTCCCTACATTTGATCACCCTCTAAAAAACAAATATAAGAATATAGATACCATGTCTGTCAGAGCACAAGTATGTAATGAGATATCAATCAATCAATCAATCTAAAATGTTATCATTTTGGGAAAAAAAAAAAGAATGACAAAAAAAAGAGGAACTATAATATCTGCTGATGGTAATCACCTACGCGTCTATGATTATCCTCTGAAAACCACTCTTTTCCATTCTTTGTCTTTAGTTGTGATTCACCAGTTACTAACCTACCTGTTCTCTGCTTTAGTTTGAAAACTCCAACGAGTATGTCTAACAAATATTCAAAATTACTTTATGCGAGCTAAATCACTAACCGGAATCTTCTTCTCTAGAGTTGGCGTCTTTTCCAAACTCACAAACTCATACTCTCTCGTCGCCATTGGCGGTTCGCAAAACTTCTACAGGTGTGTATTATACCCCGTTATTATTATTATTATTATTATTATTAATTTTTTTTTAAACTTTTACCAATATCCTAATTCTAACAATCTCTTTCCTCCCCCTAGTGTCTTTGAGAGCCAGCTGCAAGATGTTATCCCCATTGTCAACACAACCATTGCCGGTACTCGCATCATAGGCCGCATGACCGCCGGCAACCGCCGTGGCCTGTTAGTCCCCACCCAGACTACTGACCAGGAGCTGCAGCACCTGCGCAACTCGCTTCCTGACACTGTCAAGATCCAGCGTGTTGAGGAACGGCTGTCAGCTCTGGGCAATGTCATTTGCTGCAACGACTACGTTGCTCTTGTGCACCCAGATATTGAGCGCGAGACTGAAGAAATCATTGCTGATACCCTTGGCGTCGAAGTCTTCCGCCAAACCGTCGCAGGAAACGTCCTGGTCGGTTCTTACGCTACAATCACTAACCAGGGAGGCCTCGTCCACCCTCAAACTTCTATCCAGGATCAGGAGGAACTCTCATCTCTGTTACAGATCCCCATCGTCGCAGGTTCCGTCAACCGTGGTTCTCCAGTCATTGGCTCCGGTCTTGTTGCCAACGATTGGCTTGCTGTTGTTGGTATGGACACCACTGCTCCTGAGCTCTCTGTTGTTGAAAGTATATTCGGTCTGTCGAATGAAGCTCCTGAGGAGGGCGTTCTCATTGAGCACTACTACTAAACGGTTTAATGTGTTGATAGAAAATGTCTTGGAGTCTTTATTATTTAACGGTCTTATTATTTACGGATATTATTAAAATTATGGCATGGATATGGTGGGAAAAAAGTTTCTGATAGAGATGTAAATTGTACTTTTTTTTTTTTTTCTTTACAAATAATTATATAAATTAAAAAAGCAACCTTGAAATTATTGATAGAATATATAGTTATCTTTTGAAAACGTTTGGTTTAAGCATATTTTGGAGGGACTTGTAATTTCCCTGAAACATGCAACGGTTATTTTAAAGCTATATAAAAACTAGGTTTGAGGGAAAGTTAAGGATTTTGCACATACTAAACAAATTCTCTTTTGATTGAAATTGACTTAATTCGACTGAAACAAGATCTTTCAATTTAATAGATTGGGAGAGAAAAGAAAAAAAAAAGAGATAAAGAAATGAGTTTTAAAAAAAAAAAAAAACTGGAGGATTAAAAAAAAAAGGGAACAAAATTGTAAAAAATGAAATGAAATATGACCCAAGCTACTTTCAATTTTTTTTACAAAACAGGCTTGTAATCTGTACGTTTTGGTTTAATTATAAGATTTCTTAGTTTTCAAAATCAAAGAAACATTTTAGAACTTATTACAAAATATTTTATATAAAAATAAACAAAAGAATTAGCGAGACTCTGTAAATACAATGAATGAGTTTGACAGCCCTTTATTTAAAATGTGCTTGCTAAAATTTATGGCTCATTTTTGGGGGGGAAAAAAAAATTAAGATTTAAATTAAACAATGGTTTAGATATAATATCTAGAAATACTCCATTTTATTTCAAAAAGTAAAGCTTCAAATTCAGATTATGATCTTTTACAAAATACCACACAAGACATATATTGGCAGGCCCCCAAAGTCGTGATTAGTTAACATAACCGACCAGAAGTGTTTTTGCAGAGTGTTAAGCATTTGTAGACAATAGATTCCAAAATCTCATTGATTAGTTGTTCTTAGTATGCTACAAACTAAAACTGAACTGATAAAGATACCAGGTCGATCCAGCTCCCAAAGTGCGAGATATGAAAAAAGAGAGAAATAAATAGAACCAGAAAAGCAGCAACACTTAAATTTTTAATTGTTGATCCCGGAAATAATTTCTTGAAGTTAAATATTTCCCCTTTTTCTTTTTTTTTTCTTCTTTTAAAATTCAAAATTAAGTATATAGTCTTGTTTTAGGAACCAATTAAGCATAACCGAGCCTGGTATCTGACTTCAAAATAGTGAAAAAAAAAGCAAACTATTGTAGTCGTAAATGTATCAAATATAATGTTTACAAGCTTTAAATCGTTTTTAGTTTAAATAATTTATTTTTTTTTGCTATTTCAATAGACCTGCTTTGAGTGGTACACGTTTTCAATATATTATACGTTTAATAAAAAGTGTTGAGAAGAGTACAGAATGCGTGGATATTATTAGGCACATAGTAAAAATTCCTGAGCTGCAAAAAAAAAAAAAAAATAACCTCCATTAAAAACTTTCCATTCTCACCACATTTTTTTTTTCTTTTACCAGCTCATCAACAAATTAACACACCACCACCACCACCTCTCCTTAAAAAAAAAACACCAACAGCCTAACAATGGATGACTTTGGTATTCGGCGCCAGGGCCGCGGAATCCGTGCCCGCGCCATCGAGAACCTTGTCAAGCTGTCTACTGTTTCCGGCGAACCTTCTCATATTGACCGTCTGGTCACTGTTCTTTCGCCCTCCTCGTCCCTCTACTCTCCTTCGGACCAAGAAGCAGCCGACAATCCACCTTTGGTATGTCTCTTTCCTTTTAATTTATATGTCAATTAGCTTTTGCTAACACTGCTAAAGTATCTCAGCGAACTTCAAGTTCTCATTTCGCTTGCTCGCTCTGCTCACTTTATAAAGTCCCCGGACCATGCGGAATCTGTTTTGCGTATTCTTGGCGTGTACCTTCGCAAAAGCTCTGCCCTCGTATTTTCTGCCTTCTCAGGTGTCCGCGAAATTGAACCGTCACCTTGGCACGTCGCAACGCGTCTTCTTACTCGTGCAGTTCTTGCGCTGGGCTCTAATTTCCCCGAGAGTCTCGGTTCCAATGCTGAAGGTATCATTTTGCGCTACTTGAATGCTACAATTGTCAAGTGGAAAGACCCTGCAACATTCAAAAGCCCTTCCATCTTTTGTCCGCTCTTGTTTTCATTCCAAGGGTTTTTAGAAGCTCTCACCCAACAGGCTCAAATCACATCTTATGGAACATTGGCTACAATACTTTCTCGACTTACAGAAACAATCACAACAGAAATTTTACTTCAAATTGAAACAACAGTTGCCCAAATTAGTGCAACCACCGAAGAAGAATCATCTTCTCAAGATGACGCTGCTACTCCTCGTGACACCCCGCGCGACACCCCACCACCTCAAAATGTTCCTGCTCCGGCCATGCGTGCATCCACAGCTGACGAGGACATTTCACGATGGCAATACTACTTTTTGTCGTATCTGCGTGCGGAACAGCAGCTCGGCGCTATGCTGCTTAACTACTATATTTGTTCGTTTGCCCGTGCAATTGTGGCTAAAATCATTGCCTATACGGCTCCTAATGCTGTGACAAGTTTCCGTGCACGCAACAAAACATCCTCGCTTCTTAACAAGCTGCTCTCCCGTGAACGTATGCCTAATCTCAAGGATCGTCATACCAGCCATATGCACTATGAAACAGAGGTTGGTTTGTCCATTCAGCAGATTCTTTTGACAGCAACTGCCAATCTTGCACTTGCACAAATCAACTCACTCGATGATGGTGCTGATTACATTGAGCTGGCATCTTCGGAGCGCATTGCTCTTGCATATGCTACCAAAGTTCTTGCCATTGATATTGTTGGTGTGGCCACGTCGTACCGTATTTTGGACGTTGATACTGGGTCTACAATTGTTACATCTTCCTTTCTTCACGAGCATGGTATGTCAAACCCGCGCTTAGCTCTTGCCGTATTTAAGCTCGGTGCATACTTGTGCACTCTCGACAGCGAAACAGCCGGTCTTATAGTCCGCTATTTCCCTCACTTTATTTCAATCCCAACTGTACAGACTCATTTGGTACGCAAATGTGCCAAAGCTCTGGTCTATGGACTCCGTACCATTTCCCAGGATGTCATTGTGTCGACCATTTATACTCTTGTCAATATGGTCACCACTACAGTTACCCGCGATTCTCGCTCGGCAGGTACACAAAACGGCCAAGCTAAGGGTAGGGAGATTTCTACGGACCCCACATTTGTATCCGACGCTGATAGCGTTAAAACAAATGGTTACAGCTTTAACATGTACCGTAACGCTATTGCAGCAATTGTCACCATCACGCTTGTGTACGATGACCCCCAAATATCAGCTCTTGCCGCCACAGTTTTGAACCAAAAGCTCAACATTTCTGCCACTGAATTGGACCGGGAGGTTGCTTATGGTGTGGCCAAGCTGGCATCCTATGTCCCAGACAAGGAATTTTTGTCCATCTTCCGCTCTTTCCAGACTCTTGCCATTCATGCATTCCAAAAGAATGACATCAAGATGCGTACCATTGTTCAAGAAGCCTTTTGCCGCATCTCTGATTCTCTAAATATGGAACACCCGCTTTACGAAACTTACCTTTCGGAGCTCCTCCAAAGCATTATCGATCGTGGAGACGTCCAAGAACTTGAGCACCACCGCCCCCACGTTGAAATTTCTGCAACTGCTAATGAGATTGCTCTTTATTTGCCGCCGTTGGCTCGTCTACTTCCCAAGCCTCCCAAGCAACACTACAAGGCAAGTGATGCTCACATCAACTCATTGTTCCGTAACACGTGGTACAATATGGTTGTGCACGGGTTTTCACAGACGTCCGAGTGGACACAAAAGTTCCGCACAGAGCTCGAGATTATTGCTCATAGTACCCCACCACTCGTGTCTCCAGGCTCGTCCAACAAAATTGAAAGTGACTTGGAACTTAACACTGTTCTTCAGCGTGGTTCGTCACACCATAATGTCAATAATCAAAAGGAAATCATGGACTCGCTAGCGTCTTCTCACATTTTTGATTTCAAGACTCTCCAATACCCTAAGCTCATGTTTTTGGCTGCTACTATTCTTCTCGAAGGTCTCAGAGCGAACACTGGAAACTGTTCCAAGATTTTGCTTTACTTTGGTGACCCTGGGATCCGATCAACTGGCGAAACAAATCGCTACATGCGTAACATTGCGACCGATGTCATTAAAGCATATCTTGCTAATGTTAACCGTGGCCACTCGCCCATGTTTACAAGCGATCAAGTTGCCTTTCAGGTCAAGAAAATGCTCACACTTTGCTGCCATCGTGTGAGTGCTATTCAGCAACAAGCTTTTGAGTGCTGTGAGGCAATCATTTGCACTATACCATCTTCTCTATGCAGTGAAATATCTCTTTTTACATTGCTTGACTTACTCTCACTGCTTTGGAAGTCTTGTTTGGATGCAGAAACAGACGAATACGAGCCTCGGTCTACATTCACTGCGTCTAAGAGTGGTGTTCATATTGAGCTTAGTGATTCATACGACCAACGTCGTGAAAGTTTGCGAATGCTCCACACCAAGGCTCGCGAGTGGGTCCGCTACGCGCTTTCCTTCACTTCCTATGATATCAAAAACATTCTTACATCGTACATGTCTGGAATTGAAAACTACAGTCCTTCCGACAGTGTTGTTTTGGGATACACTTTTGCACTTGAGATGGGCGGTACTGTCACTGTGCGTGACCGCGAGTTGTCTGTTTTGAACCGCGTCAATACTAACCCACTCTCTACTAACACCAGTGCCGGCTTTCTTTCACAGTATATTTGGCGTCGCGAGTTTCACACTACTATTGCTTCGGAAGTCATTTCCAAGGTTACACCCAACTTTTATGATCAAGCTGCTATTCGTGCGCGCAAGTCGCTGGTTGATGTTTTGACTAAAACCAAGGCATATCATGATTACACGCACCATCATAACCTAAAAATTCCTGGAGCCTCGTCACAACAACAACCAACAAGACCCAACTTTGGCGAAACTCGTGCGTTGCTCTTCAAGGCCTCAGGATACATGGGTCACCCAACCGAGGGCAAGGTTATTGCACGACTCTGCGTTCAGATCCCCATGCGAGCCTTTACCGAGTTCTCAATCCAATTTGGTATTTCTCTTTGGACTTGGGCTATAACCGAGTACCCAACCCTCAAGGCACTTATTCTTTCTGAGGTTGCGCAACTTTGGGAATGGAGTGTTAAAGAGAAGCTTGGTCTCTATACTCGTAAACACGATATTGTGGGTCCTGCTTATGCCAAAATGGAGTACGCACCTACCAACAAGGCCGAAATTAACTACGACGCTGGTCTGGCTGTGCGCGACTTTGGGTGCCACCAAAAGCTTATCCGCTACCTTTCGAGTTCATTCCAATCAATTGTTTTTGAAAGCAAAAACTATCTCAAAATCTTCTTGCGACTTCTTCTCACTGGTCTCCAGGGTCTTTCCCATGCCAGTTTACACCCATGTGCACGTGCCGGTCGTTTCGAACTTATCCGGTTTTCTCTTGACGTACTTGAGGTTCTTACTCGCTTTGGTGCCCGCATTGCTTACTCCCTCAAACATCTTGTTATTTCAGCTGCATTGACATGGTTTGCGCAGCCAGCACAGTGGCCTTTTGGCGGCAACAAGCTCACGCTCAAGTCTGATATGGAGCTTCTTTCTGGAATTGCGACCGTCATCAAGAACATGTATATTGGCCCAGCACCTGGATCTCCATCCAAAAAACCAAGCTCTTCTTTGAAAAGCAAGCGCGACGTGTTGCTCATTTTCTTGAATGATGAGCTGACCAAGATGACGGCGTGGAGTGACCCTCTCCAGCTAAACCAACCGCATAAGGAATTTGTGGGAAGTGTGACAGTTCAGAATTTGAACGAAGCATGGTCCATTGACCCGGTGCTTGCTGTTTACCTTGTTGAGCGTTATGCCACCCAGGACCTTGTTTCACGGCTCCAGACTTTGACCGCCAGCCAACCTAGCAGTGTTACTCATGTGCCTGAGGCTCTCAAGTATTTCATTACAGGGACTATTTGCACTGGTATTCCACGCAGTTCATCCTCCAAAAACAATAGCCACTATGTTGTTTATTGGACCCCAGTCTCACCTATTGAGTCCATCAACTTGTTCTTGCCAGCGTATGGTGGAAACTCGCTGCTTCTACAATATGCTATGCGGTCTCTTGAGAGCCATGACGTTAATGTCACGTTTTTCTACGTGCCGCAGCTGGTGCAAACGCTTCGTTACGATGTATTTGGATATGTGGAGCGCTTTATTTTGGAGACTGCAAACATCTCGCAGCTTTTTGCTCACCAGATTATTTGGAACATTTTGGCCAACCTGTTCAAAGGCGAAGACTTGCCTGAAGGTCAAACAGAAGAAGATGCTATTAACCCGACTCTTGAACGCGTTCTTGAGCGTATGATTTCTAATTTCTCAACCACTGATCGTGAATTTTATGAGCGCGAGTTTAGTTTCTTCAACACAGTCACGTCCATTTCCAAATCGCTGATGCCTCTTGTGCGCAAGACCAAGGCGGAGAAAAAGGTTAAAATTGATGAAGAAATTGCAAAGATCAAGGTGGATGTTGGTGTTTACTTACCTTCCAATCCTGACGGTATTGTTGTGGATATTGATCGCAAGTCTGGCCGACCACTTCAAAGTCACGCCAAGACTCCATTTATGGCAACATTTAAGATTCAACGCGAAGTTCGTGACTTACACATTGAATCTGACAAAAACGGTAATGGTAATGGTAATGGTAATAGCAATGGCAATGGGAACAGCAACAACGATGAGGAAGAAGAGAACGAGCGCACGACTACGGTGCAAGTTTGGCAAAGTGCTATCTTCAAGGTTGGTGATGACTGCAGACAAGATGTCATGGCATTGCAGCTTATTTCTATTTTCCGGTCCATTTTCAATAGCAGTGGCCTCGATCTTTATGTGTTCCCTTACCGTGTGACGGCCACCGCTCCAGGTAATGGTGTGATTGATGTGTTGCCCAACTCCATTTCACGAGATATGCTTGGTCGCGAAGCAGTCAACGGGCTTTATGAGTACTTTACAACCAAGTTTGGCGGCGAGGACAGTATCCAGTTCCAACAAGCGCGTAACAATTTTGTCAAGTCACTTGCAGCCTACTCTGTGATTTCGTACTTGATCCAGTTCAAGGACCGTCACAATGGTAACATTATGTACGACGACCAGGGCCACATTTTACACATTGATTTCGGGTTCTGTTTCGACATAGTCCCCGGTGGTGTCAAATTTGAGGCAGCCCCGTTCAAACTTACCCACGAAATGGTTCTTGTCATGGGTGGTTCCACATCTACTCAGGCCTACCGCTGGTTCGAGGAGCTTGCTGTTAAAGCATTTTTGGCGTCACGGCCTCACGCAGAAACAATCATCCAGGCCGTGCTGCCTATGCTGGACTCGGGATTGCCGTGCTTTAAAGGTGAAACAACAATGCGCAAATTGCGCGCGCGGTTTGCACTGGATCGGTCGGAGCGTGATGCTGCATTATTCATGAGACAACTCATTAAACAGTCGTATGAGAGTTTCTTTACAAAGGGATACGATGAGTTCCAGCGCCTCACCAATGGTATTCCTTATTAAACGTGCGAGCTGTTTGATTATTAAAGAAAAATATATAAAGACAATTTTTTTTAGCGCGCTAGAAAGTATTTCTGTAATTATTTATATTTATGAATGTTTTATATATATAACCTGAAAAAAAAGCAAGATTTTCAAAATGGTTCAACATCATCCGGACAGTCTTTAGGGGGCTGGTTAAGCGTCGAGAGCGAGAAATCAAAATCACCATTAAAGTTACTCAGCGAACTTGACCAATCCTGATTATTGAGCCCACACATAATTTCCAAGTCTTCAGTCGTCACGTCCGTGTGGCTAAACGGAACAGGCTTTGGAAGTCCGGTAGCTGTAGCAACGCCTGACATTACTCCAGATGCCGCAGTCACAGTAACAATTGCAGGTCCGCCTGGGCCCTGAGGTACTCCTGGGCCTTGAGATCTGGACATGCCGGTGCGCTGTGGGATACCAGTTGCAGACGCCGCTTGTGCGTACTGCACCTGCTGCTGGGCCTGGTGATGCGCAAATTGGGATCCGTTTTGCGTTGGCAATGCCTGCTGCTGTTGTTGTTGTTGTTGTTGGTGATGATGTTGCTGCTGCTGCTGCTGCTGCTGCTGCTGCTGCTGCTGCCAAAAATAGTTGGTACGGAGGACCAAAGTTGCCCGGCGGTACCGGGGCAGGCCCCAGAGACACGGCAGGCAAAGCACCCGGCATGTTTGCAGACATGTACGGTAGCACCTGGCTAAGGTTTTGTGCTTGTGTGTCAAAGGCTCCTGGCTGCTGGTATGGCTGCTGAGGCTGGTGCTGCAGTGGCGTGGGCCCGCTACCGTACGGCGTGTCTGCCATGTGGTATGTTCGGATATTGGTTCCAGAAATAACCCCATTGGTACCTTGCTGATGAGTGATATTGGTTTGGGGAACATAGTTCTGGGGTGTATAAGGAGTGGAGGCTTGAGGCAATGGGGCGATGCCTGCAGGCTGGGAATAATGATGTTTATGTGCCTGTTGAGGATAGTACTGTCCGGGGATTTGATTTTGTGGCAGCGTGCTTGAGAAAACTTGTTGCTGCTGGTGCTGCGACTGCAACTGTGGTGGTGGTTGAGCGGACACATATGGTTGTTGCCCATTTATCAAGTTATTTGTCGCTTGCACAGAATTTGGTGCAGGAAGCGGGGCTCGCGTTACAGGGTTGGACAGAGCCTGGCCAGACTGATAAGTTTGATTCCGGGTGTTAGAACGCTGCGGCGGCATATTCTGGCTCATCCTGCTTCGAGAAGGTGCCGCACTGACCAGCGGCAGGATTGATAGCCGCTGGACAATCTCGTAAAGTGTTGGAGGCCGGTCATCAGTGTCATCATCATCATCATCATCGTCATCACCATCACCATCGTGGTTGTTGCCATTTCCATAGCCATTTTTAGAGCTTGTATTTCCACTTAAATCGGTATCACCCTCCTCATCCGTCTCATTGTCGCTATTATACCATCGTTCGCCAACCTTGTAACGACGACGGGGGCGACCTTTAGTGCGTTTCTTTGAAACGTTATTTTCAAGACGATTTCCATGTACACTTGCAATGAGCTTGCGGATTATCCCTGCACCGCGCTTGGCCTGTGGATGCAGAGCCTGTAACTTTTCTAGCACAGGCAAAAACTCTTCGACCCAACAAAGACGCTCTTTGATGACCTCGGGATCAAGACCAACAGGCCGAGGTTTATGAGGTTGGTGGTTGCCTGAAGAGGTAGATGGAGGGCTGATTCCATCAGTAGCATCGAAATAGTGATGCTGTGTGCGTTGTGATTTCGCATAAATGCGCTGTCTATGGCTAAGGTCCAGCAAATCGAGCAGCACGTAGACCGCAGCAGCAATGGCGTTGCCTGTGACTGAGGGGTGCTTTTTAAACTCAAAGGGGATAGCTGGAGAAGCAGGAATGGCAGCTGCAGCTAGAATCCTGCGCGCACTTTCCAAGCATACTGCTCGACACGACTTGTTCCATTCGGTTTGTGGCATGTAGATGGACATGATGCGATTGATTGTGAGGCGCTCGAAATGGATTGAGATTTCAATCAAGTATCGCTGGAATCGCAGGGACATTTCTGAGCAGTGTGGATTGACTGGGGCGCCTGCATTGAAGCTTCGTTCCGGGAATATTGCCCAGGGAATAGATGCTTCAAGGATATTGAGTTCATTGTTTGCTTGTTCGAGATTTGCAAGAACTTGTTGGCTGGGATTAGCATAATAAAATCGTTTTGTTTGAGCCAGTTTTGCTTGAATCAATTGGAATGAGACTGATGTATGTTCAGATATTGGTTTTGCTTGTGTATATGGTAACGGGCGACCATTTTGGGGTTTGCTAGCAGCATTTGAGTCTTTATAGTCATCTGAAAGTTCCAGCAATGCTTGGTCATCAAGGTTTGCAGGAAAAACGGTTGTGAATGAAGACGGGTGAATTACTGAATACCGGCCAGTGTTATCGGACCAATCGGCAATAACAGTTGCCCACCAAATGCGGCGGCCCATTTCTCTATCTAAGAAACGTGTTGAAGAGTCAGGGTCTGTAAAATCTGATCGCATTTGCAGATTGAGAATGGCCTCATCGTCAAGCTTGTCAATGTTTAATCTTTGAGCAATATATATGGAGGTATTGAGATATGCGTTGCGCATATTGATTGCGCCAAAGGCCTGGAAACAGGGACCCAGAACAGCAAGGACTTGTAGGGCTCTAATATCTGGGTATTTGAAAACTTCGCCACGATGGAGACACTCAAACGAAGCGGCAAAAAGTTTGTGGGGTAAAACCTGCAACAGTTTAGGGTCGAGTCCTGCAGCTCTTCCTAGTTTCCTATCTGCAAAGAAGCAACCAAGACACATGACGGCGTACCATTGGGCTAACCACAGGTATTGTCCTCTGTTTTTATCAAACTTTGGGTTTAAAAAGAGAGACTCAGGATCGTCGCTATTGTATTTACTCCAAAAGTACTCGTGCTCGAGATAGAAAGAGGGAGGATGGATAGCCGAGTGCATAAAGTTAAGGTTTTCAAGCGCATGGTTAACTAGCACTGTGGATGTTTTTTGTGAAATTGGAGCCATGTCGTAGGCCAGGGAGTATAGGATTTTGGAAACTTGGGATTCATCTGAAAATGGCAACCGTGCAGCAAAGCAGTGGCTCATTTCTCCGACGGAACAAGACGGACATGAAAGTTGGTTATCGCGCATGGTGAGGGGTTTCCTTGAAAGCGCAGGAACAAAGTTATCAAACGATTGATGATTGTTAGAGGATCCATGGTCATGGCTTGAGCAGCAGCTGCTTTGGCATTGTGGGACTTTTGCACGTTTGGTAGATTTCCCATTAGACATAGTTTTTGGATTATTTTCAGCTCTGGTGATGTCAGAAGATTTGGATTTTGTGACCGAGTCATCATCACCTACTATTCCAACAGTGATGGCTTGGATGACATCAGCATAAGTATTGTTTACGGCCGTTGCTGTTGACGAAATGGGGGTATTGTTTGCGAGCGGCCCTGGAGGCGAGTTAGGCATGGCATGTCTATTTTCTAGTGCTGGCAGAGTCGGCAGTGCAGCCGTTGAGTGAGGGGTCTCGTAGCTGATTGACTCTTCGGGAGAATTAGATTTGGACGTCGAGGTGTTGCTAAATGGAGAAAGATGAGTGGGGCTCTGGCTCATTGTGGACCCAAAGTTTGTATTGTATTGAGTAGGGGAGGAAGTCGAGGTAACATTGTTTGATGCGGAAGAGATATGCATATTTGCGACCAGGTGTTGAAGCCAGGCCACTTGGTTCATTAGGTCTTTATTTTCATTTTCAAGAGTTTTTAGTTTTAGCTGTGTTGAAGCAAGAGATGGTTGTTGTTGGTTGCTGGATGAGTTTGTTATTGGTTGCTGGATGTTTTGCTGAGGCTGTGACAAATGTGGTTGTGGTTCCTCAACTTTTGGTTTAACTCTGTATGCATCTGTAAAGTCCTGGAAGGTTGCGTTATCGATTGGATTTGGTGCAGGTGGCGATATCGACGATTCAGAAGGTGAGTATTCGATAATTACTGCAGGCTGCTGGTACTCGGAGGTGGTATATGGAGTTTGTTGTTGTTGTTGTACCGGAAGAGAAGGCTGCTGATCGGGTGAAAGATCGAAATCCTGGTGTTGCTGAATGTTTGGGGGTTGTTGAGAAGGGAGGACCTGTTGCGGTACTTGAGTGAATTGTTGTATTTGTTGCGGAGGTTGGTTGAAAGGTTGTTGTTGTTGTTGTTGGAATTGCTGTTGTTGCTGTTGCTGTTGCTGTTGTTGTTGGTGTAGCATGAATTGGGTGGAAGTTTCTTTTCTAACAGTATTGATAGCAGAATTATTGTTACTATTCGAAGAGGGTCCAATAGGACCCTGAATGCCATTACTGCTGGTAGTGGTGGTGGTGGTAATAGTTGTGGTAGTGGTAGTAGCACCGGGTGTTGTGATAGCATTGCCATGTGCGTCGAGGTTCCGAAGAAGACCCTTGACAACAACAACTTCTCGGGCACATAAATGGCCTTCTCCGCGGTCCAGACAAGGTTTGCACGGGATTTCCTTGTTACATTTGATTTTCCTTTTAGCACAGCCAGTGCATGATTTTGGAATTCGTTGAGAAACACGTGGATTTCCTGTGGGGGTTGAAGACGAGGATGAATTAGTCTTACGACTAGAGGATGATTTGGAAGGTCTCGCAGAAGAAGAAGAAGAAGAAGAAGAAGAAGATGATGATGATGATGTTGAAGCAGTAGAAGATAAAGCTGGAGGAGATTGATTTGATAGTTGAGAAGAACCAGGTGTTGCTGAAATCACACCAACATGGGAGGGGAGAGTCACGGGGACCATGGTGGGCACTGGGGTTGAAGAAGAATCAGGACTCGGGTTATGCTGTGATGGTAACGTTACTTGGCCAGGATAAGTTGATGAAATTCCATTTTGAGCAGGTATTATATGATTGTTTCTTTGAGAAGTTGGAGGTTCTTGTATAGGGAAGTTTGACTGGAGAGGAGGAGGGAGAGGTTGTTGCTGATAATGTGGATAAGAATCTAATGGTTGATGCTGGAACTGAGGTTGATACTGAGAAACCACTGGGACTTGCCGAGGATTCTGTAACTGCTGCTGCTGTTGTTGTTGATGATGATGATAAAATTGTTGATCAGCCGACAAAAGCTGCGGAACTGAACCGTTTGAATTTTGACCGTTCATGGGCAAGTTATGCCGATCCTTTTGAGGAAAGTTTTTTTTTTTTTTTTATTGTTAGTAAAGACCTTTGGATAAGTTCAAGGTATTAGAAAGGATGGGTAGTTATATCATAAATAAGCCATTATGGCAAGTCACTGAATAATTTAATAAATCTAGAATAAGAATATAATTAAAATATATATAGATATGAATAAAAGTTTTAAAAACAAGACCCTTTAAGAATATTAATGATTATTATTATTATTATTATTATTATTATTATTATGGAGGTTTTTTTTTTTTTTTTTTTGGTGGATATGCCTTTTTAGCTATTGATGGTGATGATATTAGTCAGAAAAGAACGGACTTAAACAAAAAAACAAAAAAACAAAAAAAATAAAATAAAATAAAATAAAAAAAAAAAAAAAGAGTTCCTTTTGACACTTTGAAGCCTTCACATACATACACATACACACACACTCTCTCACAAAAATCCAAAAAAGTTTGCCGCAGGACGTCAAAAGGTCCAAACCAAACCAAACCAACCAAAAAAAAAAAAAAAAAAAACAGCCACCACCAACTGTTTCCCTTCACTTTCCTCTCCCTTTTATCTATCTATTTTTTTTATTTATTTATTTTTAACCTTCTAACCAGTCTTGGATCTAATAAGAACAGATCAGATCATTCAGAACATGAAGGCAGTCATCCAACGAGTCAAGTCAGCATCCGTCACCGTCGATAACCAATTGATATCGCAAATCGGTCGTGGACTATTGGTCCTAGTAGGCGTTTCGCGTGATGATACCGTCGAGGATGCAGAGAAAATAGCAAGCCGCATTTTGCGACTTAAATTATGGGAGGACGCCGAAACAAAAGCACCTTGGAAAACCAATGTTGCAGAACTCAAGTTCCCCGAGACTGAAACTTTGACTAGTCATGGCCAGGTGCTTTGTGTGTCACAATTTACCCTTTACGCTAATATTAAAAAGGGAGCTAAACCGGATTTTCACCGAGCGGCAAAGGGAGACATTGCAAGGGAACTCTACGCTAAAGTCCTGGATCTCGTGGCTGCTGGCATGCCCAATGGAAAGGATGACGTCAAGGATGGTGTATTTGGAGCCATGATGGATGTGGCCCTGGTAAATGATGGACCTGTTACAATCGAGGTTGATTCACGAGCTTAATCAACAGAAAGAAAAAAGAAAAAGAAGAAGAAGAAGAAGAAGAAGAAGAAGAAGAAGAAGAAGAAGAAGAAGAAGAAAAAAAAATAAACTTAGAATAGACTATAGACAATGTTTTCTTTTTGAATTTTTTGAATTTTTTTTTATTTTTTTATTTTTTTTTAATTTTACGCAGGTACCTTCTTTGCTTGAGCCTGCGCTTGTTGTTGCTGCTGCTGTTGCTCTATAATCTTTTCCTTCATGACTGTTTGAATCACATTGAAATTCTTGACCTTATCTTCAATAATCCTTTTCAAATCTCTCATATTTTCGTCCAGTTTTTCTGTCTTTGCAATGAAAAACTTCTTGGCCTCAACTCCATTCTTCTCCACATAGTACCCGGTTCCAACATCAACCATAAATGTGCTGTTTTCAGGAGTCTGGTCTGCAGGAATCTTTCCAGGAACATATAATGAACTTGTTAATGGAACAAGAATGGACTGTCCTCCTTGTGCAGGATGTGCTCCTCCAGTTAGCTGATCCACAGATCCAGCACATTCTCGGAACCGCGATTGAACCATCAAAAGCTGTTCAAGTGAATCTTGAAGATGGTTAATTTCATTTTGCAATTGTAGTTGGACCTCTTTGAGTTGGGCAAGAGACAAGTCCTTGACATCGACTAAAAATGGTAGTGGTCAATTTATGAAAAACAACAAAACAAAACAAAATACAAAAAAAAATAAAAATAAATTCATTCATGTTAAGAGTAAAAAAAAAATATCACGTACTTTGCGTGGATGGAGCTGCAGACATTTGTGACGATGGATCTTTTGAAAGAGAATCTTTTTTTTTTTTTGGTGGTTGTGTAATTTTTTGGTGATCAAAACAGTATGGCAAGGCAAAAAAAAAAAAAAATAAAAAAATAAAAAAAAAGCTTGTGAGACCAGAAAAGCCCATAGAAATTCATCAAACTAAATGAAAATGTCTATTTGGTTCACGAACCAATCACCTAAAATACAACAAACATTTATGAAATATATATATATATATATATATATATATCAATTTTTTTTTTTTTTTTTTTTTCACCATACTTTACACAGCTGTACTAATCTAACAATCTCTAAAAATTCACGTCTCTGCTCTTGTGAAACTTCTAGAGAAGCATGATCATCACTACTCGACTTCTTGGTATGCCCCAAGTCTGCTGCTAATCCAACAACCACCTGTCTGCGATCCTGTGGAGCCTGGCGTGCCACTACAGATGCAATCTGTGCAGCATAAATTCTGCTCTGGATATCGGACATATCATACGAACTAGAACCACCTAAGAGTGGCATAGGAGTCAAATGAGGGAGTGGTAGTAAACTGTCATTATGGTCGTCATCATCGAGCTCGTCATAATCATTAGATGGGGGGTCAAAAATGGCAGAGGATGTTGGTAGACCTTCGCCAACAGGAGATCCTAGTAAAGGCACATAGAACTGAGAAAAAGAAAAGAAAAGATTAGATTATATTAGACTTAAGGAATATTATAAATTAAAAGATCTTGTTAAAATTAAAACAGTCTTACCATTCGACCTAATCGTCCATTGCTGTGCACCATCACCATGATTTTATCGGAGAACGCAGTTGTAACCACATCCAAGACTTTCCCTGAAGGAAGAGTATATGAGGCATGTTTAGAGGGAGCAGTGAACCCTTCGATTATTTCTACTTTTGTGTTATTATCATCTGAAGACATGGCTAGTTGCTTTTTTATTTTTATTTTTTTTTTGAAAACGGGAGTTAAAAAAAAAAAAAGGACTTTTGGTGAAGATCAAAAAGTTGTTCAGGCCAAAAAAGCAAAAAATAATAAGGCTGTGCGTCATCAAAAAATTACATAAAATTATTACACCAAACAGTCAACAACAACCGTTAATTACCAGACAGGTAATATATACAAACACTTTCTACAAACTCTTAGCAGTAGTTTCAAAATCAAAAAAAAAAAAAAAAAAAAAAAAAGTTTTTTTGATATTCGCTTAATGAAACTAAATGAAACCAAACGGAATCCTTATAAATAGAAACCTTTTCAAGCCTTTTTGGTAATTATAATTAATTGCCTTGAAGTCTTATGTTAATTGACCCGGGTAACTGACGTCAACCAAAATCACGTGTACAGAATATGGGGGAGGAAATTTCAAAGCCTTCAAGCCTTCAAGCCTTTTTTTTTTTTGCTCCTCGACACAAACAGACTCTCAACTCATCAATCATACATCTATCTCTACACATTATGTCTTCATCATCCTCTGGGTCTTCCAATAACAATCAATCCACTTTGTCCGGTACAAAACGCCCATTTTCAGCTCCAGAATCCAACCCTCAATCGGGTACTAACCGCCAGCCTGGAACTTCGGCCACCTCAGGTCGGCCCCAGACTTCCCTGGCTGGATTCCAAATCTCAGTGTCTCCACGGCAAAAGGGCAACCCGTTGCTCACTCACCTTAAAAATGTACCATGGAAATACGCAGACATTGTTTCAGACTATTTTATTCCAGCAACAAGCAGCGGACGTACATATAAATCACCTGAGGCTATAGCTTCGGGATCTACAACACAAGGCCACCAGGGAACTGCAGGCCGAGGATCAGTGCTTGCAGCATCAACTGCGTCTAATGTGTTGTACTTGTCTCTTAAATACTACCGGATCCACCCAGAGTATATTACTGGTCGGATGGCCAAGCTTGGGTATGAACAAGAGCGGAACGATGACGATGTTTCTGCCAGTGGAGTAGGGCTTAGTGGAATCCATTTTGCACGGATATTGTTGGTAGTTGTTGACATTGAGAATCCTGCCGAAACACTTAAAGAAATCACTCGTCTTTCTTTTGCACGCGACTTTACAATGGTGCTTGCATGGAACAATGCCGATGCCGCAAATTATATTACGCAACTCAAGACAATGCAAAATGCGTCACTTGATCCTTCAGCGAAAAATTATGATACATTGACAGGCATGGCATTGCTTAATGGAGGATCATCAGGAGCTTATACCGGGGGGTCATCAAAAAACGATAGTAGCTCTGGTTCAGAGGGGCTCAGCATGTCAGCGAGCGTTTATAATGCACACGTAATTGAAACTGTGACCAAAGTTCGTGGAATTAATAAGACGGATGCACAGGCATTGATTGCACAGTACGGCTCATTGTCTAATGCGTTTAAGGATGGTGCAAGTAAGGTTGAAAATATTGGCGGATGGGGTGCCACTAAAGCCAAGCGTTTCCAAGATGCAATCACAAAACCGTTTATTAATCGCGAATGGGAGGAAGAAGATAAAGAGGTTGGATATGATGAAGATGAAGAAGAAGAAGAAGAAGATGATGATGATGAAGATTTGTTTGTAAGCGCAGGCGCTAATCGAGAAAATATAACTACTGATAATGATGATAGCTTAACGATAGAACCCGATAACTAGCATTAGGATTTTGAAAAAAAAAAAAAAAAAAAAAAAAAAAAAAATTAAGCAATACAAACTGTTAATATTATTAGAGAAAAAACTAAAGAAAAAAAAAAAACGTCTATTTCATTCAATCATAGAATGAGGTAATAAAGCAAGAAAAATAAAAAAAAACACCTTGTTTCTTGCATAATAATGAGCATTCAAAAGAAAAAAAAAAACAACAACAATAATAATAATAATAATATTTATTTAGTGTCGAGCTTTAGATCTAAGCAAATCTAACCGAGAAATCTTACGGTCTGAAGCAGTTGCATGTAAAGACGGCGAGGTTGATGAGAGCAAGAGTGGCGAGGATGGGGCTGAAAGACTTGCAGTGGTAGGAACGGATTTCGGAGAAGCCAGAGGTGATCCACGAATTCTAGGAGATGCCAAAGGAGATCCTGAAAAAACTGATGTTCCAGACATACCCGAGTTACCCGAGGTTCCTGACATTGCAGAGAAAGCTGGGGAAGTGAATGATGGAGTTGCAGTTTTGGAATGGGCAAGGGTTGGGTTAGAAATGGAAGGATTTGTAGTAAGGTATGGTGGGAGGTTTGGGTGAAGGGTTGGTGAAGAGGAATTGTTTCCACTGTAAATCTTAACAGACTCCAAATTATCTGCGGATGCAATCATCTCCAGATAAGATTGGCGGTGGTGCGCGTACTGAGAACGTTCAGTCGCGTCGCCGGCAAGCCGCGTATCTTTGGATTTCTCGCGAAGATTAGGAGGCTTGACTACAATCACGGGGATGGGTGAGTGCTGGAGACACCATTTGGAGACGGATCCTGGGAGCAAGCCGCGGAAGCCCTTTTTATAGGAGCGACCTTTAGTGCCGACTACTAACATTGAAGGTTCATAGACTTCAATTGTGCGCATGATTGTTTCTTCAACCTTACCAACAGAAAATTCAAGAATTATTGAAATGGCCTTGTTTTTGGTATTTTTAGTGAGCAAATGGGCCAAAAAGTTTTCTGCTTCTTTACGATAAGTTTTTTCATTGCTGCCTAGATGTATAGTGAAAAAAAAAAAAAAATTGAATTTGGTTGGTTAGTATAAATATATAAAAAAAAAAAAAAAAAAAAAAAAAATAGTGCAAGTTCCCCTTAGAAATGAATTTATTTATAGCCGCCGCCGGAACTTATCAAAAAACAAAAAAAAATAAGTGAATAATAAAATAAAGGATTATTTCTTGTTAAAAAATAAATCAGTGCAATGTCCCATCAGTGATTGACCTCGGTATTTTTATTTTTATTTTCTGTCTAGGGTATTCAAGTAATCATAAAAATATTGCTGCTATTATTATTATTATTGTTGTTGTTGCTTCTTCAGAAATAGGGTTCTTATTATTGCAGCCAAAAAAAAAAAAAAAAAAAAAAAAAAACTTTAATAAACAAGATAAGTTCCGCTGTTCAGGTTGATGCGTTATCGGGGCTAACGGTGATGCAATGAAAAGGAAAGAAATCTTTGACGGACAAAAATAATAATAATAAAAACAACAACATTGAGAATTACAAACAAAGAGGTTTTTGTTATTTCCCTTGATTTTGGGTATTTGGTCTAGTAGTGCACGCAGTAGCAACATTAAGGGAGCAAATAATAATAATAATAATAATAATAATAATAATAATAAAATATAAATGATGTGGCCAAGTGAGCGGGATTTTTTTTTTTTTTTTTTTCGTAAAAGCAGCAAAAAAAAAAAAGGGGAAAATGATAGGAATAACCAAATAGTTATGATTATTATTATTATACATACCTGGGTCAACAACACGAAGACAAACAATTTCATCTCCATCTTCAACTAGCTCTCGCATTAGCCAGCTGGCTGCATTTTCTGAATACTTATTGTTGTCAGTACCACACAAAAAGGTACGTGAAAGACGAGAGTACTTGTAGTCTTGATGAGTAAAACGAAGAGTTAATGAAAAGTCAATTGCAAGTTTATTGCCAAATGTATCAAAGGACACGCGAGGTTCAAAATCGTGTGCTGGAGAAATAAGGTCGTTTTCATGTGGGTGATCACTACCACTCAATTTGCGTACACGTGAGCGTGATCTGCGCTGAACTCGCGAACGGGAACGGGAGCGACTAGTTGAGTAGTCCGAGTCTTCGGAGTCGGAAGATGAGTCTGAAGAAGATTCCATTCCAGCAGCAGTATGAACAGAATCTCCAGTCTGGGTTTGATGTTCGTGTTCGTTATCTTGATCTTGATCTTGATCATTGTGCTGATGATGATGGTGATGATGGTGATGGTGATGATGGCCTATATCTTCAGGATGTTGTTCATGGTACAAAGTGCGTTCAATTTGACGTTTTCTTCTGCGACGTGCGACATCTCTGGCTTCAATAAAGGTATTTGCATTTGCATTGGTATTACTTTCTGTTTCATCCGAGGTAAACTGAAAGTGGAATTTTTTAGGGAATGATGTAGTTTTGGATGAAGGAGAGGTAGATCTAATAAGATTAATTTCAGCATTTTCTTCTTCTTCTTCTTCAGTATTAACTGCTGTAGCATTACTGGGTGTAATCTTGATGCTAGGTGGTGGTGGTTGTGTTAAAGTGGTTGTTGTTGTTGTTGTTGTTGTTGTTGTTGTTGTTGTTGTTGTTGTTGTTGTTGTTGTTGTTGTAGGCTTTCCAACATCATCATCATTATTATCTTCTAAAGAGGAGTTAGAGCCATTGGCGGTGGCGGTTGATGAAACTAAGGTTTTGTTATCATCATCATCGGTAGATTCCAAGGCCGTAGCAATGGGAAGTTCAATAGGTTTTGTAGCGGTATCAACAGACATATTAATGAAATGTGAAAAGGGGTTGGTTGGTTGTTAAGCAATAATAATGAAAGAAAAAAAAAAAAAAAGAATTGAAGATAAAAAAAAAAAAAAAAAAAAAGCTTTTAAAAAGAAAGAATTTTAAGGGTTAAAAAAAAAAAAAATTTTTTTTTTCTTTTTTTTTTTTTATATTTTAAAAAATAAAAAAAAATATCTTTTTGGATAGCCTACTTAAAATGGCAATTATTTCAGCCACGTGACCACACTACAAATATATATAATTATATATATATTTATCTTAATCAATTTCAATTATTATTTTTAACAAAAAAAAAAAAAAAAAATTCCTGCGCCTTCCGAATCTTTTCCGTCACGGGACGCGGATATTATATTAACGACTTCGGCATGTTGCAGATTTATATATATATATATATATATATATATATATATATATATATATCGAATAATCAATAAATAAAAAGACCTTCTATTTTTTTTTTTTTTTTTTTCTTAATCATAAAAAAAATTATATATATTCTTTATAAAATCAAAGACCGAGAATCAACATTTCGGATTGTTTTTTTTTTTTTATAAAATTGTTTTTTTTTTTGACACTTTTAGCTTCTCCATGCGGTACTCCGCATCAACGTTTTTTTTTTTTTTTTGTTTCTTTTTTTTAAGTAAAAAAAAAAAAAAAAAAATGTCTTGGCAATTATTAGAAAAATCCATCATCACCATCATCGGACAGAAATTTAAAAATAAAAAAATAAAAAAATAAAAAAATAAAAAAATTTTTTTTTTTTTTTTTTTGGCTCTTCCAATTCGTCTGTGCCTCGGAACTACCGATGTGAAGAACCAAACGCTCGCGTGACCACTCTTTTGACTATATGACTATGATTATATGACTATATGACTATGACTATTCACTATTCACTATTGAAAAACAAGTATATTCATAAGTATATATTACTTTATTACCCTTTTCAACAACAACACTTTTTTTTTTATTCAAAGTTCAAAGTTCAAATTTACATATATATATATATATATTAAAGGACTCGATGGAATATAACTTTAACTAAAAAAAATGATAAATAACTCACCCTTAATACTAAATATCACCCGATTAATAGAAGATATCAGAGCAAAAAAAAAAAAAAAATTAAAAAAAAGTTCAGGCCAGCAAAACTATTCTAAACTAACTTCAAAGTATGAAGAAAAAAAAAATTATTTTTATTTTTTTTTTTATTTTACCCCCTTTATGATTGACGTGTCACAACCTTGTTTTCTTCTTCTTCTTCTTCTTCTTCTTTTACTTCTTTTACTTCTTGGTTCTCCGTTTGTTGTTGAATTCAAAAACAAAGCCTTAAGTAGGAAGAAACTCAAATCAAATGCTTGATCTAAGGCTTAACTCTATTTTAACCACTCCATTCGAGTCATTTCTTACAAACTTTTCACTTTAAAATATTATATCCACAAGGGATTAAACTAAAATTCTTGCTTCAATCCTATCCTTATAAACTTGTTACCAGGTGGCGCATATATATATATATATATATATATATAAACGCTATTACAACAAAAGAATAAACTTACAACTATTATTTGTTACTAAAACTTGGTCTGTCATTTAAAATATACCATACAAAGACCTTGTTCTGATCTTTTTATATTACACAGTGAAATCATCATGTGTACTAAATATCCATTGTTTAATTGACTTTTGATTCCTTTCAATATACCTCAGAAATTATGGATTTCCAAAAAAAAAAAAAAAAATCTATTCTTTTTTTTTTTTTTTTTTTTTTTAATTATGATAATTATCATTATAATTATTTAGCGGCTTTATGATTCCCGAATTTTCCAATAATTGTCTATATATATATACAAATTTTGTATGCCGCTCTTTTTTTTTCTTTCTTTTTTTTATTTGTATTTTTTTTTGTATGCTAAAAGTTTACTCCACATTTCTTCATTCATTCCTGCATTAGCCACGCTTCTTAGTCTTGTGCTTTGTTGCGATTATGGTGATTTTTATTTTTTTTTATTTTTTATTTTTTTTATTTTTTTTCCCACAAGCTCTAATCTTCACCCTCAGTTGTTGTAAAAAAAATACACTTTTCAGCCCATATTTCTTGAAAAAAAAAACTATAAAACTTTTTTATTTATTTATTTTTTTATTTTTTTTATTTTTTTATTTTTTTCATTTTTTGATTATTTTTTAGCTTATGATTGTGGCTTGTGTTTAGTATTTTTTTTTTTCCACCTTCCCCAGATTAAAACCGTTGGAATAATGAAAACCTGTTGCAATTAGAAAAAAGTGGCTTGAGATATTTAAAAATTTCCCCAGAATTTAATTATTAAAGGTACCATATTTTATGTCTTTTTTTTTATTATTATTATTTGAGAGAGATGAGAGAACCTCTGAAGTTATGCAACTTTATCAAAAGGTCAATCAATTAATAGAAAGTCCTTGTAGATAAATATAATTTTAAATTAATGTTAACTAAAATTATTTTGGGTTTTATCTTTTTTATTTTTTAAATAAAATGTTAATGACTGAAAATATTGAAAAAAAGGTGATTTAAAAGATAAATAGATATTCATATAATACATTGAAAAAGTTTTCAATTACAACAGTAGTATTTATTTCACTGCTTTAAGCAGAAATTAAATTTACTAAAGATTTACTTTGGGTTTTAAAAAATTCCTATTCTTTAAATCTTTAAATATTTTATCAACTATTTTCCCATATTATTTACCATAATTACCATAATTACCATATTTATTTATTTTTTTTGCAGCGGATTTCACTCACTCAATCAAAATCAGTTAAATATTGAATTGATCATCGTTGATTAGTTAAAATCCACTGAATACATAATTATGTTTATAAACAACATCATTCTATTGCCAAGCTCTCATGGCACATGTATATACAATTGTATAGAAAACAGTTGATTAATTATAATTGACACTCAAGAACCATTTAATTTAGTTAATAATTAAACTTTTACAAAAAAAATATATTATATATATATATATTTATTTTTTATTTCATTTCACCTTAAAATGCATGGGGTAGGAACATCGAGGGGGTAATCAGTGGTCATAGTGGTCAGTATGTATACGGTAGAAATTAATTGATTATGTAATTTTGAATGAAAAAAAAAAATTAAAAAAACCACTACTATCTTCAGTGTAGAACAATAAGATATCACTGAAAAAGGAGCCGAATCTATCTAAACATCAAATATAATATTGGAAACAAACAGAGCTAATAGAAACAAAAAAAAAAAAAAAGTCTTATTTGTACGATATCACTTTACTAACACTTTATATTTATAACAAACATTACTATATCATTTATAACTGAATATAAATATATACCAAAAAATTCGAAACAGGTTAAAAGTTTTTTTTTTTTTTTTTTTTTTGTTCTTATACCAAATACCAAAAGATCCATGAAATTAAAAATCTAGTTACACCTTTAAAAAAAGAAAAAAGATTCTTTACTCTTTGTTTTTTTTTTTTAAAGAATCAAAAAATGTCTTCAGCCAAACCTAATAAACCTTCTGACAAAAAGAATCAGAATAAAGAAAAAAAATTTTTTTATCACTTTTGATGACTTAGCTACATCTAAGTTTATCAATTTTTGTTGAATTAAAACAAAAATTTTCATATTCTTCTATCCGTGACATATCAACTGAAGAATTGGAAGCCGTTTCTACTGCTCTTGATATGACACCTATCTCCATCCTAAATACAAACTTCTCTGTAACTCTTGAAGCATGTTGGCACGAAATAGAATTGTTAAAAAACTTAATTAAATTGTATGAAAAAACCAATTTCAAGGAATTCGACGTAACATATAGAAATATCGACAAGGTCTTTGACCCTTCATATAAATACTTTCTTCGTTATGGTAGTCAAGTAATTTGGAAAACTCAATTCCAAAATAAAATCAGCAGTCTTTGCATCATATTTTGAAACTTTTATATTTACTGTAATATTTCAGGTCCTAGTGCTAATTATTACAATAGTATCTGGGAATTCGAGGTTGTTATGTAAAAAAATTTATAGATGTTTACATTTCAAAAACAGTCTTAAAACGTTATAGAAGCTCTGCAAATTCAGCTTTTAGTTGAACAAAAAAAAAAAAAAATAAACGTTAGGGAAATTTTCCGCCGTCCAAGTCCAAGGTCAGATCTTAACTGGGTAAACTTTGAGGAGATTATAGCAACTCAGCATCCTGAATCCTGGTCTTAGAAAATTAATCTCTCAAATGGAACGCCTTTATAACATCGTGAAATATGGGGTTGGCAGCTTAAAAAAGCAAGAATTGGCTTACTATATGAGTTGGCCTTTCCAATTATCATTAAGAAATAACGGACAATTTCGTGACGAAAAAGGGCGTCCAGATAGATATAAATTTAAGCAACTCCTTACAGCTGGCTCTGCAGCTTTTTCCCAGGGAGAAGCATTCGTTTTGAGCAAAACTGCTGGAAGTTACCATCGAGATGCTCTGCTAACTATTCTTAACGACGATGAAGTAACACGTGCTTCCCACAACGATCCTGAAAGCTATCTTTGAAAACTTTTACATAGGGTGGTCCATGTCATTTTGGCATATCTTTTGACTTTTATAATTAAAAAGAAATGATATATTGGACTATTTCTTTACATATCCTTAATTTTTTATTAAATTTAATAATTGTTTATTTTCTCTTTTTAAATGTCAACTTTTAACTGATATAGGGAGAATGCTTCTAAAACAAAACCAGATGAAGAAAAATGAAGAAACAAATACCATAGCACTGATCTGAATTTCAGATAATCGGTTCCCTGTGCTCAGTAAAGAAAAAAAAAAAAAACCTTAAAATCCCAAAGAAGGAATTTTTATTGAACCTAACCCTTGCGGAATTCATGTCTAACAACAGGTCATCATGATATTTCAACAACAAAATTGAAAATTTGTATGACAGTACCCTAACCCACTACAGGGCTAGTACAAAAACTTCATGAATATTACTATAAATAGCTTTTTCACTAAACCCTCCAAAAAAGATACATTTATTACCAAATTCGGCAAGCCTACTAAAAAAAAGCCCTTGCCCTCATAAGTCAACCCTAACCCAAGTGGAAAAATGTCAACAATTAATGATAAATCATCCAAAATAAACGAAAATTAAAAAAATAAAGTTGTCATTGATAAATAATAAACAAAATAGACATTGATAAAAATATTATTCAACAAATAGGCATATTTTATTAAATATTGAATAGAAATTTCACCATTTAGTGCCAGCCCAGGCATATGCATGCAAGAAATCGAGAAGCCTTGATGGCCAAGTTGGTAAGGCGCGTCACTAGTAATGACGAGATCGTCGGTTCGAATCCGGCTCGAGGCACTTAACTTTTTGCATGTTTTTTAATTTTTTTTATAAATTCTTGATGTTAGAATATTTATTTATATGTATAAATTAATAAAATCGGATCTATAATTTAATTATATTTAATTATATTTAATTATATTTAATTATATTTAATTATATTTAATTATATTTAAATATGGTTGATTATCATTAAATATAATTAATTCTAAAAAAATTAATATTGTTATGAATTTTTTTCTACATTTATAAAACAAAACAGTGAGTGTTAATGAGAGTTACAACAATTTGAGAAAGAAAAAAAAATTCAAAATTCAAGTGATAATGAAATGCATGAATAAAATAGAAGTTTATATTGTACAACTGTTCAACTCTCTATTTTAAACTTTCTATAATTTGATGGTTGGTCTCATTACGAAGTTGAAGAGATTCAAAGGTTGGAATTGTAAAAAAAAATATTTTAACAAATAAATTTATAAAAATGGTAGGGGCAAAAAAAAAAAACAAAAAAAGAGAGATTTAAATGATATAATATTTCAGTTATATCTAACCGGATTCTAAAAGAAGCTTCTTCAATACAAGGTCACATATTTTCCATTTCATTTTTACATCGAATAAATAAAAAAAATCCGTCAATTCACTGATACAGATATTGTACCAATGAGAAAATAAAAGTGATTATGTTTCAGCATCATATTTAATTTGATCAATGTGGTCAGGTAGCAAAATAAATTTTAGTGGATTTAAAGATATATCTATATAGGTAATTTGAGTTAAGAGTTAAGAGTCAATAATTTAAAGTAATAAGCGATATCGCTAACTTTAGAAAGTTGATATAAAAGAAAGTCGCAAAACCAAAACTTGTAAATACATTCAGGATCTGTGGAATCAAAAAAAAAAAAATAATAATAATAATAAAGGCGTTTGGGGTCTCTTACAATGAAACATAAATTTTAATTTTTCTTAATCAACTAATTTGTCCATTTCTCATTAAACAATCAATGTTACTTCATATGGTCTTAGTTGCAAATATCTTTAATGCAATTGCATAAAGAGCATTCAGGGTCAAAGGGGTCTTCTTTCTAAAATAATGATTAAACGAAACCACCTTAATATCTTTAATACATAATATCAAGACTAAAGTTTATGTTGGGGGTTCGACAATAAAAGTTGTTGATATAAGGGTACCAGGATAATTTAATACAGTGGTCAAAAATGAAAGACTATGACACCCAAGATCAGTTCGGTACTATAAAATAAAATATTACAATTGCTCAATTGGGGAATTTAAAATGTGTGGTTAAAAAAGCAATTACAAGATCATTCATCATATGACTTAATAAGGTAGACAGTCCTATTAGGAAGTCAAATTAAGAAGATTTCGACAAGAAACAGCGGTAGGTAAATAAGAACTACCATCATTTTTAGGAAAAAAATGAAATTAAGAAACATTATTCGCATTTCAAAAGTTGGATCAGATTCACAATTGTGTTATCCAAAAAAAGGAGTACTTTAAAACATGAATATAAAATAAAAAAAATTCAATAGGGGAATATATATTATCATAATTTATGCTTCTCGTAACTTAATCGATATGGTGAATTCGCATCCTTTATTAGACTTAGTATCGAAATAGGTGAATATCAATATCTTAATGTAATCAACATAACGGTGTAATTTCATGAATGGAATACGTGGTTCCTCTGGTAATCTGATAAGTGGTCTAAAGGCAGGGTCAAGGTCGGCACTCCTTGATTAATCGGCGACCAACCGTCAAAACATTGAGTAAAAGAAAGCTTAATAGATGGATTCACCACTATACAAAACAATCGACAAAGAGGCTGAATCGTACTTTCATCAATGGTAAATGTGGTTCCTCTGGTAATCAAAGAGGTGGTCAATAAGCAGGGTCAAGGTCGGCACTCCTTGATTATTCTGCGACCAACCATCAAAACATTGAGTAACAGAAAGCATAATAGATGGATTCACCACTACACAAAACAATCGACAAAGAGACTGCATCATACATTCATCAATGATGGTCGGGGTTCCTCTGGTAAACCAAGGGGTGGTCAATAAGCAGGGTCAAGGTCGGCACTCCTTGATTAATCTGCGACCAACCATCAAAAAATTGAATAACTGAAAGCACAATGAGTCGATTCACAACAACACAACATAATCGACAAAGAGGCTAAATCATACATTCATCAATGATGGTCGTGGCTCCTATTGATAACAATAAAGAGGTCAATAAGCAGGGTCAAGAGCGACAATCCTAGATTATTCCGCGACCAACCATCGAAACATTGAGTAACAGAAAGCACAACATGTAGATTCACGACAACATAATCAACAAAGAGGCTGATTCATACTTTCATCAATGGTAAACGTGGTTCCTCTTGATAACAATAAGGAGGTCAATAAGCAGGGTCAAGGGTGACAATCCTTGTTTAATCAGCGACCAACCATAAAAACATTGAAAATCTAAAAGTACAATGGGTCGATATAATGGTGTTGTAAATGGAAGTGAGGTAGTGAGGTAGTGAGGTAGTGAGGTAGTGAGGTAGTGAGGTAGTGAGGTAGTGAGGAAGTGAGGTAGTGGTATGTGTGTAGGTGTGTGTAGGTGTGTGTAGGTGTGTGTAGGTGTGTGTAGGTGTGTGTAGGTGTGTGTAGGTGTGTGTAGGTGTGTGTAGGTGTGTGTAGGTGTGTCTAGGTATGTGTAGGTGTGTGTAGGTGTGTGTAGGTGTGTGTAGGTGTGTGTAGGTGTGTGTAGGTGTGTGTAGGTGTGTGTAGGTGTGTGTAGGTGTGTGTAGGTGTGTGTAGGTGTGTGTAGGTGTGTGTAGGTGTGTGTAGGTGTGTGTAGGTGTGTGTAGGTGTGTGTAGGTGTGTATGGGTGTGTATAGGTATGTATAGGTGTATGGGTGTGGATGGTTGCTTGTAAAGGCAGTTGCAGGTTGTCACAAACGATTTTTACCAGTTCCATAAGTATATCCAACATGTGTTTGCAATGTTGTATGCATGATCATTATGCATGATCATTAACGATAGATGGATAGAGTTACTTTGGTCGTCATGTCGATAAAGGAAGCTTTTGTGGAGAACCATGACTGTATAGCTTTGGAGTTGAGAGAATAGCATCATTGTCTAAAAGAGAGTTAGGTCAATGAGCTAATTATTGGATGCATTGGAATTAATAGACTTACCAAAAGACGACTGCAACAATAACAAAATCAATGATGGCAAAGGATGACGGTATACCTTTGTGGCTGGGTGAATCGCATGTATGTCTAAAAGAGAGTTAGGTCAATGAGCTAAGTATTGGGTATATCGGAAGTAGTAGACTTACCAAAGACGATGCTGCATGTTGAAAGAAATAATTTTAAAGTAATGTGGATGATAGTGAGTATAGATATCTTATGGTATGAAAAATAATAGATCATAATTGATAATAGTGATAATATTGATTAATGTTTGGCAATAGTAGTTTATGGTTGCTAATAGTAAATAATAGTTGATAGTGTAGATGGTGATATAGTTGTAAAAAAGTATTGTAAGGTAAAGAAAGGTAAAGGTAAAAAAAAAAAAAGAAAAAAAAATAAAAAAAAATAAAAAACTGCTGAAAGGAATGAATGGTAATTGAAAAAAGATAAAACCAAAAAGGCTGGAGGACGACTTTTTATTTATAACTCGATAGTTTTTATTATTTTCAAATTTGACTTCTTCATATTGGAATTTCTCAACCGAATAACTTAATTATGAGGGAATCATTAGGGAAGGGCAAGGACGATACTTTTCAATTAATCTGCCACCAACCATCAAAACACTGAGTAAAAGAAAGCACAATGGGTCGATTCACCACAACACAACATAATCGACAAAGAAGCTGCATCACACTTTCATCAATGTTAAACGTGGTTCCTCTGGTAATCCAGGAGGTGGTCAATAAGCAGGGTCAAGGTCGGCACTCCTTGATTATTCTGCAACCAACCATCAAACATTGAGTAACTGAAAGCACAATAGGTCGATATAATGGTGTTGAAAATTGTAGTGAGGTAATGGTATGAATGTGGGAGTGTGTGGGAGTGTGTGGGAGTGTGTGGGAGTGTGTGGGAGTGTGTGGGAGTGTGTGGGAGTGTGTGGGAGTGTGTGGGAGTTTGTGGGAGTTGCTTGCAAAAGCAGTTGCAGGTTGTCACAAACGATTTTTACCAGTTCCATAAGTATATCCAACATGTGTTTGCAATGTTGTATGCATGATCATTAACGATAGATGGATAGAGTTACTTTGGTCGTCATGTCGATAAAGGAAGCTTTTGTGGAGAACCATGACTGTATAGCTTTGGAGTTGAGAGAATAGCATGATTGTCTAAAAGAGAGTTAGGTCAATGAGCTAATTATTGGGGGTATTGGTATAAGTAGACTTACCAAAACACGACTGCAACTATAACAAAATCAATAATGGCAAAGGATGACGGTAGTGCCTTGAGGATGGGTGAATCGCATGATTTTCTAAAAGAGAGTTAGGTCAATGAGCTAAGTATTGGGTGCATTTGAATAAGTAGACTTACCAAATGATGACTGCAACAATAACAAAATCAATGATGGCAAAGAATGATAGTTTAGTCTTGAGGTTGAGTAAATCATATGTTTGTCTAGTAAAGGGTTAGATCAATGACCTAAGTATTGGGTGCATTGGAATAAGTAGACTTACCAAAAGATAATTGCAGCATGTTGAAAGTAATAATTTTAAAGCATACAAGGATGCTAGTGAGTATGAATATCGTACGGTATGGTAAATAATAGATCATAATTGATAATAGTGATAATAGTGATAATAGTGATTCATGTTTGGTAGTAGTGCTTCATGGTTGGTAATAGTAAATATTAGTAGTTGATAGTCGTAGAAGGTGATATAGTTGTAAAGGTAAAGATTAAAAAAAAATAAAAGAATGAAAAAAAATTGCTGAAAAGAATGAATGGCTATTGAAAATAGATAAAAAATGAAAAAGGGAGGAGAACGGCGTTTTATTTATAACTTCATAGTTCTTTATTATTTTAAAATTTGACTTCTTCATATTGGAATTTCTCAATCGAATAACATAATTATTAGGGATCAATAGCGAGGGGCGAGGATGATACTCTTCAATTAATCTACCACTAACCATCAAAGCATTGAATAACTGAAATCATAATGGGTCTATGTACCACAACACAACATAATCGGCAATGAGGCTGAATCATACTTTCATTAATGGTAAACGTGGTTCCTCTGGTAATCCAAGAGGTGGTCTAAAAGCAGGGTCAAGGTCGGCACTCCTTGATTATTCTGCGACCAACCATCAAAACATTGAGTAACTGAAAGTACAATAGGTCGATTCACCACAACACAACATAATCGAAAAAAGAAGCTGCATCACACTTTCATCAATGTTAAACGTGGTTCCTCTGGTAATCCAAGAGGTGGTCAAAAGGCTGGGTCAAGGTCGGCACTCCTTGATTAATCTGCGACCAACCATCAAAACAATGAATAACTGAAAGCACAATAGGTCGATATAATAAATAGTGTTGTAAGTGGTAGTGAAATAGTGGTAGTGAGGCAGTGGTTGTGGAGTAGTGGTAGTGGTAGTGGTAGTGGTAGTGGTAGTGGTAGTGGTAGTGGTAGTGGTAGTGGTAGTGGTAGTGGTAGTGGTAGTGGTAGTGGTAGTGGTAGTGGTAGTGGTAGTGGTAGTGGTAGTGGTAGTGGTAGTGGTAGTGGTAGTGGTAGTGGTAGTGGTAGTGGTAGTGGTGGTGGTGTGGTGGTAGTGGTGTGGTAGTGGTGGTGGTGGTGGTGGTAGTGGTAGTGGTAGTGGTAGTGGTAGTGGTAGTGGTAGTGGTAGTGGTAGTGGTAGTGGTAGTGGTAGTGAGGTAGTAGTAATTGAAGTCGTCACGTCTGAATAACCATAATGATAAGTCCCTTGAATTTACCTTGGATGAGATATCAGGTTTGGGACATTCATTGGTATAGTCATATTGGTTATCTCGATTACAAAGGAACTTATGATAACTAATGTTGAAGATTTAGCATTGACCTCGAGCCGATCGTATATTTTTTCTAGTAGAGAGTTAGATTAGGAACTTAAATATTAGATGCGTTGGTATATGAAAACTTACAAAAAGTAGGCTTTAATAATAAAGAAATTAATGATGGCTTGATATGACTATATGCTTCCGAGGTTATGTTTAGGGGGTGTTTGTCTATTAGAGTGTTAGATCAATAACTCGGGCATTGGGTGCATTGGGTGCATTGGGTGCATTGGGTACATTGACATAAGAAGACTTACCAATAGACAACTGTATTATGTATAAAGGGATAATAGTGAAGAAATGCGAGGGAGAGTGTTTATGAATAGTGTGGTATGGCAAATAGTTGATAGTAGTTGATAGTAGTTGATAGTAGTTGATAGTAGTTGATAGTAGTTGATAGTAGTTGATAGTAGTTGATAGTAGTTGATAGTAGTTGATAGTAGTTGATAGTAGTAGATGGTAGTAGATGGTAGTAGATGGTAGTAGATGGTAGTAGATGGTAGTAGATGGTAGTAGATGGTAGTAGATGGTAGTAGATGGTAGTAGATGGTAGTAGATGGTAGTAGATGGTAGTAGATGGTAGTAGATGGTAGTAGATGGTAGTAGATGGTAGTAGATGGTAGTTAATAGTAGTAGATGGTAGCTCATGGTACTGGATGATATTTCTAGAGGTAAAGGATAAAAATGAATAATAAAATTCGAGAAAAGTGAATGGTAAAAGAAAAGAAATGAAAATCAAAAAGACCGGGGAAATCACTTTTATTTATACCTCCTTACAAATTTCTTCAGTAAATATAAAACTTCTTCTTATGGAAATTCTTTAATAAAATAAAAACTAATGTATCATTGATCATGTTGTGGTTATTTTTAACTATCCATACTTGTCACATGCTAAGATATAATTCTTAGAAAGCCAGCTGGCTGCAGCCTAGTATTGCAAATGTTCATATTCTTCATTGAAGTATAATTTGGCCTGATGAATTCCCGTGACATTTGTAATAAAAAATTTGATGAAAAATGAAGAATTATATTATGAATATAGAAAGAAAAAGAATAGAAAGAATAGAATAGAAAGAATAGAATAGAAATACTTATATTTATATTTTTGATGTATATTTATATTTTACCCAGAGCTTTTTTTATTCAATCTGTATTTTCTCAAGTTATCAAATTTGTTAACTGTCATTTTCATTACCATTTCACAAAATATATTCGGTAACTAAAAATTGCCGATTCAAAATCCTTATTTGTTAATACAATTATTTTACTAGATTAAAAAACTAAATAGTTTGTTATTTCGGTTTCTGGATATCATACAGCTTTTAATGATGCCAACTTATAAGTTGTACATAATTATGTACAGATTACTCCAAGTTATTTATGTAACTATATGTATTTTTTTTTAATTTTTAGAAATATTATGGATCAAATTAGACACTCTGATGAAATCTAATTGAATTAGGCTGATTAGACTTTGTCTTCAACTCCTATTTTTTTAACAGGGTGTTATTTTTTTTAAAAGTTATAATATTATAATTACGCATTTTTAAAATTTGTTTATATATTTATATTCAGATGTTAAAAGTGTGGAGTTGACTGTCATATTACTTACTTTAATATGATTGGAAAATTAAAAGACGTTTTAATGGGATATCACCTTTCAGTTATGTATCCAAGTGGTTAATCCCTTAAATTTTCTTTCAACTGAAGGTCATAAATCATTTGTTTCATTTTCACATTAAATGCAAACCATTCATCTATATACTTAAACATATATGGTACCAATGGTGATATTGAAAGTGATATTTCTTTTATAGTAATTTTTAATTGTTCAATGTAGGCAGGTTTTACAATCAGCTTTTGTAGATTTGTAGATGAGTAATGTACACTAAAACTCAAAGCAATCATATCTTTTTAAAATAAACTAATATCATTTTGACCGCATTTATTAAAATGAAAAAAACAATAATCTAGATATTAAAAATAAAGCTTTGACATTAAAGCATTTCCGTTTGTTTTTTTCACAAAATAAAAAAATAGTTCTAAGTAAAAAATGGACGACACCGGAGTTGAACCGGGGACCTTTCGCATGCTAAGCGAACGTGATAGCCAACTACACCAGACGCCCAAATAAATTCTTAGTTATATTTGTTATTTTGTTAATTTATAGATTGATTTTAAAATCTTTGAAAAGTTTGGAGTTCAAATAAATTAAATAATACGGGGGAAAGGGCTGGATGGTGTAAAGGGTAACAAGTTCGCTCGAAAGCGGAAGATACTGGGTTCGATTCCCAGAATACCCCCTTTTCCTGAGGATGTGTACGGGAGTATACACCTAGACTGAAAACCATAGGCTACCCTGGTTACAGGAATGCCGACTCTTCCGTACAGTCTAAATAGCCTGCAGGTGATTGCGGGCCGTATCTCTGGCGGAAGAGATTAAGAAATACATGGGCGTCCGTGAAGATAAGTGGAAATGGGTTGGGAAGGTTTTGGGACCGACAGACTGGTTCTCCCTGTTCCTCGTAAGCTGGCATCAGGGCCCATCTTCCGGGCTACCGGAGACGCACAGAACAGAAACCACCCGTACTAAAAAGGTACAAATGAAAACCGGCAAGTCACATAGTCAGACAATAAAAGGATAGCGCAGATGCTGATGTTATATAATTCTATAACCCTTGAATAAAAACAAACAAACAAACATAAATTAAATAATACCCTGAGCCACCGGTTTTTGAGTTTCTCAAACGGGATATCAAGGAACAATACTCAAAGATTGTCATTGCAGGTGATTATAACTTACATCACAAGGAATGGGAATCAAGGGCAGGTCCGAATACGGAAGCAGATGAAGTTGTTGAGTGGCTACATGAAAATGATATGATGTTAATTACTCCAAGAAATCAAAAAACATACAACAATAGAACCAATATTGATTTGGTTTATGGCTCAGTGGACTTACTTCATAGAATTTCATTTAGTGGAGTGGATGAAAATACACTAAGTGATCACTCAATTGTGGAGTGGGACATCTCTATGTCTCAGAGTAAAAACGGGGATGAAGTTTTTACTTCGGTGAAGAGATTGAATATTAAGAATGCAGATTGGGAAAAGTTTGACAAGGAGCTTTCTTCTGCCATTAAAGATTTTAATGTGCATAACAAAACTCTAAAATCAACTGACCAAATTGATGACCAAGCTAAAGTTCTTGAGGAGGTTGTAAAAAGAGCAATGGCAAAGTCGATGAAGGAAGTTAAGGTGATGAAAAAGTCCAAACGCTATTGGAATCAAGAATTAAGGGAGAAGTTAGAAAAAGCGCTAGAAGCTAAAAGGGAAGCCCGTCAAAGGCAACCTTCTTTGGCTTTGAAACGACAAAAATTGAAGAGGCGAAAAAAGCTAGAAAAATTTTTTTGACCACAGTTTGCGTGAAGCAAGTACTGAGCAATGGAATAAATATTTGTCTAGTTTAGAAGGAAATGACATTTGGAAGATTTTGAAGTATATTAATCCAAAAAGCAATGATACCATTATACCACAAATTAGAAAAGAAGATGGAACTCTAACTACTACTGTTGACGAAAAAAGACATGAAATATGGAAGGCACTTCTACCTGAAATTGATCATGGTCTTGATAGAGAGTTTGAAATTGATGACGATTCTCGATGGCCAAAATTAGAGTTTGATGAAGTTGACTCTGCATTGGCTGATACCCCAAATGATAAAGCTCCAGGAGACGATGGAATTACTGGCAAAGTTTTAAAGATGGCATGGCTAAATAAAGACTTTAAGGAAAGGTTTTTCAAGCTTCTCCAAGCTTGTGTGAAGTTTGGATACCACCCAAAAGTCTGGAGACATGGCATTATTGTTGTTATACCTAAACCTAAGAAACCTGACTATTCAAAGCCAAGAGCATACCGACCAATTTCCTTACTTAAGATTCCATCTAAAGTACTGGAAAAATTATACAAAAAAAGAATGACCAAGCTTATAACACACTTACTTCCACCAGAGCAATATGGGGAAGACAAGGTTATTGTGCTACTGATGCTGTTTTGGAACTTGTCCAAAGAATTGAAACCAGTAAAGAAAAATTTCAGCTATGCTCATTGATATTCAAGGAGCTTTTGATAATGTTAACAGAAATATATTGGCAGACACAATGGAGGATATGAAACTACCCAAAGCACTTATAAACTGGACGTACCAATTTGTAAGTGAAAGAGAAGCTAGTATGCTCATGGACCGAAGAAAAGGATCAGTGCAAAAAATTAGTACTGGAATTCCACAAGGCTCACCTATTTCACCACTACTTTTTTGATATATTCCACACCAATGTATCATGCCATTAAAGAATGGGGTGGAACTCCTTTGGCTTTATTGATGATGTGACTATTACCGTTGAAGGTAAAATTGAAGAAAATACCAAAAGCTTAAGCAACATATTAGAAAAATGTTGTAATTGGGCTAAATCAAGAATGACCAAAATTGATTTGGGTGATAAATTGGGTTTTATTCATTTTACAAAAAATGTGAAACCTAAAGATGAGAAAGTGCAACTTACTTTACCTAATGGAGAACTTCGTGAACCCCAGAAGGAAGTTAAATTGCTTGGAATTACTTTGAACAATCTGCTTGATTTTAAATCTCATATTTTGAATAAAATCAATAAAGCAAGAAAAGCTGTTGGTGCTATTTGGCATCTTGGTGGCGTGCAAAAGGTATGCGAGGGTCTGCAGTCAGATCACTGTATATTGCTTGCGTGAGACCAATTGTCGAATATGGCTTAGAAATTTGGCATCACAAAATTTTGAAAGGAGAAATCCACAAGTTGGAAGTAATGCAGAATATGGCTTTAAGAAGAATTGTTGGTGCTTATCGCACAACTCCTATTGCGGTACTACAAAAGGAAGCTGGTATTATGCCATATAGTATTAGGCTAAAATTTATGGTGGCACGAAAAGCTATTCGTTTACACCTAAATATTAGCAAAACTAATCCTATTAATGGTCATTTGTTAACATTGATTGAGAAATCTCCAATTGCAAAGCTAACCACGCTTTACATGTTGGCGAAAAGATGATAGAGACTATATGAATAAAAAGGATGAAAAACGAAAATGCAAGAGGGTTGAACCTCTTACACTGAAACAACAACAAAATCAGACGATTGGAATTTTGAAGAAACAAGCAATGGAAGAATGGCAAGAAATGTATTGGAACAGCAGTAAGGATCTGTGGTATCATAATATCACAGTGGAGTCGAAATGTACTGATAATCTTTCCAAAATGGTTACAGGGAGTGATCATGAAGAAAGATAGTCGAAGGATCTTGAGTAATATTACTCAATTTCGCACAGGCCATGGCAACTTTGGCGCATGGTTTAAAAAGTTTGGAATTGAAAAGGATAGTTACAACTGCAAATGTGGAGAGCTGGAAACAGTTCATCACATTTTAGTTGAATGTCCTTTGCTTGAAGAGGAAAGAAAAGGACTGAAACGGATATCTCCAGAGATGGACATGTCGACTCTCTTAAACAGTTTAACTGGCTTACAAGAGATTGTAAGCTTTATCTCTGCTTGGAGGGATTAAGAAATACAATTACAGCGTTGATGAAGACAAGTGGAGATAGGTTGGGAAGGTTTGGTTATTTTAACCCCCTGTTCCTCGTAAGCTGGCATCAGGACTTATTTTCGGGCTGTTGGAGATGCAATGTTGAAGCCAAAATTAAAAGTTTATTATTAAAATGAAAAAATATATAGTATGGACAAGAAGGATAGCGCAGATGCTGATGTTATATAATTCTATAACCCTTGAATAAAAACAAACAAACAAACAAACAATAAATTAAATAGGACTTATTTTCGGGCTGTTGGAGATGAAATGGTGAAGCCAAAATTAAAAGTTTATTATTAAAATGAAAAGATATATAGTATGGACAAGAAGGATAGCGCAGATGCTGATGTTATATAATTCTATAACCCTTGAATAAAAACAAACAAACAAACAAACAAACAAACAAACAAACAAACAAACAAACAAACAAACAATAAATTAAATTAAATTAAATTAAATGAATTTACAAATTTAAAAAATTATGGGCAAATTAAACACTCAAAAACATTATTTTTTTTGAAAAAAAATACATTCTGAAGTTCAACTTGTAATCATTTCTTGATGAAAAATTATCGCGAGAGTTCTTTTGTTGACACCAGTTTAAATAATTAATTTAAATGAATATTAATTATTATTATTATCATTATAATGATAATTAAACTGATAATTATCAGTTTAATTTATAATATGTTTTGCAATTTTATTCATTCAAAATGTTTATGCAATGGAAACAAGATTAAGTGTTATTAAAAAAGATTAAGCTGAGCTGTGATATGTTTTTTTACAGGCTTTACCAGCAGGTTTTTATTTTACACGAGTGCCGGATACCCCTCGTTGTCTAAGGCAATAACTAGCCTAGTTTAGTCCGCAAAAGACTCCCTATTATCAAGTTAATACGAGATGACTATACACATTTCAATCATTATTATTTTCTTTTTAAAGAGGCCTATTAAATATTCATAACACTTGGGCATTAATGGAAAAGCATTTATTTGCCAGTCCAAGAAGCCTTTCTCTTCTCAGCAAAGGCAGCCATACCCTCCTTCTGGTCTTCGGTGCCAAACAGGGTGTGGAAGATTCTTCTCTCGTACTTGATTCCTTGTTCGAGAGGAAGGTTGAAGGACTCGTTGACAACCTCCTTGGCGGCCTTGACGGCGAGAGGAGAGTAAGAGGCAATCTCGGAGGCAGTCTTGACGGCCTCGTTGACAAGATCCTCAGGCTTAAAGACGCGAGCAACCATGCCCCACTCGTTGGCGGTGGCGGCGGGGATGTTGCGGCCAGTGAGGATGGTCTCCATGGCACGGCTCTTGCCAATGAGCTTGGTCAGGCGCTGGGACCCGCCAGCACCGGGGATGACACCAAGCTTGATTTCAGGCTGGCCAAAGACGGCCTTTTCACCAGCATAGATGAGATCGCACCTGTAAAAAAATAGAGTTAATATATCATAACATAGCAGGTGGTGAAATGGTGGAGTGAGTTTTAAAGGAAGGAGGGGCCGTAGGCGGAGAAAAAAATGTGTGTATAGCCAATCACAAGAGCGAATTGAGGTAGTATTGTGTGGGGAAGATTTTTGAAAGACCACAAAAAAAAAAAAGGTCCGGGGCACCTTTTGGGGAGCTCCGGCCAACATCCGAAAACCCATATGGAGAGAAAATAAACTGAAAAAAAAAAAAAAAAAAAGAAAGAAGATACTTACATCATGGCGAGCTCGCAGCCACCACCGAGAGCGTAACCATTGACTGCAGCAATGATGGGCTTGGTGATGTGAATGATATCGCTCCAGGACTTGATGTAGTCTTTGCCGTAAGCAGTGGCGACGGTAAGGTCCTTCATTTCCTTGATATCGGCGCCGGCAGCAAAGGCCTTTTCAGAGCCAGTGATAACGATAGCGCCGATTTCTGGGTCAGCATCGGCCTGGGCCAAGGCAGTGTTGAGCTCAGTGATGAGAGGGGTGAAGAGAGCGTTGAGAGCCTTAGGTCTGTTGAGCTGGATGAGACGGACGCCAACAGCGGGCTTGGAAACAATGAGATACTCAAAAGAGCCACCGGAAGAGTACATGCGGACGAGCTTAGAAGAGTTTGAGGAGACGAGAGATCTGAGAGGAGAAGAAGAGGAGCTGCGGAGCAGAGTGCGGGCAGTTGAAAAGACGGTACGGGCAGACATTATGAAAAAGAAGAAGTAAATGTAAATGTGTGTGGGGGGTGGTGGTGGTGGTGGATATGAGAGTGGTTTTTTTTTATAAGGAAAGTATGTGAGTTAGGGTGTGGGGTATATTTTGACTGTGCTAACTTTGCTGGAGCGCTTATATGAAAAACACAATAGGACCAAAATCTTGAGGGAAAGTTTTTGAAGAGTTGAAATGTGAATAATAATAATAAGAAGAATAAGAAGAGGAAGGGAAAGATCCACGCTGGTATTTATACTTTTAGGGCTGAGAAGATGCCGGGTTTGGGGTTCAACAAACAAAACAAGTACGGATTTCCTTATGGACTTTAAAAGGTCTGGCCGAGATCTTGCCGGCAGGTGCAAAACCGGCTGAGGACCCTATTGAATACGGATTTTGTATTTATATATAAATATAAATAATATAAAACGATGAGTATTTACAGGGATTTTCATATTTTTCAAAAAACATATATACTGCACGTTAATATATCAAGAGTAAATTTTTTTTTACTTTTTTTTTTATTCACAAACAAAAAAAACAACTTTTATCCTTTTTCTTTCAGGCTTCTTGTGTAGTTGTAATGTATATTTACACAATTTTTTTTTCTTTTTTTTTTTCTTTTTCTTTCTTTCTTTAAGCACTAGCGCTCATAGACTGAGCATAGGCCATGGCCATGTTCTTAGCCTGGAATTCCTCAAGCTTCTTTTGCAGGAAGGGACGCTCCTTAGCCATGCGGATCTGGGTCTTAGTGGCAAAGTACAAAGTGTACTGTTGGATGAGCTCTGGCAGAGTGCGGATAGAAGCAAAAGACTTAGGGAAGTACTTGAAAGCTTCCTCAGAACGCTGCATCTGCAAGTAGATCTGGATCAAGGTAGTGTAAGCAAGATCCGACAAAGGATCAAGAGCAATAGCCTTGCGCAGAATATCAATGGCCTCATCGGCACGGGCCTCGTTAAAGAAGGCAAGAGCCTTGTTGACCAAGGGAGTCACATTGACACTGCCATTCTTGTTCTGCTCCATAACAACAGAAACAGCCTTGTCAAAGAGTTCGTTAGCCTCAGAAACCTTCTTGCTGTCAAGATAAATTTCACCCTCATAGTTGAAAACTTCGAACGAGTGAGGGAACAGCTCCTGGAGTTCCTTGAATCCCTCATGGGCCTTTTCAATGGCACCAAGGTGGTAGTTTGTAACAAGCTTCTGGATACGAGCAAGCAAAAACTCAGGGTCAATGGTGATGGCCTCTTCATAGGCAATAAGAGCCTCCTTGTACTGGCCCATCAAGAAGTAAAGCTGGGCATTGTGGAACTTGACATAAGGCGAACGGGGGTCACAGACCTCAGCCTGGGACAGCTGAACCTTAATATCACTAAGCTCAGAAGACTCGAGAGCAACAGAAGAGCGAATCAAGTAAGCAAGAACATTACCCTTAAGAGCAATGGATTTGGTGGCATCTTCCTTAGCAGCCTCAAGATCAGAACGAAGGTGATTAAGGACGGAACGGTGAGCAAAGGCAATGTAGCTATTGTCACCGTCAGATTCCTTTTCAAGAGCCTTGTTGAGAAGTTCGTAAGCTTGTTCGTAAGACTCAAGAGAGCCCTTGCGGACAGCTTCAAGAGCAAGTCTAACATCATAGTCAGCGGATTCAGGCTCAGCGTTCTCAAGAGCTTCAGGAATGATAAGAACATTGGTAAGGGTACGGTAAAAGGCGGTGCAGAAAGAAGGCGAGGGGAAGTGCTTGGGGTGCTCCTCAAGGTAGGATTTGGCAGACTGCTCAGCGGTTTCGGTAAGCATACGGTTAACACTTGAGTTTGTTGTTTGATCAGAAAAGTTGGAAAGGACGAGAGCAGAAGAGTAGTCGAGGATAGCATCTTCGTTTTTCTTAAGGTTCTCATAGGCGTGGGCACGTCTCATGTAGGACTTGGTATAGGAAGGATTAAGTTCAAGAGCCTTGGTAGACTCATCAATGACACTCTCGTAGTCTTCCATAGCCCAGTAGCAGGCAGCACGGTTGGCATGGAAGATAGCATCGTTGTAAGTGGCAATAGCCTTGTTGTAGAACTGGAGAGCCTTGTTGTAGTCCTTTTCCGAGTAGAAGTGGTTGCCGACAACCTTAAGTTGCTGGGAGATGGCCTTGCGATCTTCCTCAGGGATATCGCTGATGCGGTAGTCCTCAGGAATGTCAGGGAACTTGGGGCTATTGTCGATGGAGATGAGGTCAAATCCGGCAAAAGTGTTACTGGTAAGGTCTTGCGATTGGATTTCGACAGATTTCTTTGTTTTCTTGGACTTTTTGGACTTCTTACTGCTGGGCTTAGGCTTAGATCCTGGGGCAGAGCTGTTGTAAATATAGTAAGCACCGGCGGCAGAGCCAACGACTGCGGCAGAGCCGAGAAGAATGGCGGCTCTGTGGGCAGCAACGAAGGAGGTGAGATTACTCCATGTGGAAGAAGTAGCAGCAATGGTAGATGAGCTCATGATGGATGGATGAATGGAAGAATAGATGAATGGATGAATGGAAGAAGAGGATTGTTTAGGGAAATGGGTAGTTTCCTAAAAAGGATCCTTTAATTATTGCTGGGTTATATAGAATGATATATATATATACAGGGTATATATATTGATGTATATATATATATATATTTATAAAGGGTTCTTTTTTGGGATTAGAAGGGTAAGTAAAAAAAAAAAAAAAAGAGGATTTTTTTAACTGGCGGTGAGAAAAAAAAAAAGATTTTCTTGCCCGTTTAATGTTTTGGCGGGTCACCATTTCAGACATGCGGATTTTCTTCAGTGGAGATTTTTCAGAGAGCCACATTGGAAAGGCTGGAATGGTGGTGAGTATTATGTAATAAATATAGGTTTAGGGTTGGAAATTTCATCTGCGCTTAAAAATTTTTCAACAAGTCGCTGTGATTGGACGGGTCACGTGTTAATGGAGAGACTTAAATCAGTCTGACGGATATGGCACAAGTAGGAAATATGGAAAAGATAGAAAATATGGAAAATACTTATCAAAGATTAAAAGTGATTATAAATGATCTTGGTATTAAATAGTGAAAACGATAATTATCATTCTAATTATAATAAAAAAAAATAGGAGTCAAAAATAGAGCATGCCAATTCTATGATCAAGCTTAATTTTAGTGAATAAAGAACTGTATTAATATTAGACATATTGACCTCCATTCTTTTTCCCCCACAATCTTCTTCTGCATTTCGTATTATTGACAGAAACATTTAACTGTAACAGTTGAATCATTATCAATCCTATTTTTGCTTAATTTTTCCAGTTCCAGTTCTCAAAAATATATGCAGGTTAGTCTTTTATAAAAAAAAAATCCAAGGAGATATTACACCTACTTAAAAACAAAAACATGTCAGCATTGTAAACGACATTAAGCACTCCATTTCTTACGGTACTAACTGTGGTCAATAATTTAAATGACTAACTAGATCTCCAGTATTGTTAGAAAAAAAAACTTGGAATTCTAAAAACAATACGTATTTGCACTTTTTATTGAAATATTGAAACAACAAACTTGCAAAATACTCTCATCTCTTTAAGTACACCTCATACTATAACTTGTATTTGCAATTAACAACTAGTTAAAATATATACTTTAGATAATTCTAGTTATTGAATCACTAGTGGTATATTTACTTTTCTTTGATATTTTGAATTCTCACCTACTCTGATTTTTTTAAATTTGGTGTTTTTGATAAATGAATTGATATCGAGTCATTATTACCAACGTTTAGTCAACTCCTTTTCTTTTTAAATAATAAAAAATAATTGAAGCATCCATTGGATGTAAACTACACATAAGAGAACTTAATTCTTATATATATTAAAATATAAATTAACATGTGTTTCAGTTTGATTTATAATGGTTCCAAAACACTGAATGTCGATTCGATGATCGAGAAATCATACGGACTTGTCGCCATACATATTACATCCTAGTTCAGTGACTTACACCATTTATCTATTCAATTATATCTTCCTCAATCTCAATAACTATTTTGATTTTTTCAATTTCATTTACTTTGACCTTAAACAACCTAAAGTTTGATTTGGAGCCTGAAAGTTCTAACATGTTGCCTTAATTATCAAGCCTTCCAAAGTCTTGTAGCTTAACTTAATAATAATAGTTTAAATCTTTCCCAGTTCATCTTTATTAAATTCAAATACCTTAAAAATCCATAAATGTTAAGGGTATTTGTTGCGATGCATTACATAAATGCTGGAAACGTCTGTGGCATGATTCTTTTTGGTATCATTACCTTTCTACAAGCTTAATATTTTTGATTCAGCTAATTTAATTTATGAATAACACAATTATGTTATTTCTGAGTGCTTTCATAGATATATTCAGGGCGAATTTTAGTTTTAACGTGACGCCATACCCCACAAACTAGCAGGAACTTTCAGTTTATAGTATAGGCCAACTCAGCAGTGATGTCTTGAAAATAGCACCTGACGTCATTTTCTAATCTTCTGATATCCTTTTTATTGTTTCAGAAACTTGATAAATTTCTACTAATAATCCTGATATTCTTCTCAATTAGAAGTTGTAATGTGGTCAATGTGGTCAATGTGATGTGGAATTTTAATAATTTAAAACCTCCTACTCTTAAATAATTTAGTTATAACTTGATGGAATCTGAAAAAAAAAAAAAAAAAAGTGTTATAATAATTATTATAAAGGAATTTCAAGTCTTTAAATTTAGAAATTGTTATTTCAACCGTTTAATATTTGAAATTTCTATATTTTTATACCAAAATATGTTATTTTTTTTTTTACAAAAAAAGGAGTAATTATTAAACCTTCTAGAGTCGTATCATCAACTTTGACTAACTTTGCAAAGCCAAAGGTTGCCAAAAGACTTGGATTGAAAGAATTAAGTAAAAAAAAGACCTAGGCAAGAAAATTGTAGCTTCTATGTTGTGAATTACAACTACAGTACGAAATATTCCAAATAAATCTCGGTAAGTCTTCAATTGGACTTGCTGATGACATGATGCATATGTAAGTTATCAATTGAATTCTCAATAAAATTAAATAATAAGATTTTTCAATTTGGAAATTTTCAATTTCATTAGTCTAATCATATGAATTGTTTTTCAGGTTTTTTTTTCTATAATATTAGTGGTTACTAAAAAAATTTCCATCTTCTGAAAGGTTTTATAACTGTAATTTGGAACGTTGAATATTGTCTATATGCAGAACCCTGATGCAGGTTGCAGATGTAAAAAAAAAAAAAAATGGGATACTAAGCGGTATTTTGGGCTCAAAGTAGGGTAAACATTTTATCTCTAACGTATATCCGGTTGCTCTTGATAGGGTCTACTGAAGCCGACTTTCATCATCAAAATAGATTTTATGGTAGTTTATGTTTATTTTTATATTAAAAAATAAAATAAAACATCGTTAATATCTCCTAATTTAATCGCTATTGTTGATATATATAACTAGTTTTTTTTTTATTCTACTTTCTTTTATTAGGAATTGGGTTTATTTAACCAAATGGCCCACCTAGTTATTAAAAGGTTACCCAATTAATTACTACCACCACTCAACTCATCACAACGCCGTTACTCACCATCACCAACCCTTATCACCCCATCCTTTTATATTTTTTAAAAGCCCATCTTTAAGGACTTTATCGTTATCCGATTTTTTTTTTATTTTTTTTTATTTTGACAATCCACAATATTAATTCATAAATATATTATTTCTACTATGCCGCCACCTTCAAGCGACAGAAACCCTCTGGAAACTGCATTTGATCACATTATTCAACAACTGGAATGGGATTACGATACACTACGCTTCCCCGACCAACAGTATCAGCAGCAACAACGCACTCAAAACAATATTCAACAAATATTGACAAACCCATCAACCGTTCCGACCCCATTAACTTCAGATAGTCCGTCACCAGAAGTTTCTCCGTACCTGTCTAGCAATCAAAGCATCACCACTGTTCCGCTTACTACCACAAGAAGATTAGACTTTAATATGCCTCTAAACCCTGATTTACCAACAGAAACAATTTCCTCTACTCCATCCTCTACCATTGCTCGTCCACAGCAAATCCATGTTATTCGACCTCCTCCAAGTAATTTTGATCACCAAGCAAGAATAGGAATTTTTCCGCCACAAGAATATCCTCTTTCAACCTATGCGCAAACCCCATCCAGCCTCATTGTTAGTGCCTTTGATGCAAGCAGACGCCAACAAGATAATGCGATTGAGCGACAAGCCACATTGCTTTCTCAGCTTAGCCTGGAAAGCCAACAACCACAGCCTCTTCAGCGAACATATCCTTCTTCATATCCTCCTGCCCCTAGAAATTCAGAACCCTTTGAATACCAAGGCTCATCTGACATATTGGAGCCTGCAAGCATGAGCAATATTAATTTTACAGCAACCACCACTGGATCATTGGTATCACTCAACCAAGAGCAACAAAGAGTTTCAGATATCTCCAACGTTAGTCAGACTACTACCACACCACGAACCGAGATCCGACAAAATTTAGGTAGCAGTTCTTTAACATCACAACTTAATGTAAGAACAACAACAACAACAACAACAAGCACCAGTGTTCAAACCGCTATGACAAATGAGTTTGGCGAAGAGTATCTAGGAGAGCCTGACATAGGTACTTCTGCACTTTTAGGCGAACCATATTCTTATACATCAAACCCTTTTTCGAACCAAGATGATTTGCAGGGGAGTTTTGATGAGCGGCGGCAGCAGTATGACAATAGTGCGACAAGTGATGTTGTTTCTGGTGTTTCTGGTATTTCTGAGCTGCTCACAGAAGGATCACATCTCAGAAATCCAGAAATAGCAAATGCTGCAATTCTAGAGCCTCAGCTGGGTCGTGGTAAAAACGACGACAATGTTATTGATGCTGATGATGAATGGATGGACCGTTTTGCTAGTCTTTTATCTGAATTTAGTCCGATGGTTGTGCGCAAAACCAGACTTAGAACTAGTAGTTTTGGTGATTGTGGTCATTTACAGTCACCGTTGAAAAAAAATTCAATACAACTTGGGGAGAAAGCCCGCGCGGCAGTTGATTTAGGAGAAGGTAGTGAGTGGGACATTAAAAACGGCCAGCGGTATTCTCGACTACGGAAAATTACCAGCCTCGGAATAATTCAGTGGAGTTTCCAAGAAAACGACGAAAGCGGGGATGATGATGATGATGATGATGATGATGATGAAGGTCAAGGTGATGATGAAGAAGAGGGAACCGAAGAGGAGGAGGGAAGTTTTGGGAACCGAGGTGGTAGAAGCAGCGAGGGCAGCGATAGCGATGAGTTTAGTGGTAGCGAAAATGACAATAATGCTTATGATTATTACAATGGCGAGGGTAGCAGCAATAATATTTACCTTGAGTACGATTACGAAGATGACTATGACGATGATGATAATTTGGAAGGGAATTTAAGATATTTGTCTGAGATTAGGTCTGATCAACCACCACAAGAGCAGCAGCAGCAGCAGCAGCAAAGACAGAGGCAGAGACAGCGACAAAGACAGCGACAGCGACAAAGACAGCGACGAGAACCATCAACATTTTGGCAACGGCTACATTTGCAACGGACTCGGAACGAAATATTACGGCGGCGGCGGCCGTCGCGACGGCACCGGTGTCAGCGGAATGAAGGGATTTTATGTGCTAATGAAGAAACACTTTTACGTTTGCAGAGGTACCGAGTTGGCAAAGAAGGGCCAGGGTGGGGTGTGTATGGAAGTGAGGAGCCCGAAGAGGAAGTTCCGCGAGACAGTTTTTGGTTACGGCCTGGGAACGAGTTTTTGCAGGAAGCCGAGGGATGCGCCAAAGTCCTCGGCCTAGTAGGTTATGATGGTAGGTGTAACTGTTGCAGATGCTGTAGTAGTAGTGAAGCAGCAGGCAGCAGCAATGGTGGCAGTAAAGTCAACGGGGCGACCACATCAACCTCAACAACCTCAACAACAACCTCAACAACAACCTCAACAACAACTACAACTACAACTACAACTACAACAGCTAGTGTGGCTGCGTATTTAAAAATTGTGGGGTACGCAGGGACCAACAAGTTATACGGCTTGATTGATAATGAACTTTGGTAAGTATTTTTTTTTTGAGGTTTTTTTTTTAAAAAAAAAAAAATAAAGAAAGAAAAAAAGAAAAAAAAAAGATATTATTCTAACGGGTTTTAATTAATTAATTTATTAATTTGTTAATTAATTTAGGATTGGAGAGTACGTTAAGGCTACAAATGCAAAACGACTTGGACTTGGGGGTCGAGTTTGGGTTCTTTGGAAGCCAGTTGAAAACAAGAGCGAACGGTATAACCATGACATTGAGGACAATGATGATGGCCGTGATGAGTATGACTATTATTCTTATTACTACAATAACATCAACCATGACCAACTCTTTGATTTGGATAAGGGGACAGTTATTGTTCGAGATGACGAGAGCTGGGATCAGCAGCGGCTTCACATTGCTCGAATTCTGATGCAAGATCACTGGAAAGCTCACAATTTGGTTTTGCATTTCCAATGGCGGCGGCGGCAACAGAGTTTGTCTGGACTTGAGCAGCAGCGGCAGCGGCAGCGGCAGCGGCAGCAACAACAACAGCAGCAACAGCAGCAACAGCAACAGCAACAGCAACAGCAACAGCAACAGCAACAGCAACAGCAACAGCAACAGCAACAGCAACAGCAACAGCAACAGCAACAGCAACAGCAACAGCAACAGCAGTCAAGCAACGAAGGCTACACTATGTCACGGTCTACACCGACACATTTGCGTCTGTCATTAGTTCAACTTCAGCAACAACAGCAAAATCATCATACGCTGATCTGGTTAATTTTTAGGCGGCTAGCATATATTGGGGGGCAATTGGATGAGGGTTTGCCCAATAGCAGAGAAGAATCTTCAGATGAAATCAATGTTTTAAATTTGTTTTCACGCCAGCAAAGTTTTGAGCCTCAGCAGTTACTTGAACAACACATGGAGTTATTTTTTATTCCACATGTAATTCACCGAGTGAGTGAGTTATTGCAAGAATTGAGATTAGAATTTGGTCCTTTGTTTTTTAGATTTCGGGACGCCATACATCAGCAACAGGAGATTCCACCAGAGATTGTTGCAACATTGAGTAGAATGCGTCGCAAAGTAGACTTATTGGCACAAGTTTTGTTTATGATTGATCATGAGGTGTGCTACGGGGCAAGTGAAGCCAGGGATGCATCTCCGATTAGTGAGGACGCAATGCAATTGCTACGCCGAGAGACATTAGGTGCTGTGCGGGAGTTGTCAGAGACCCAATCTGGGGAGCCAGATGATGATGATAATGATAATGATGATTATGAGGGTGTGAGAAGGAATGGGCGAGTTTTTTTGATGAGAAGAGCGTTTGACATGTTGCGAGACTTTCTTTTGAATCAAGATGAAGCGGAACAAAACAGGGCTCAGCGTGATGAGGATGAAAGTGGGGAAGATGATGATGTTTGGAGGAGGTCTTTATCAGGTGCACATTCTGGGCTAATTCCATTGGTTATGTATGAGATTGATGAGCAGATTCGATACCCAGCTCTTGACAGTTTGGCAAATGCTGCTACTACTACCACTACTAGTACCAATACTACTTCTACGACAAGTATAGCACCGGTATCATCAGCTTCTTCTACTGTTCCAGCAGAAACAACAATCAACTTTTCTTCTTTTTATTCCTTTTCTTCGCCTGTACCGGTTCCTTTTTATTTTTATCCAACACATTCTTCCTCGTCAGTGCCTAATTTTTCTCCCAGCACATCTTCTGGTCGAGTAAATATAGGTTCAGTTTTGACTGAATCAGGACGTTTTCCCACTAGTGTTGGGATTACCAATGGTGGCAGCATTACTGGCGGTAGCAGCAGCAGTAGTAGTAGTAACAGTAGCATTAACAGTTACAGCTACAGTAACAGTAACAGTAACAGCAGAATAGCTTCAGGAATACAGCAGCAGCAGCAGCAGCCAGTTTCTTTGGCAGATTTTTTACAACATTATCAGCAGCGGTATTTTCCTCCATCACAGAGATCTGTTTCTTCATCGTCGTCGTCGACCATTTCCCAGTCTTTATTTCCTGGGCAGGTGAGGAATCGGCAACAGTTGACACCAATTGGGGAGAATGATCCAGCATTGCCATTATTAACATCTCCGTGGACTGTAGAAGGATCTCGGCCGATATCTCCTGGGACTCCATTACAATTGCGTATGGATAGTCTTACAAGAGGGTCTGATTTAACAGATTGGCCATATCCATCTCCACCATCTCCACCACAGCCTCAACTTAGAATGCCACCTCGAGCCGCACGCCAGCCAACAAGTGACACTCAGTTTGCACATGGAGCCAGTAGGAGGGTTCTAACAGGCACATCAGAACGGGATGGGCAGACTGTAGTGTTTGAGAGTTTATTTAGTGGTTCTGAGACGCCTAAGTATGGAGTTGATGGTCAAGTTGTTTGGGCTCCGTGGGTTTCACAGGCTCTCAGAAGAGGTCGTCGTCAAGGACGTCGATTTGGGGTGTATGAATCTAGTGAGAGTGATGACTATGATGAGGAAAATGAATACAGTGAAGAGGATGATGATGATGAAGATGATGATGATGAATATGATGATTATGATGATTATGGTGATGATTATGATGATTATGGTGATGATAATGATGATGATGATTATGATGATTATGAGGGTGACTATTGGAAGATTTCTGGGCCCCGGATCACTGTTGGGGTAGTTCGTGGTGTTGTTAAGAACCCGGGGCTGGTTCCGAGTTATGAAGTACGCTAAGTCACTCGTTAAGTACACAGTTAAGTCACTGCTGAGTCATTTTGGCACATGTGTCAGGGTTAAGGGTTTGAGATTACCTAATTATAACCCTTTGAGGACTGTAAAGGTGCGGCGGTAGCGGTAGCGGCTTAAAGGCTAGATGTTCCTCGGCTTAAAGGCAGTACAGGCAAAACGGCAGGATAGTTACTAGACTAAGTATATAGACATATATATAGAACAAGAGTAATTAAAGAAGAAACCTCACTCTTGTTATAAAGTCAATTGGCGGTAGTCCGAGGCCTGGACCGTCAATGTTTTTTTTTGTTAAGAACGGTCGGCGGCAGCAGTGAGTCCGAGCGCCGAGCAAGTTTGTTGTTGTTGTTGTTGGTAGTTTAAAAAGGCCCGAGTATTTCAAATTGATAGTTAAAATGGGATTTTTTTTTTTTTTTATTTCTTTGCCTCCTCCCTTTTAAATTTTTTTAAAAAAAAAAAAAAAAAAAAAAAAAGGCCACCAACCAAATATTTTTTTTTTTGTTTGTTTGTTCTCCCCCCCCTCCTTCTAGCCACTGTGGGGTATTATTATTATTATTATTATTATTTTTCAAGGTGATTGAGTTTTCAACAAGAACAGCAAAATATATAAAAAAAAAAAAAAAATTCCTCCGGGCAACCGCCAGTGGATGGGAAAATTGGATATTTAACAAGCTCATGCGATTGGCTCAAAAATGTTTAAAAAGTATAAATACCGGTAGTTCCCCGCCATTTCTCCGCCTTTTTTTTTTTTTTTTTTTTTCTCTTACAATTTTTTTTTTTTTTTTTTTTTTTGTAGATAAAATAATACTTTCTCTCTTCACCATTATATATATTTTAATTTAATTTAATAATTTAATAATTATAATTAAAATACCCTAAAAACCCCTTCCCTATCTCTCCAATTTATCCTTTTATATATATATATATATACACGGACTATTCTATTAATTTATATATATATATATATATATAGTGATATATCCCTCCCCTCCCCCCTTCTCTTAAAACTACCTTTTTTTTTCTCTCCCTATTCTTCTTACCCTCCCCCCAAAAAATGCTTAGATCTGCTCAATCCTCCAGACTGGCTGTATCTTCCTTCCTCAGAAAAACCCTCCCAATGACTCTTAGACAAAACCACACCGCCTCTGCCCTCCCCAAGGGTTATGTTGAGGATATCTCAAAGGGCCCTATGCTCCGCTACCAGGAATCCCTTCCTAAACTCCCAGTCCCCACCCTCGAAGAGACTGCTGCTAAATACCTTCGCTCTGTCGTCCCCCTTACCACCCCAGACGAGTACGCTCGCACTGAGGCCGCCGTCAAGGACTTTATTAAGCCAGGCGGTGCCGGTCAGGCCCTCCAGAAGAAGCTTGAGGCCAAGGCTGCTGACCCTAATGTCAAGAATTGGCTTTACGAATGGTGGAATGATGCCGCTTACCTCACCTACAGAGACCCCGTCGTCCCCTACGTCTCTTACTTTTACTCCCACAAGGACGATAAGCTGCGCAAGAACCCAGCCACCCGTGCTGCCGCCATCACTACTGCAGCTCTTTCCTTCAAGGCCCAGGTCGACTCCAAGACCCTCGAACCTGAGTACATGAAGAAGCTCCCCCTCTGCATGGATTCATACAAGTTCATGTTTAACAACTGCCGTATCCCCGTCCCTGGCCGTGATGATAACCTTACCTACAACCCAGCCCTTTACAAGCACATTCTCGTCATTCGCAAGAATAGATTCTTCAAGGTTCTCCATGAGGTCAATGGCAAGCAACTCTCCACTGCAGAGCTTGAGGAACAGTTCAACCAGATCTTTAAGGCTACTGAGGGCCAGCCCAAGGGTACCCCCATTGGTGCCCTTACCTCTGAAAACCGTGATAAGTGGGCCACCTTCAGAGACTACCTTATCAGCGCTGACCCCGTCCGCAACAAGGCCTCCCTCGAGGCTATCGAGTCTGCTTCCTTTGTTGTTGCTCTCGATGACGCTGCCCCCCTTACCCGTGAGGAGCGTGCTCACCAGTACTGGCACGGTGACGGCCAAAACAGATGGTTCGACAAGCCCCTCCAGTTCATTGTTTGCGACAATGGTGTCTCTGGCTTCATTGGTGAGCACTCCATGATGGATGGTACCCCCACCCACCGTCTCAATGACTACGTTAATGACGTTATCTTCAACAACAAGGTTGACCACGGTGCCCCTGCTTCCCAGAACCGTACTGACCTCCCTGCCCCTGAGGAAGTCATCTTTACTATCAACACTGAAGTCAAGGACTCGGTTGCCACCGCTGTTGCTGACTTTGAGAACGTCATTGGCCAGCACGAGCTTGCCGTTTTTGCCTACAAGGGCTACGGTAAGGGCCTCATCAAGAAGTTCAAGTCTTCCCCCGATGCCTTTGTCCAGATGCTCATCCAGCTCGGTTACTACAAGGCCTTTGGTGTCTGCAGACCTACCTACGAGTCTGCCGCCACCCGCCGCTTCCAGCTCGGCCGTACCGAGACCTGCCGCTCTGTCTCTGTTGAATCTCTCAACTTTGTCAAGACCTTTGAGGACGCCAATGCCACCGCTGCTGAAAAGATTGCTGCTGCCCGTGCTGCCTTTAATGCCCACGTTAAGTACATTAGCGATGCTTCTGCTGGAAAGGGTGTCGACCGTCACCTCTTTGGTCTCCAGTCTCTTTTGGAGCCTGGTGCTGAGGTTCCTGCCATCTTCAAGGACCCTACCTTCTCTTACTCCAAGTCTTGGTACCTCTCTACCTCCCAGCTTTCTTCCGAGTTCTTCAATGGCTACGGATGGTCTCAGGTCATTGATGCCGGCTTTGGTCTTGCTTACATGATTAACGAGAACTCTATCCAGGTCAATGTTGTTTCTAAGAAGCTTGGTGTCGAGCGTCTTAGATTCTGCCTTGAGGAGGCTGCCGATGAGCTCCGTGAGGTCTTCAGCACTGAGCTTGAGTCTAAGCCTAAGCTTTAAAAAAAATACCCCCAAAATTTTGTAACGATTTATAATGAAAAATTAAAATTAAGGATCTATATATTAAGCTGCTTCTGTTGCAACTGCTGCTACTGCTGCTGCTTATTCTTCTTGTTCAGTCTTTACCTGTTTAGAAGCAGGCTCTGCACCATTTTCTTCTTTGGTCTTGCGCTTGCGACCACGAGCCCCACCTGCTGCATCCACATCCGTTGGGAACACCCGAGTGCCGCATAGCAAGTACCCGCCTCCACCACGCGATGTCATGAGCGGATGCATTCTGCCTGGTAGAGTCTGATATCTTCGGACTCGGGTCTCGATAATTGTTGGGGCCAACACACGTAAATCTTTTTGTAAAATGTGGGCGGTAGGTACCAAGGTCTCTTTAAATGGAGAGTAAGCCACGAGTGGAGCAGCACCACGAAGACGATCAACGAGTTGAGGCATAAGCTCTGGTAGATCAAGATCTGTAGTAACTAAAACAGCATCAAGACCAGGAGCTTCATCAATCAATGTACGTGCAGTGGCAAAGTCAGCGTGTCGCTTTGCTCTGCGGAAATACTGGGCGCGCTGATGGGGTTTCATGGCGGCAAGTTCTTCAGCAGTACGTTCAACAAATCGGTAAGGATAGTTCTCTGTAGGAACACCATCTGCAGACTGAACTGGCTGAGAAATTTGTACAGGCTCTGTAATCTCACCATTTCCTAAGGCTTCTTCCATAATGCACAAATCGTGTTCCTCAGGATGTAGAAAGTCGAGCCAGTTGATGGTACGCACGCGCGACTCAATCCATGCCTCAGAAGCCTTAATATACTTAAGTGCATCCAAACTTGTATGCTCATTGGCGTGTGCTAATACAATGGTACCCTGGCCGGCCATACGTTCAAGCATAGCGTAAACTAGCAGTCCACTAGCATCGTCAACCACCAGGTACTTACCACCGGGTTTAACGTTAGCCATAGACATCATAAGGGCAAGTGATTCTTCTGACATATCACGTACACGGCCATAAGGATCCTTTTCCAAGTACACTTGTAAAAGCTGAGCTGCTCCCAAAGGTTCTGTTGCAAATCGTCGAAGAAACTTTTGCTCCTTACGCTTGATGTATTTTTCCTGTGAAAATGTAGTCTTCTTGTCAAATGACGTGTGTGCCGCAATCATTTTCTGAATCACCTCACGTCCAGAGTCCACACTCGTCCGCTTTAATGCTTCAATTTCTGCCATACTTAGCTTCATTGCATCAGGGTCATATACCAGATCCTTGTTATTTTCTTCTGGCATCATTTCGTCTGTCTTTGCTTGTTCTTCCGTATTGTCTAATGCAGGCACAATTCTCAGTTGTGGTCTAGGTCCTCTGACATCCACTTGTTCCTCTTCAGCCTCTTCAGCACGTTGTTTATTTGTTTTCCTTTCACCCTTCTTGGCCCGTCGGTTCTTCACCAGCCCCTTTTCCTCGGGACCTGTCCCGAAGATCTCATACGTCAGTCCAAACGGGTGCCCCAGAATATCATCCACCCAAAACGAACCAAACTTTCCCAGATTCACACTAATCCCTGGAATCATCTTTACTATCCGTAATGTATCTGACGGTAGCCGAATCAAAATGTAAGTGTTGGGGGTAATCACCGTTTGTTCAAATGGATTAAAATTCGGGTCCAGCTCTTCAGCAGGGATCTTGACTCGTAGTTTTGTGGTATCTTCAGTCAAAGTAGTAGCCTCTGAAACAGGCTTAACATCCAGAACCTCAGCCACAGGCTCAGGGTTCTTGGGCAATTCGTTGTTTGTCATAGTTTGTCAAGTGTTTGTTTGAAAAGATTCACTTGATTATTGGAAATCTTTTTTTGTTGGAGATTTGAAAAGAAGGAAACGAAAAAAAAAAAAAAAATTTTACTGTGAGGGTTAGGGTTTTATTTTTTTTTTTTTTATGGCTGATTTGAAATTTTTTTTTTTTCAGCCTCACAGCTTAAAATTTTGGTGATTAAAAAAAATTTTTTTTTCTTCTGTCATTAAAGAAAGAAAAAAAACTTTCAGCAAATCTCTTGAAAAAAAAAAACTCCCCTACATAACAGACGACTAAAAATGGGCAGAAGATCAAAGACTAAACAACCTCCTCCACCTTCGTTTGACGAGTTTGTCAAGGACAAGGAGAGCTCAACTTCTGGATCCAATATCCGCAGTAAAAAGCGACGTGCCGAGACCAAGAAGGAAGAAAAAAATAACACCAAGAAGCCTAAAAAGCGTGAAGCAACAGCCGATAGTGAAGATGAAAAGCCAGCAAAGAAGCTGAAAGCACAGAACGGAAAGACTTCCGAGACTTCAACTGACAAGAAAAAGGCTAAGAAGGAGATTAAGGCCATTGAAGCGACACGAAAGAGTCTGTTTGACAAGAGCGATGACGAAGACGAAGAAGAGCTGGAGGATGATGAGTTTGATGAGGATGCCCTCAATAACGCCTCTGATGTCGATGAGGAAGCTGCCATTGGAGACGAATTTTACGATTCTGACGAAGAACGCAACCGACCTAAACCCATGTTCTCTGACGATGAGGATGAGGGTGAGGGTGCAGCCGATCTTGAGGCTCTCAATGAAAAGGCCATCTCGCAGGCCTTTGCCGGATCCTCTGATGAGGAAAACAGCGAAGACGAAATCTTTGCTTCTTCCGATGAAGAGGGTGAAGAAGATGAAGAAGATAATGAGCGTACCGAAAACCCTCGTGCGCAAATTCTGCCAAAGTCTGTTGATGGTGAGGCCCAGGACTTCCCTCAAGACTTGAACATGATCCGTACCCGAATTCTGGAAATCGTCAAGGTCTTGGAGTCCTTTAAGGAACTTGCAGAGGAAGGCCGCTCGCGTGCAGAGTATGTCGAACAACTGCTTTCCGATATTTCCTCATACTATGGCTACACCCGGTTCCTTGCAGAAAAGCTCTTCAACCTCTTTTCACCTGCAGAGGCCATTGAGTTCTTTGAAGCAAACGAAGTCCCCAGACCCGTCACCATCCGTGCAAACACCCTACGCACTCGTCGCCGTGATCTGGCCCAGGCACTTGTCAACCGCGGTGTCAACCTGCAACCCATTGGCAAATGGAACAAGGTTGGTCTCCAAATCTTCGATACACAGGTCCCCATTGGTGCTACCCCAGAGTATCTCGCTGGTCACTACATCTTGCAAGCTGCTTCTTCCTTCTTACCCGTCATGGCCCTGGACCCCCAGGAAAATGAGCGTGTCCTGGATATGGCTGCGGCCCCTGGTGGAAAAACAACTTACATCTCTGCCCTCATGAAAAACACAGGTTGCGTGTTTGCCAACGATTCTAACAAGGAGCGTACTAAGGCTCTAGTTGCAAACATCCACCGTTTGGGCTGCACAAACACCATTGTCACAAACTATGATGCGCGCGAGTTCCCCAGAGTGATTGGCGGCTTTAACCGTATTCTTCTTGATGCTCCTTGCTCCGGTACCGGTGTCATTTCTAAGGACCCTCAAGTCAAGACCTCGCGTACAGAGCTCGACTTTATCCAACTCCCCTATCTCCAAAAACAACTGCTTCTTTCGGCCATTGACTCAGTCGATGCTAGCGGACCCGAGGGCAGCGCTGTGATTGTATACTCCACCTGTAGTGTCATGGTGGATGAGAATGAGAGCGTTGTTGACTATGCTCTTCGCAAACGTCCCAATGTCAAGCTTGTTGATACTGGTCTTGAGATTGGTAAGGAAGGTTTCACCTCTTTCCGCGGCAAGAAGTTCCATCCATCTGTTTCGCTGACGCGCAGATACTATCCTCACACTTACAACGTCGACGGGTTCTACGTCGCCAAGTTTGTCAAGACCGGAGCCAGTGTTCACGATAAGTCCAAGGCTGGTGCCAAGGAGAAGGAAGATGCTGCTCGTGCCGAAGCTGCTGAGGAGGGCCACATTATCCACAATGACTTTGCCGTGTTCAATGATGATGCGGATAAGCAATACATTGACAAGGCTCGTAGGGATAGACTTAAAAAGAAGGGCATGGATCCTAAGTTTGATCCTAAGAAGGCCAAGGAAGCCAGTAACAAGGAGGCTCCTAAGAAGGCTGAGAAGGAGGAAGCTCCTAAGAAGACCAAGAAGGAAGAGGCACCCAAGCCTGAAAAGGTGGAAAAGAAGGAAAAGAAGGAGCCCAAAGTGGAGAAGCAGGAAGCTCCCAAGGCCAAAGCCAAAACTACCAAAAAGTCCAAGAAATAAATAACCAAAAGGTATAAATAATATAATAATAATAAAATACATTAGAATCGTTTTTTGTTTGTTTTTTGTTTGTTTGTTTTTTTGACTTATATTGCCTATATAGATAATATCTTTTAAAAAAACTCATTGCCAAACCCGTGTTCAAAAACATAGTGTGGACCCATCTCAAGGTACTGTTCTCGCGTGAAAAACACCTTGGACCGGTCTGCAGTCGTTGCAAAAAGTGCCATCCCCCGCCACGCGTCAAGCATCGGGTCCCGGGCCCGTCGTACCTTGAGTGGTGCACCAGTGGGCAACACGCACTGGAGATCAGTCTGCAAGCGTTCGTCAAAATTTTTAAAATGTGCCTGCCCTCCAGTCAGGAAAATATCCTGAAGCACCAGTGTACTTGCCTCTCTTTCCCGGGTCTCTGAGTCCAATCGCCGCAGAAGTAAGTCATCCACAATCTCAGTGACGCTGGCTTGGTCTACGCCAGCAATCGAGGGCTGAAACAGCACCTCAGGAACCCGGATTCGCTCAACATTCAGTACCACACGGTGCTGTTGCTCTATCGAATCTGGATCAAACGCCCGTGGGCCATGCAGAAATAGATGCACCACACTCTTGCGCCAATCCAATTCTGCCTCCCGCGTATCTTCGGCTGTAAAGTTCGGATCGTGCTCCAGCAACAACGCCTCCAATCTTTTGATCTCCTTTTGCTTCCCTTCCTCTTCCTCTCCACTACTATCGTTGCCCAAATCCTGGTATACTGCCCAGTCATTGTCGTCTGCTCCAAAGTTGTCGTCCGCATCGTCGTCTTGTGCTCCTCCGCCTCGCCGCCGTTTGGATCGCCCGCTATCGCTCATCAACGCTGCAATGTTCTTCATTCTGTTTTGCGAGGCTAGCGACTTGCGGTCCTGAAGCTGAGCTTTAAGTCGTTGTTTTTCCTTAATAGAATCAACAAGCTTTCCTCTTTCTTCTCGGTGATGTGCAATCCATCCATCTAAGTCTCGCTCGCGCCATTCCGCGTTCTTGAGCTCTTCTTCCGCCTGGCGCTCAAGCTCTCGTTGTTTCTCTTCCTTGGCTCGCATCCGTGCATCATAATTGGCCTTGAGAAGTCGTTGTTTGCGCTTCTCTTTAATTTGTTCTGCATCAAGCTGGTCGTCTGGTATGTCCAACAACGGGAAGCTCGGTGGTTCCGCCGGTGTATCATCCTCACCAACATCTTCTTTCCGTGCCTTTCTAATAGCTCTTTGAAGATCATTCATCACTCTGGTCAGCGCTGCTTGGTCCTTAAACCCTTCGCGGTCTAAAATTTTCTTTGTGTCCTTTTTCGGGGCCTCGTCAACGCGTGTCTGTAACTGCCGGTAGTACTCCAAGTTGTTTTCCTTTTCAACAAGCTTTTCCAGTCGCATTTTGGCTGCTTGTTCTTGCAACCTCCGGCCACTTTCCTTCCGCCGTTCTTCAATCTGCCGCAGCTCCTCGGCTGTCTTTTCTGGCGCAACATTCTCCGTAAAGGGGGCCTGAACCACCCGCTCACGGTTCTCAAGACCATCATACTTTAAAAAATCCGCAAGCTCCTGCGCATAGTTCTTAGAAACATAGCAGTAATCACGAACAAGGCACATGGCTTGTGGCTGGGTAATCTTAGTTGGGAAATAGGGGTATTTCAAGTTGAGCAGATTCTGCATGTACGTAGCTGATTGTCGGCCTCCCCAGTTGATTCGTTTAGCTAGTGGGAGCATTCCCTTGCCCTTGAGTACCGGGATAACATGTGTAGATTCGTGTGCTGATGAAATGACAACACCGTTAGAGCCGCCATTGTAGTGGTATGAAAACAATGAGTCAATACCATAAGTTAATGATTGAACATTGTAAGCCTCGAAAAAAAGCTCATTGAAATTTTTGCGTTGGGCAGCCGGACATCCCAGCATTTCTGTCATCACTACTGGGTTATCAACCCGGCCTTCAGACTTGACTCCCAGACGCGAGAATGTGTAGTCCAAGATAAGCTCAACTCCGTCCCAGTTCGACACAAACGCGCCGTCAAACGGCGACCTCATACCGGACCGGCTATTGGTGTCGTAGTATGCATTTTGTCCAATCAGTGAGTACGACCGATTCACCTTGCGGTCCCTATACTTGGAATATATGGTGGGGAAAATGGACGCGGGACCTTCCTGTGTGGCATAGCCCGCACGCGTCTGATACGTGCCCATATCAATAAGAATGGGGAGACCAGACTCCCAAACACCATCGGTAGAGGCTTCAACTGGTGAATCATCTGAAGAAGGGTCTCTGAAGGAGTATATGTGAGTTGGAGGGACACCGGTATCCTTCGTTTCTTCTTTGACTAAATGTGGATCAGGTTCTGGCATGGTTGGGATGTTGGTTTTGGTTTTGGTTTTGGGAATGAGAATGAGAATGGGCTGTGGTGGTGTGAAATTTAAAGGTCAAAAATTTAAACGGGCAAACACATACAAAACTCATTTAGCTTCTGTAACTTATCATAACCAAAATTTCCCAAAATGCCAGGTCAGTTGTTCCAGCCTCTAATATTTATTTCCCTTCGAAAACATCGCCATCTTTTTCTAAACCACTATCCACCACCAACTCCTCCTTAATCTTCACCGTAGAAATCCCCTCACCATGAGTGACAACGCCACTGCACCAAACGTCCCAGGTTATAACATCCTGACCCTCATCAAGCGGTACGCATTGTCTTCTTCAATTGCATAGTTTTGTTTCTAACTTCCATGCTAGTCTTGAGGCCGCCACCTCGCGTCTTGAAGATCTCACTGTCTACCAGGCCGACTCTCTCAAGGCAATTGCCGATAGCGCCCGCAAGGCCTCTATTGAGAGCCCTGATTCACAGACCGCAAAGGAAATCCCAGATGCCGGTGCTGCCGGTGCTACTGCCGCCAGTTCTGGTGCTATTAATAGCACCTCCCCTGCTGCTGCTGCTGCTGCTGCTGCTGCTGCTGCGGCTCCCGAGCCCCCCAAGGAGGTTGTTGAGCCGGACTCCCCCTCCATTGTCGCTTTTGACGAGTTTTCTAAGGAGTTTGTTGCCCCTTACACTGCTGCCAGTAAGTCTATTGGCGAGCTTGTTGAGAAGCAGGCCCAAAACGTTGAAGCTGCCATCACTGCTACCCGCAGCTTTTTGCAAATCGTCTCTAAATCTAAGAAACCCGCTCTTGATAACCCGACCCTGGCCGAGCAGTATGCCACCATTATCAAGCCCTTGACCGATGCTGTCAACATTAAGGACTCTAAGGAAGCGCGTATTTCTAAACTGTCGAACCACCTCGCCACCGTGGCTGACGGTGCTTCGGCCTTTTCGTGGTTTTCTGTCGATAAGCCCGCCCCCTTCATCGGCGAGTTTAAGGATTCCGCCCAGTTTTTTGCCAACAAGGTGCTTAAGGAGTATCGCGGTACCGACCAGCAACATGTCGACTGGGTCCAGTCGTTCCTTAAGATGCTGACAGGTCTTCAGGCCTATGTCAAGCAGTATCACACCACGGGCCCTGCTTGGAACAGTAGTGGCGTAGATATTGCCGAGGCAGTGGCCTCCAAAAAGAGCGCACCTGCTCCTGCTGCCCCGACAGCTGCTCCAGCTGCTCCGGCTCCCCCTGCTGCTGGTGGCCCACCACCTCCTCCCCCCCCTCCTCCTCCTGAGTTCTTCCTGGAAGATTCCTCATCTGAGTCTTCTGCACCTGCTTCTTCCGGCGGCATGTCTGCTGTGTTTGCCGATCTTAACCGCGGCGATATGGTGACCAAGGGTCTCAAGAAGGTCGATAAGAGTCAAATGACCCACAAGAATCCGGAGCTGCGCAAGCAGTCTAGCGGTTCTATCCACAAGCCTGCTCCTCCCAAAAAGCCAGCTTCCCTGTCAACCCACAAGAACACCGAGACTAAGAAGCCCGCACGAAAGACTCTTGAGGACGGCAAATGGTACATTGAGAACTTTGAAAATGAGTCCAGTATCATCATCGAGGCTGAAATTTCTCAGTCTATCTTCATTGACCGCTGCGTCAACTCCACCATTCAGATCAAGGGAAAGGCCAATGCCATCACAGTCAATTCGTCTACCGGTGTCGGCGTGCTTGCTGAATCTCTTGTTTCTGGTGTCGATTTTATCAAGTGCAAGAAGTTTGGTTTCCAAACAACAGGTGTTATCCCCACCATCTCGGTCGACCAGTCCGACTCTGGTAACATCTACTTGTCCAAGGAGTCTCTAGGCATTGAGATTTACACCTCGCAGTCTACATCGCTCAACATTGATGTTCCCAAGGAAGAAGAGGGTGATTTTGATGAGGTCCCTGTTCCTGAGCAGTTTCTCCATAAGATTGGCCCTAATGGCAAGCTTGTTTCTTCTATTGTTGAACACTCTGGTTAAAAATAAAAATGATTATAGGTGTGAGAAAACAGTATATACATCCAATATTATTTACAAAGACTTATATTCTAGATGTTCAAGACCTCAGCTTGAGGATTTTAGAAAAATTTTTTAGTATTTTTCAATTTTTTTTTTTTTTTTCAATTTTTTTTTTTAAAATCAGTTGGTGAGTTTAAAACTTTCTTCTTCTGGTAGCATAGAACATGTAAGCACGCTCATGCATGTCAAGAGGGAAGGGAGAGATGACTTCGGAGTGACCGGGTCTTGCAACGGGGTCTCTGAGGTAGACGGCGTGGCAGGTCTCGAAGCAAACCTCAAGGTGATGAGGGAGAATGGCAAAGGGAGACAGGAAAGGTCTAGGAGCCCAAGGACTGAAGTAAGGCTTTTCCTGGTTCTGGAGACCGTAATGGCCACCAGATTGCCAAGGAAGTCTGATGGGGAGCACCGAGTTGGGGTCCTCCTTGATAGCTTCGTAGTCAATGAGCTCGAGCTCAGAACCAAGACGCTTGGTCCACTCAGGGTCGTAGGGCTCATCCTTGTTGATATCATTGGGGTCAATGAGCTGCTTCTTGGCGGCAACCTCGATCTGCTCGCTACGGATGCGCGAGATTTCAAGCAGCAGCTTCTTTACATCTTTGAACTTCTCAGGGCGCTCAGAAGCAGCGACCTGGGTGCCATCCTCACGGAGGGGAGGGAAGTACTTTTTGACAACAGCATCAACCTTGGACTCGTCAGCAGGGGCGACCTCCTCGGCAGGAGCAGATGCAGTAGTAGTGGTGGGTTCAGGTGTAGAAGGAGCGGCGGATTCAGTAGAAGCAGGAGTAGCTTCTTCCTCCTTATGAGCAGATTCTATCGGCTTCTCGGCTTCTTTTGCTGGTTCTTGTGAGTCGGTCTTTTCAGTCTCTTCAGCCTTAGGGATAAAGGCACGCTTGCCAGTGATGATTTGCATGATGGAAAGAGATTTGTTCTGGACGTCAGAGCCGTAGAGTAATGGGAGGGTGCCGAATTTATCAAAGTAAGGCTCCTGGAGAAGAATGGACTTCAAGATGGTGGCAGGAGTCAAGGCGTTAATGTCCTGGTTCATTTTCTTGAGAATAGTTGTGTTCTTTTCGGCAACGCGGGCCTGGCGCGATTGCAGGTAACGCTTGAAGTAAACTGGGTGTCTGCGTCTCCATCTCTGCTTGGCGTGCCACATATACTTGGGGAACTTTTTGCACTTTCGGAGGTACTTGTTGTAGCGGCGAATCATGCTGTTGGTAACATCGACAGACTGCTTAAGAGAAGGCTTAGAGCGACCAAGGGCTTGCAACACACGGTCAGGGTCAACAGAAAAGACGTCGCCAGGGGAAAGCTTGTAGCCGGCATGCTTCATGGTGACGCCATTAACTTTGACCTTGCCGTAACGAATGAACTGAGAAGCCTGGCGAGGAGAGGCAGCAAACATGGCACGGAAAACAGCCTGGTCGAGACGCTTCTCGAGGACGGCATATGCCTGCAGAGCAAAAGGCGTAACAGGAGCTGTTTTGCCGTCGGCCTGCGACTGGAGAGGAGCAACAGCGTTGAACTTGCCGTCGAAGGTGTTGCGGAACTGTGTCTCAGTAAGCTTTTCACCGTGGTAGGCACGGGTCTCGGCCTTAGCACTCCACTTCTGCTGGTAAAGAGTACCGCGACGAATGGTCTTGCGCCATGTGAGAATATTGTAAAGGTTGAATTTGTTGAAAGACGCTCTGATGCGCTAAAGAAGGAAAAAAAAACAAAAGTTAGATGAGATTCAAGTTATAAAGAGCTCTATAATGTACCTTTCTCTGGAGAGAAAACAGAAGGTGCTGACGCTTCGGCATTGTTCCTCAGTGTCGTTGTCGTCAACGGCTTAAAGATCAAATCTTAAGGGTGGGAAGGTAAAGTAGCGGAAAACTTTTGGCGGCTTTGGCGGTGATTGGGCGGAACCAGTGAAAAATTTTTAGCTAACAATCCGCTCAGCCAAAATAAACATGTAACAAATAGAAATCAGTGGGGTGTAATAACTGTCATTCTCATATTTACTCATAGTCAGTACCAGAGTTACGGGGTTTCATTAAAGTTTACTGGGGAGATCTGGAGGCCAATAGACAAGGACAAATCAATAAAAATAGGGGTTTTTTTTTTAAAAAAAAAATTTAAATATATTTTCAAATTACATTTAGTTAATCTTGAGAAGTTCAACCTCAAAAGTGAGGTTAGCGTTCTCAGGAATCACAGGAGGGAACCCACGGGCGCCGTAGCCGTAATCAGGAGTGATCTTAAGAACGGCCTTTTCACCAACGCTAAGCTTAGGAATACCCTCGTCCCAGCCACGAATCAACTGGCCAACACCAATGACAGCCTGGAAGGGAGCACCACGAGTGCGAGAAGAGTCAAAGGTGGAACCATTGTCAAGAGTGCCAGTGTAGTGGATGGTGATGTGGTCGCCAGGCTTGGGGAAGTTGACGCCATCGCCTTACATAAAAAGTTAGTCGTCTAAAGTCGCCAAAACAAGAATTCTTTAAAAAAAAAAATTACATACCTGGAGCAAGAGATTGAATAGTAACACCCATTTTGCGGATAGTAGAATGGAAAGATCTGGTTTGTTGTCTGAGAGTTCTGGAAAGCATTGGTAAAATGGTGGTGGTGACCAAGAAAAAAAAATTTATAAAATCTTAAATTTCCCTATGAAAAAAAAAATAAAGTCCTCCACTAGCTAGCTTTAACACATCACGTTTTATTACGGATACTGGCCTTTGGCTGGCCCAACAATACTCCCAGTAGGAATGGTCAATCTGGGTTTGGCTGCAGCGTCCAGGCCAGAGCTCGCCACTGTGTTACCCCACCATACCAGCTTTTTGTCGTGATATTGAACCGAAAAGAAAATGATGATGGCCGACAATGCCACCCCAGTCGTCAAAGACGCGGAAAGTACATAGTTGTACTTCTCCCACCACAATTGATACCGGGTTCTCAGGTAATAGTTAAACAGTACAGCAAAGTAAAGCCCTCCTGTAAAGTAACTCAAATTATAAGGTGCATATCCAAGCATGCCACCTAGAATCAAGGTCGGGTGCACATATCTTGTGTATCGTGGGAACCGGCGCCGCAAAAACGCAATTGGAAACGGTAGCAACCCTCCTATCAAAAAACACCACCGCAAAACTGGATACAATCCGTCAAAGATTCGTCTGGGCCCAATTACACCCCAAAAAACCGATGCCGAAAAGAAACTGTTGGCCACAGGACATGTAAACCGTTGAGGTTGCTCGGGTGTACAAAACTGGTCAACGTTTGATAATTGCCAATTGACCACACCAACAGCTACAAGAACCTGGAAAATCGTTGCTGTGACTTGGCCACGGAACATGGCTCGAGGTGGTAGCTTTGCGTAATGTCCCATTTTAAGGTCTGTCAAATAATTTTGAGCTTGCCCATCAATGTTATACCCATATGCCTTGAGAATGTTGATGGCTGTACCATTTCCTGGAATTGCGTACCCAATGATAAGCTCTACCAAAATATCAAGGCCAAATGCAAACCCAGTGAGAGCATAAACAAGTGTTATAGGAACCAGGAATACAATATTGAGCCCCATTGCAAAGAAAATACCCCATACTGGCGTATGGGTTGGATACCCCTTTACCATTCCAATACCCATGCCTAATGCTGCCAACAACAAAATCAAAAACCACCAGTCAGGAACCTCCTTATATTTTGACATCATTTGGCTGTGAACATCCTTGTAGCTAGCATAGTTTGATCTCTTGGGATTTTTCAATGTTTCCAATATTTCTTGGCCACTTTTTTTAATGGTTTCCCAATCAGTTATGAAACAGTATATGATTGCAAATGGATAGAGCGTGAAATTAGCACCATGAACAACCAGATTTGCTGCAGTGAAGAATGGTGGCGAATATTCTTGGTATTTAGAAACATCAAGTAGACCATTGGTCAAAACTTTACGTACATCGTATACACTACCATCATTTGCAAAAACTCGATTGGAATTAATGGGGAAAAAAGCTGTCCACTTATAATTTGTCCAAAAAAGAGCAGGAATCAAGACACACCCGGAAATTATAACACCAATATATTGGCTTACAAAGGCGTAAAATGGAAGCATAAGCGGATTATTGTAGTTGATGACAGTCCAATCAAATGTGGGAATAGGATTTATACCCAAGCCTGAAAGGGAACCAGTAATTGTGGCCAAGTTGTAATTATTAGGAGCAATCCATGTCATCCAAGAAAAAGTACTCAGAGCTGTAAAAAGATAATTTGGAACCCAAAAATACAAGAATGAAATAGCAAAAGTAATTAAGAAAAACTGATACCGACTAAGAGACCATCCATGGATGCGTTTTTTGGGCTCTTTAGATGCCAATGCTCTATTGAGAGCCAGCATGGGCAACATGGTAGGACAAACAGTGCGCACAGGGTATACAATAAGACGGCGCATAATACCTGCAAATCCAAATCCCATAAACTGGGTTGAAAAAACCAGTAGAAATTGGTATCCAGCACTAGCCCATGTGTTGTTATAGAAAAGTGGAAGTTTCTCTGCAATGATATTGAGATTGGCAGCATAAGCCCCTCGAACAGTGCAATTCACCAACACTGTCGTGAACATTTGTTCTTTGTAAGACCAAGGGCCTGGGTTAAGAGAGAACCTGCGTCCTCGTATAATTACACCCCAGTCAGGTAAAGTATACTGAAGCAATCTACCACATGGCATGATGATTATTTGAAGAACACCAGCAGCAATGGCAATGCTGGGCTGGCGTGGGCCAAAAAACTGATTAACGCCAGTACCAACAACGGCCCACACAAGACCCAGCAAATATGCACGGGGTGTATCACAAGGCTCCTCAGTATCATCAAATGGGACAGTGACAGCTCGTACTTCTGGGTATGGAGAATACCAGTAAATCAATGTAGCCTCAATCTTGGCTTCACGAATAAACCCTTCCTCGTCTCCATTTATGGCTGCTGGTCCATAATTGACCAAGTTTTCAATTTTATCCATAACAGTTTGTGGGAAATTAAGATCGTCATCGTGATGTTTAATAGTTTCTCTCAAAATCTCAATAGCTTCATTAGAACTCATTTCCATGTACTTATTGTACAAGAACTCGGCAACTGGGTCATTGTCAGACGAGTCTGGGTCTTGGCCAAACCGTATCAAAATGTCAGTGTTTTGAAAGCTTTCAATGACCTCTGATTTTTTGGAATTGGATGTGTTTGTAATAACAGGATTTGAATAACCATCTGAAAAAGAAGACGACATTGTTCCTTCTTGTAATAGGCTATCTTGTTCTCGTGGATCCACGCTAGTGCTTTTTCCAGAACTCATTTCATAGATACCTCTTAATAATGACTGCGAACTACCCGTTTTTATATATTTTTTTCTCATTGTTGGTAATTATTTATTTGATGAAAGAAGATATTGAGACTTCTCAATGATCAACAACTTAATTTCTTAATTAAATAGACTTGATTCCCCTCTGTTTACAAAAAAACCTAAAAAATTTTCTTAAAGTTTTGGAGCATTAAAGTTCAACTGAGACTCTGCTTAAAATATTTTTGATTGGTACATAATTATCAAATGTTCATATAATAAACGTTTGATTTTAAAAAAAATCATAAAATACTGAAAGAGGGGGTGTTCTATCGGTTTGATAGTACAGTGGGTCCCTATAAAGTAACGATGTGCAAACCCCACTTTTGCTACAACATCATATTTTTTACTTTCTAAGCGACAACCACTTCATCTTGAATTCCTATTTTCTCAACACCAATGACTCCAGTGACTTCCAGGTTTGAACATGGTCCTCTTAAGAGATCCAAAATTTATATGAAGTACGAATTGGGAATTTCCCAGCGGCGTATCGCTTTTGAGGAGGGAGTGCCACTAGGGTCTGTTTCTGGCATCATTCGACGCTACCATAAACAAAAAAATGCCTCCAGTTGTGCAAGGTCAGGACGACCACCAAAGCTTTCCGATAGGGATAAAAGGGCCATTTTCAGAGTCGTTAGGAAATATCCTTTCATTAAAACACAAGATCTTATTGTTGCCGTTGGTTTAAATGTCTCTGAACCTACTATTTTATAATGGCTCAAGCGTGAGGGCATCCATCATCAACGCGCCCTCCGACGGCCATTACTAACTCCACAGATAGCGGAAAAACGCCTCAAATTTGGGAGAATGTATAAAGATGAGCCAGAAAGCTTTTGGAAGCGTTGGATTTTAAGTGATGAGTCTACAATTGCTCGTGGTGATGGTGAAAAGCAGGAGTGGATTTTTTGCCCAAAAGTATGTTTTATTGACATCACTATTTCTTCATCTATTAACAAAGAACAGGGACAGCGATTAGATATTCAATATGTACAACCAAAAGGCAAACCCTCACGTCATTCTCAAATGTTCTGGGGTGCTATATCCTTTTCTTCTCGATCGTCTTTATGGTCGCTTCATGGAGACCCTGAATCTGCTCGCGGAGGTGTTACTAGCCGCTGTATTCTCGAATGCCTCCAAGACCAACTTCCAAAAATTGCAAGGCCAGGTTCTATATTTGCTCAAGATAACGCACCTACACATAAAGCTCGAATAGTTCAGAATTGGCTGCGTGAGTGGGCCGGACAGAATGGGGTTACTTTAGTGGACTGGCCGCCTTATTCACCTGATCTTAATCCAATTGAGAATATATGGAAACTGCTTAAGGAAAAGATCTGTAAAAGATTTCCAGAACTATCACTATTACCAAAGAATAATCAATCATTAAATATGTTACGCGATGCAGCTGTGGAAGTCTGGGAGGATTTCCATCAGGACCTCATAAATAAGCTAGTCTTATCAATCCCCCGAAGACTTCAAGCTGTAGTAGACGCAAACGGCTGGTATACGAAATATTAAACAAGTATATATATCCCTAAAGAATAAGGAACCTATATCTCAAGTTACGTACTAATTGAATTAAATTTGATAAAGAAATCTGTCTTGAAAGTAATGTGGTGAAGAAAATTTTTTTTGGTGATGTGGGTGTATAATCGACACTTTTTTTTGGTCATTGTAATATTCATGTTTTTTTTTTATAATGAATCATAAAAAAAAATAACAAATTGAATATTAAAAGTAAACAAATAATAACAAAATCTTCATTTGAGAAAGGCAAAAAATTAAAATTGTGAATTATAATGAGTGTCAGATATCGTTTTTTTTTAATAAACAAACAAGTCAATATTGTATTTATGAATTTTTTTGAAAAGTAGCAAATTATTTTTTGTATTGTCATGATTTCTTTTTAGGATAAAGATTTTTTCAACATCTCTTTTTTTTTTTTTTTTTTTTTTTGAATCCGCTCATTCTATTCACCTCATTAAAAATCTTGTATATAAGATTTTTCATTTCAAACAACAATAATTAATTAAAGAATTAGTTCTTGCAAAATAGAATCAACAAAATTTCAATGCAACTGTTTTCTCTAGAGCTATTCTCTTTATCAATGAATACTCAAAAATATTTTTTGTGAAAAAAGCACAAAGCTGAATGATTTGAAGTTAATTAATATATTATATTTACTAATCAATCTGTTGTTATCTTATCTTTAAAATCCTTTTATTTCTTTATATATCAATATTTTCTTTAAAGTGAAGCAGCAAAGCAGGTAAATCTTGTCATAAAAAAGATGCCCACAATGTCATTTGGAAAATACTAATGAGGCCATAAGAGTTGTGATTTTTTAATTTGGAACTTTTATTTTAAGAAATTTCTATAAAGATATGAATTTTGGTACGATTCTAAAGAAACAACTTCAATTGGCATATCAAATGTTTCCGTAACTGTGCCCTGGCCGAGCGAATTGATCTCTGTAACACCCATAAAATAAACACCCCCACATTAAACTTTTTTTTTTTTTTTAAATATTTTAGTTCACACTTTGGCTTATTGCTCACAGTTCAATTTCCAAAATAATCAAAAATTATAAAAAAAAACCATTTCTAAACTATTAAAATAATATGGTTATCTACGTTCATATTAATCAGTCTTGAAAAACAAATTATTGAGTAGTCTCGGCAATTGTTGAATACGAATGAACTAAGGTGATAATATTTTCGCTTAATATTTGAATAGTTCATAATTATTTGTGTAATATTTATTTATTAGACAATTGCCAATATGATCAATTTAGCACATCTGATTACGATTATCTTCACATGGTTTTTAATTTTCAAGTCTAGTAAACCCGTAAAAATAATGGTCATTCCCATAACAATCTTTTTACGAAAAACTCATTTTTAGCAACATTAAAAGTTTAGAAATTAATTTTTGGGGATTTACGATATTTTTACAGCAAACTGACATTAATCTTGTAGAGCAACATGTTGGTTATATTTTTTTTGGCGCGCAATATCCAGTAGCTTGGATTATTGAACGTGCAAATTAGGGTCATGGGAAGACAGATAGATAGGCTGTCTACAATACCCAATGTACGTCACATAGCAAAAAAAAAAAAAAAAAAAAAATTGAATATTCTAAAGGTCACAAAAAAAAAACCCTGGTTATCGGTACGTGGATCCATCCTGGCCAAACTAAATAACTTTCTACAGGGAACATCGGCTTTTCCGTGATGAGGCTGTAAAGGGTTATAGTTCAGGATTTTGCAATGCCTTGTGAAATGTATATTTAGTCTCATTTTTAGGTGTACATAGCTCCAACATAGTTATTTTAGCAGTAGGCATTTTTTTTATAATGAGCTTGCTCTATAAACCAGGCCTTTTCCAAACAACTTTGATATATATATATATATATATATATTTTACATCAACATTAATCATTTACTTCATCATTTAGCACCGCACAAACAGCTTATTATTCTCGGCTTTAAATCCATTACATCCCGGTGTCATTGGAACAAAGCGTTTATAGTTAACGTCATAGACTCTTAGCTGCGGTAATTCCAAGTACCCATCGGCTGTCAGTGTCTTTTCCGCTCCCTTATTTTGAGCAGACCCCGAGGTAATTGAAGCTCCACGTCCCAGTGGATGCATAATATATTCAATGCCACGGCGCGAAAAGGGTAGCATGCGGACCGTAAGCTGTTTGGGTCCCGTGTATGCAAAGTTCTCGCTGGAACCCATCATTACACTGTAGGTGAGCATATGCGCCGTTGAATTTTCAATGTAGTACCGGAGCTTCAGTGTCCGGCGCATCATAATATCACCAGAATCATCGCTCTGGGCCTCCTTATTGTGTTTGCGGTTGTGCGCAAGAATGGCACGGGCCTGGCGCATCGTCACAATGACGCGCGGCTCAATCAGTGGCATTGTGAGTTTGAGGAATGGCGCCTTATACTCATTCACCGGCCCATCCTCAACTTCTTCTTGTCCATCCTTGAAAATCTTTCGACGCCAGAAAATAGATATAAAAGCTTGAGCCTCTATAGCTCGGATCTCAGTTTCCTGGGACTTCCGGTAAGAGTCAATGATGTAAGATATTTTGTGGCTTTCATCGTGGTGGAGTACGAGCGGCTGACTATTATAGCTACTGCTGCTGCCGCCGCATCCGCTGCTCTTAATCACATCAAGTCCGGCCTCCGCACTCGTACTCAGTTTAATTTCCGAACGCAACACCTCAGCACAGGCCTTAACTTTGCTTTCATTACCCAATTGGCAAATGATGGAACTCTTAAGCTCCCAGCGCTTGTGGATTTGCGGGAATAGGAAAAGATTGCCTTCGACATCGGGGTTGAATAAGTTAGGCCAAACGTCTGGGTGTACGCGTGGTGAAAACTCAGAATAGATTGAAAATGGTCGCACCACATTAAGAAGATGGACCACAACGTCCTTTATGACAACAGTACTACTTTCGGAGTCCTCAGCACCCTTAGGGTAATATGAGACGAAAAACTGGAGATTGATGGACTTTGCAGAAGAATCCGTGTTGGGGATATTGATGGCAAGATCATAAAGTTCAGAGTGGCCAGGTGAAATCTCATAATCGGTTATAATATCTTCCTTGTCATTGATGGCAGCGGGTAATTGGCCCTCTTTACGCACCCAGCTGACAGGAGCAACATCACCTTTATCTGTGGTGGCTTTGGCTTGTATTGTGGCAATGACACTCTCCTTTTCTGCACTGGCAATGTTAACCACACGAACAAGGCTTTCACCAACAGCCACAGGGTTGCTCGTATCTAAAGTGACGGAAATAAGAGACGGGCGAGGAAGCAACCGTGCACGGTGAGGGACTGTGTTGCGGATATGTGTAGGAACAAGTGAAGAGTCATCTTGCCCATACCAGGTGACCACACCAGAGTTTTCTTGCTCTGGAGTCAAAGTAACAGTGAGAGAAACATTTCCAGAAGATGACTGAAGCTGGACATCTGCAATCTTGGAGTCGCCAAGGTTTTTAGGGATTTGAGAAATTTGAAAAACGCGCTTTTCTCCGCGATTGAAAGTAAGATTGGCTTCAGTTTCCAAAACATTGTCCTCTTTGCTACCTGCAAGCTTGAGCTCAGTAGGCGGAATCACAACTACTGAATTTTTCTTCAATGAGTCATTGTGTCGCACAATAAGAGATCCTAGACCCCCGCTCAGTGCGATACTAAAACGCTGCAGGGTGCAAAAATCGTCTGGCCACGATATAGGAATGGAACATGTAAGAGTGACCTGAGTTGTGACTGGTAACCCAAGAAAGCACTCAGGTGTGGGAAATACCGCTGAGGATTTGAAGCATGAGAGAAATGGCGAAGTTTTGATTGTTTGGGACTCGCCTTCTTCTTGAGTAATGCGAAGAGTTAATGGGGTTTCAACAGCCTTAACAGCATCTTTAACATTGTGATTATTGTCAAGAGCACCGAGCTCCAATTCCATAAGAAGTAACTCTGAAGGATCGTGTAGATGTAGATCTGCAGCTTTAGCTGCAGAAATGGCGCTTTGTAAAACAATTTGCAAGAGGGGGCCCCAACTGTCACGACGGTAAATTTTGGCAGCATCTCGAAAATGGCCCAGCGCATCTTTAGAATCACCAAGGCGCATACACGCTTCGCCCATTAGGTGTGCAGCAGATGAAACGCTGCGCGTGTTTGGAAATTTCCCACAAGTGAAGTCCTTTGCAGCAAAGCCTAGCAGCTTGCGTGCAGTAAAAGTAAGCTCCTGTGGGTCATATTCCGCAAAATATGGGTCCTTTGTTGGCAGTTTATTATGGCCATCGCAGTGGCTGGTAATTTCAAGAAGATTCTGTGCCGCGCCAAGGTACCAGTACCCACTTCGCGGAAGATTGTCTCCAGGCACCATGATGTCAAAGTTGATGGCAAGCGGACTCTCATACGAAATTAAAGTGCCTTGGGTTAAATCAATAAGGTTTGCAATGAGAGTGTCGAGAGAAGCGCGCCAGTGAAGAATGGATGGTGCGCTGGTGATCATAGTGAAATCCTTTTCTGCAATAATGGTGGAGACAGAAGACGCGTGAAGAATATATTTTTTGTGTGCATGGTTCCCCTGGCCAAGATAAAAGTATAGCTTTGTAATTTTATAAGCGATAAGATCAAGAAATTGGCGAATTTGTGACCATCGAAGAGGCGATGTTTCTGTAAGAGGGTGTAGAGTTTCAAAAAGCTCGAGGGCCGATTCATAAGTTGTTTCGTAGAACTTAATTGCAGGTTCAATTTCCTGGCGGAACTCTGCAAGAGCCGCAAGTTTGTAGTTGTAACGAACATCCCAGCCGGCATGGGAGAGTGGGGAGATTGTGAGGCCTGTATCAGTGTCTCCTGTGAGGACAACTTTGTTTTTAGAGCGTTTTTTGCGGATACGCTTGGCTATTGAGGTGTAAAAATCAAGACTGTAAGAATAAGCAAGTTGACAGATGGATTCTCCCAAAGTTTCAAGCTCAATTCCAGTGCTAGGAGGAAGAAAGAAAAGGCCTGTGCGGGCTGCAAGGCCAGTGTTTTTGCGAAGATAGTAAATGCGGTCATTAAGGCTGGCGTCATCTGAAGGCAAGACAGAAGATACAATAATGGCAACAAGTTTAATATTTCTGCTGGCAAGCTGGTTTTTGAGATCGATAAGTTTTTTAGTGAGAATGGTATCTGCGGCCTGTTGGTCATCCTTATTAGAAGAAGATGTATCTAAGAGGTGAATGCTGATGAATGTTGCTGGGAGCAGGTGGAGGTATTTTTGTGGCCAGCGCTCATTAAGGAGGCCATCTGGATAAAGCTCAGAAGCAGGGTTAAGGGGGGAAAGAATTGAATGTGTAGTTGTCGAAAAAGAAGATGAAGAGGATGATGATGGTGGGGGTGGTAGTTCACGTTCCGAGTCAATGCTGGGTTTAATGGAAGATGATGGAGAAGGGGATGAAGATTCTGGTGGTAAGAGTTTAAAGTCTGTACGGTCATTGACAAACTGGATATTCAGCAGGTATGGAATTGCACGTTTAGATGCGTCGACAGAGGCTGGAATCCAAATAGCTGGTGGATGAGCTTTGTTTGAGAACTTCCAAAAGAGTTCTGGCATGACGATGGAGGGGTCAGTGCACCCCACTGTGGACTCGGCTGCCTGGAGTAGAGAGTGGTTTGCTATAGATGAAATATCATCAGGGACAGTAGTAGTGTAATTATTCCATGTATATTTTTGAGCCTCAGGATTATTTAAAGGGATTTGAAGGCCAGATACGATGACCAGTGGAGTATGATGCCGCAGGGCATCTATGGGGTATCCAGCAGTCATTTGTGCGTTTATGTGTGGTAGGGTTGAAATAGAGAGATTAAATGGTGATGTGGGATTAAGAGGTGGTTTAAAGATTGGTCACGTGCGTTCATTGTAATTGTAATGTCATTATTTAATCATGTGATATATTACTTTATATTATGTAATGCTTTTTTTTTTTTTTTTTTTTTGAAATATTGTTATGGACGTTAAATTTACGCCACATGTTGCCGTACGTACGCTGCACCGTTGGGAAAATATTAAATCCTGGGGAAATCATAGTCACACAGAGCTGCGGCTTAAAATCAATTTTCAATTTACTGCATGAAAAATAATTGGATATCCTGAAAAGATACAAGCTTTTCAAAGAAAAAAAAAAAAAAAATTTCAAATAAAAGAAAAGAAAAGAAAAGAAAATTGTGGCTGGCTATTTGGGATAAGATAGTATTTTATCGCATATCCTATTTGAAAAAAATTTTTTTTCGTTAATAGGATGGAGGTAACTCTACTACAGATTTTTTCTACCAATGTTCATATAATATAAACGTAAATACCTCAAGCCACAGCCTTGAGATGCACGAGCAATGAGATAATGCAAGAAGAGTACCATTAGTCTGTAAAGGAAACTGGAAGAAAATGTGGATAGTTATTTAGGTGCAAAAAAAAAAAAAAAAAAAAAAAAAGGGCTTCGTTTGAAATGCCCACCCAATGGTAGAACAAGAACGCAAAAGTAAGAAAAAAGAGGGCAGATTAAAATGATCAAAGATAGTATATACTAAAGAGAGAGAGAGAGAGAGAGAGAGAGAGAGAGAGAGAGAGAAAGAAAGGGAAAGGGAAAGAGAAAAGACAAAATAAAATAAAAAAAATAAAAAGTTATTAGTTTACGAGATCAGCCGCTGACAATGGCGTCAAAATGCTAGGCAGGGTTTTAGAGGGATGATCATTCTTTGGAAAAAATTCCAAATTACCAAGCGGAACTATCCACAAGCCATATATTGGAAAAGAAATGGCGAAGCAGCAGTTGCCGCTGCCATGACTTTTAAGGATATTTTAAGATTAGCAAAACAAAAGAAGTTGCTTATAGAAAAAAAAAAAAAAAGTGTAGTAGCATGGCAATTGTTTTTTTTTTTTTTATTTGTTTATAAATAATTATTTTAAGAAGAATGGACTTTAAAATGTGAGAGTTGCTGAGAAAATCTTACCAATCCTCAAGCCCGATTTCTTCTCACACACACACACTCTCTCTCTCTCCAAAAAAAAAAAAAAAAAAAAAAAAAAAGCCACACTATTGTCACGTGAGTTCCAGCCACAAAACCAGCCGCATATTATTAGGTTTTCGGAGGGCGCCTCTACCTTTTTTTTTACATTTCTCTTAATTATAGATCACGTGATGTGGCGGGTCTTTGTAGTTCCTGCTGCTAGGAATGGTCGTCGTTTCTGTCGGGGCGAGCGCATAAGAGGAGGAGAAGAAGAAGGAGAAGGAGAAGGAGAAGGAGGAAAGACAAGTGTGTGATAATATAATAATAATATTATTATTATAATAATAATATTATTCCCTTCGTTTTATTTAATTTTTTAATTTTTTAATTTTTTAATTTTTTAATTTTTTAATTTTTTATTTTTTAATTTAATTATTTTTTTTTGATATGCGGGACACATCGTGGCGCAACTACACGTGACCCAAAAGCCACAAAAATACATCCCTACATACATTCTCACTGCACCTTTAAAAAAAAAAAAACAAAAACTACCATCGGACTTTGGCTGACTGGTTGGCTGACTGGCTTACTGACTGGCTGGGGAAGGAATGGGCGCGCCTCAGACACTCAAAAACGTCCCTCGCCGCTGCCAATTGCTGGCGTCATTTCGTGTGCCAAACATGACATCTAAGAGGCAGGTAACACACCCGGGCTCACTGGGCTATCAAATAAATACGCGGCGCTTTCCTCTGAAAAAAAAAAAAAACAAAAAAAAAAAATTTTTTTATTCTTTAATGAAAAAAAAAAAAAAAAAAAACATCCAGCATAAAAAAAAAAAAAAACTTGTCAAAAGGCTCGTCACTGCCCAAAAAATTAAATAAAAAAGGTCTCTTCTTGTCAATAATCTAATCATCTCCAAGTTGTAATAGTCCCCAAAAAAAAAAAAATATACACCCAAAAATGAGCCAGCTGTCCGACCCGATCATCGACCCGGTACCTGAAGACCCCGCACCGACTTCTATTCCCTCTCCAGCCACGGTTCCAGGTCCTGCGCCTTTGGCCAAAAAGTTCCAGTGTCCTCACTGTGCACAGGCTTTTACTCGTCACCATAATCTTAAGTCGCATTTGCTTATTCATTCCCAGGAAAAAAAGTTTGTTTGCGACGCTTGCTCATCAAAGTTTCGCCGTATTCACGATCTTAAGCGCCACCTTAAACTTCATACAGGCGAACGGCCATATCTTTGCCAAAAATGCGGTCGTAGGTTTGCACGCGGCGACGCGCTTATTCGCCACACAAAAGCCTCAGGAACTTGTTCGCTTGCTTTTGTTTCGGGTGTAGCCACTGCGAACAACAACAACAACAACAGTAGTACTGCTACTGGTGCTCCATCTACTCAACCGGGCGAGACGAGTCAACAACATCAACAACAACAACAGCCTTTGGCTGCGGGTTCCTCCAGTTTCTCTGGAACTGTGACTCCTGCAAACAAGAACTCGGCTACCGGAGCCCCTCAAAAACGACTGTCTAACGTAGCTATGCTGCTTCAAGACGACACACCGAGACCTGCCAAACAGGGTACCACAGACTATCGCTTTGCCACCGTTGAGTATGGACCTCAGCGCAAAAAGTCCAAGTCTGTTTCTGGTGCTGCTACTCTACCAACACCATCTATTACTAGTACCCAACAATCAACCCACACTCAGCAGCAGCAACAACAACAACAACAACAGCAGCAGCAACAACCATTACTCATTCAGCCCAGTCCAGAGCTCGTTCACAAACATGCAAGAACCGCTATTGCTGACATTACCAACCCACCATCTCCACCTCCACCACAATCAAATAGATCTTTTATGTTGATATCCTCGTTGGCTTCCAATTCATCTAAGCCAAGCGAACCTGCATCTGTTGACCGTCGTCGAAGTGAACCTAGTGCGAAATCCCCAACCCCGATATCAGTTCCTGTAACACGACACCCAAGTCCTAAAGATGGGAACAATCAAGTGTCTTTGCCTCCGATTGCTTCTGCGCAAACAAACTCTTCACGCATGCGTTCTGTATCTCTCTCCCCTTTGAATGGACCTACCAGCATTGCAAATCTTGTTGACCAGGAGACTTCTGGAGCACCTTCTACTTCTTCATCTGGTAGCTCAAGCAGTTGCGCAAGTAGTGCATCGAGTTCACCTTCTCTTTCATCTATCATGAACCCTCCTCTTAATCCTAAGTCTTTGGAGTCCTCTTCTGCTGGCTCGGAAAAGGCAGCTGCAGGCAGCACCTCCACAGTAGGATCCGAGGGGTCTTCTTCATCTTTACGCTCGAAAACTTCCAAGTCTACACCTGATTCTCCCTTGCCAGATATTAATAAAGCACAACCTCGCTCTCACGGCATCAGCAATCTCAATAATGGCAACTATACTAGCCAACCATCCTATCCTTCATCTGCCCCTTTCCATTTATCACAGCTTCAGTCACTGCCATTACCGGCCACACTTCAAGCAACTTCTATATCATCTGCATCTAAACCGCAACAAGCTCCTCCAACGTCTTCTACTTCTTCCCCCACAACATCTTCGCCTTCTTTGTTAACAGCTACAGCACCTTTGAGACCTCCTCCACACAAACAGGGTCTACCAACTACTACAGATCCCTGGGCCATTGTACGCATGCTTGAAAGTCGTGTTCGAGCCTTAGAGGAGCGTCTTAATAGTGCGGAAGGTCGTGTATTGTTTCTTGAAGGCCAAGTGGGTGCCATCCGCCAGTAAATTCTTTACTGAAGTCCATTTTTTCCACCTGTATTATAGTCTCTATTCTTTTTTTTTTTTAATGAAATTAATGACCTTTGTTCTATGCCATAAAAAATAACTGGCCAGGAACACATTCTCTTGAACTTGAAAAAACCTTTAAAATCTTTTAAAATTTTTTAAAATCTTTTAAAATCTTTCTTCTTTTTTTTTTTTACCGAGGATTAGTCATCTTGCAAAACTAGCCTGGTATTTTAATTTGGAACTTCAAAAAAAAAAAAAAAAATTAGTAGACCAAAACATGATTTCATTGTGGCTTGATGTGAATTACATAATTACGGAACGTAGCAGAAAAAATCTTTTTTGGAGCTCCGAAATACAGAAGAAGAAGAAGAAGAAGAAAAACCGCCCAAAAAGAACGAAAGTATGGCTTATTTGGTTAAATTTTAATTAAAGAAGATATTCGGTATCCGAATCTCAAATCATTAAGTAATGAAAAGAAATAGAATATCCAAACTTCTTACTCAATGGCCCATAATTTATCTTAGTGTTTCACCACTAATGGTGACTTTGGTGTTAATTTAAAGAGTTATTATCCCATTTTTTTTTTTAATGCTTTCTCTTTATACAGTTTTTTTTTTTTTTTTTTTTTTTTTTTTTTCAAACAAGGCTTTTTTTTTAATATTAAAATAAAATAATATTAAGGCGCAGGGGTGTGTGTGTGTGTATGTGAAGGGAATATGTCAAATATTTAGAAGGTGGCTAGAATGGCGAAATAGAATTCATGTAGAAACATCATTCCCCGTGATTTAGGAAGAAAGAGAGATAGATGGTTTAAACAAACATGTGGCACAACACAATGCATAGCTCAGGTTGATTAAATTGAGGCAAGATGACGATAGAACTGACCTAGTTGTGAAAAGGATAAAATCAATCAAGCCACTACACTAAAGAAAGAAATAAAAAAGAATCTGTTTTTGAAACATTGCACATGAAAAAATGCTTATGACGTTTGTGATTCTGTCATTGAATTTCAAACGGCTTTTTCTTGTAAATAATAAAAAAAAAATAAATAAATAAATATATATATATAAAAGAAGAAAAATACTTTGTTTGACAATGTTTTTTTTTTGTCTGAATCTTAATAAAGAAAAAAAAAATTCAAAACCAAAATTTTTTAAAAGTAAACTTGTTATCTCTGCGTCATTTTTATGATATTATGATGATATTCACATTATATATATATAAATATATAAAGAAACCTTAAAACAACAAAATCAGCTCATCATAAGTTGCAAAAAAGAAACAAGACTTGGATTCCAAATTGATTGCATTATTATTATTATTATTATTATTATTTATTTATTTATTTATTTATTTTTTTTTTTTGAAAGAACAATCTAAATTCTATATTTCATCTAATTAATCTTTATTTCAAAAAATGGTAATTACCTAATAAACACAATGTAGAATTGCAACCGATTATTGCCAATGTTTTGATTTTAATGAGAATGATGATACTGATCTACTACAATTAACAACTTTTTTTTTTTATTATTACAAAACGGATTGTAAGTGAATAACTAAATGATTATGAAGCTTTCCCCCCCTCAAAAAAAAAAAAAAAAAAAAGCAATCTTTATATTTTAGGAAATTTATCTTTTGATGCTTATTTTAAAGCCAGAAATAAAGACATATATATATATAGATGACCAAAAAGTCAATAAAACTTTTTGTAAGCATAAATATATATATATTTCTTTTGTAAAAAAATCAATAAATTTACATAAACCAATTGCATTTCTTAAAAAAGATTTCAATTTATTGACAAGTTTTTATTAAAAATAAATATCTTTTAAATAAAAATTCTATAGAAATCCCCCTTTTTTCTTTTCAATTCCTCAAACACCATTCAAAATTGGATTTTGGTTGTTTTGTCTGTGGGGTATATATATATATATATTTTTTTCTCGAAAGCAAGGAAATCAAACAATTACATAAACATGACTAACAATTACTCAATTTTTTTATCACATGCACTGTAGACCACCAACTTCCATTCTTCTCTTCTCCTCACAAACCTGCACTGTCCCTCCATTTCCCCCCGCCCCACACCCTATACCCCCCCATTATTCATCCTTCAAAAAAACTCACTTATTCTTCAAAACCAACCTCCAAGTCAAATTTATTTATTTATTTACATATATACTATTTTCTGATTCATAAACTATTACAATGGCTCAATCTTTGTCCACTTTGTGGTGGACAAGATATAACTTGTTTCGTGACATTCTTGTGGCCATTTTAAAAAACCCGTCACTTCTCAAGTCTACCATTCAAACACATATTCCCTGCAATACCCGTAGGAGATACCGCAATTCACTGATCCTCTCTTTGATTCTGATATCTGGAGGAATTTATACTATGGCTTACTACAGACGACGGCGGAGAGCCGGGCTCTCCGGGAAACAGCAACAAGAAGAACTTGAAAAACCAGGAAGCGGCAGTAGTGACGAACAAGACGAAATATCAAAGAACCACCATCGTCGGCGGTCATCATTTTTCCCATTTAAAGACACATTTACCGATCAGTATGAAATAATGGTACCTTACAAAAACGGCCAAACCAAGGTGGTGATTACCCCCACGCGAATGACGACTTTCCAAGCCCACCGTCGGTTGTTTTTCGACCCTGTGGCCAACAGTTTAAAAATCTCTACGGGGGTAAACCGTAAGTTTTTCCGCCAGTTTCTAGCCATTTGGTCCATCATTGTTCCACGTGTCAATAGCAAGTCATCTGTTCTTTTGATGGTGCATACTTTTTTCTTGTTTCTCCGAACGTGGCTATCGCTGGTCGTGGCCAAATTGGACGGACAAATTGTGCGCGACTTAATTGCTGCCAACGGACGAGGCTTTGCACGCGGGCTCGTGTACTGGTTGCTGATTGCTATTCCAGCATCGTACACCAATGCCATGATTAAATTCTTGCAAGCAAAAATCTCGATAGATTTTCGCACGCGGCTAGTACGGTATATACACGACATTTACTTGGACGACAACCTAGGGTTTTACAAGGTGAACAATATTGATGGAGGAGTCCAAGGAGTGGACCAGTATATTACTGCGGACTTAACCAAGTTTTGTGATTCTGCAGCTTCGCTATACTCGAGCCTAGGTAAACCATCTGTTGATTTTTTCATATTTTCATATCAACTTAGTCGAAATCTTGGTCCGTTGGCTATTTTTGGCATTTTTGGCAACTACTTTACTACAGCATGGTTGCTCAAGTCTATGGCACCACCATTTGGCAAGCTTACAGCAGTGGAGGCCAAGCTAGAAGGCGAGTATCGCAACGCACACTCACGAATTATTACAAATGCAGAGGAAATTGCCTTTTACGATGGCACAGAACTTGAACGGTCAATTTTGATCAAAACATACTCGCGACTTGTGGCCCATATCCGGGCCATTTTACGCATCAAGGTGTCATATAATATGTTTGAGGACTTTGTTCTCAAGTATTCGTGGTCAGCCATTGGATATTTGTTTGCGTCACTGCCTGTGTTTATGCCCAATTGGAGTGGACAGTCAGTAATTGATGAGAGTAGGCTGGTAAATACACCTTCCCAGGCCGTGACTGCTAATGTGTCGGCCACAATTGCAACAGCAGCTGCTTCTCAAGGGAACAGTGGTCGTGAAAAGGACCGAATGAGACAGTTTATTACCAATAAGCGGCTGATGTTGTCACTTGCCGATGCAGGTGGACGAATGATGTACTCCATTAAGGATCTTGCGGAGCTTGCTGGATATACATCTCGAGTATTTACCTTGTTGGCAACTTTACATCGGGTACAGGCTAAGGCATATGGAAAGAGTGCCAAAGACAAGACTACTGGTAAGAATACCCGACACCGGGTTGCTTTGTATAGTCTAGAGGATGTTAGAGGAACGATGCAAGAGGGATACAATGGAGTAAGATTTGAACATACGCCGATTGTAGTTCCTGGGCTTGGGAGAGACTTGTCTCCTGGAGAGTTGCTTGTACAGGATCTTAACATTGTGATTAATCCTGGTGAACATTTACTCATTTCTGGGCCCAATGGATCTGGTAAATCAGCGGTTGCACGGGTACTGGGTGGTCTGTGGCCGGTGTTTCGTGGACTTGTTTCAAAGCCAGTAGCTGCTGATATTGCATTTATCCCTCAACGACCATATTTAACTGTGGGGACGTTGCGGGAACAAGTGAGTTATCCTTATACGTCTGCAGATCTTGAGGAAATGGGAGTTACAGATGCGCATTTGGAAAAGATTTTAGAAGAAGTGAAGCTAGAATACTTGGTATCTCGTGAGGGAGGATGGGACGTTCATAAGCCATGGAAAGATGTGTTTAGTGGTGGTGAAAAGCAGCGAGTGATGTTTGCACGAGTGTTATTGAAGCAGCCCAAGTTTGCAGTGATTGACGAGGGTACATCTGCGGTATCATCTGATGTGGAAGGAATTTTATATGAGACTTGTCAGCGAGCTGGGATCACACTGATTACGATTTCTCATCGGCCATCGTTGTTACGGTATCATGGTGCTCAGTTACGATTAGGACTTGGAGAGAATGGAGATGAGTGGGAGTTGGAGAAAACTAACACTGAGGCAGCACGACTTTCGGTTGAACGGGAGATTGCAGAATTGGAGAGTAAGCTTGGACGGGTGGAAGAATGGAAGGCTCGTCGGCAAGAGATTATAAATGAGCTTTCTGGTAAATAGATTAAAAAATAATGTTATGAATGAATAAAGAAAGAAAGAAATAAATATGAAATCTATGGATAGTTTATAAAACAAGATGATGAGTTTGTATTGGGTATTTTAATTGATTTGTAAATATGATTGGAGGTTTTTATTTTTTTATTTTTTTATTTTTATTATTTTTTTATTTTTATTTTTATTATTTTAAATCAAACGGGATAATAAATATTATTATCACCTGTTTCTTTTTGATGATATATATATCAATTGATGACAGATTATCAACAATTGGTTGAAAAAGTTAAAGAAAAAAAAAAACAGATCATGAAGTAAAAAAAAATTTAAAAAAATAAAAAAAATAAAAGTGGTATTAAATTATTTTTTTTATTTTTTTATTTTTTTATTTTTTTATTTTTTTATTTTTTTATTTTTTTATTTTTTTATTCTTTTAAATTTTTAAATTTTTTAAATTTTTAATTTTTTTTTTCAATACATGATATTAATAATATCAAAGATTTACATATAATATTGTAAATATTTCAAAATCTCGAAAAAAAAAAAAAAAAAAAAAAAAAAAAATTAAAGTCATTCCACAATAAACGGTTTCAATTTTTTTTTTTTTTTTTTTTTTCCTTTTTGGAAAAGATGGATTAAAACCAATGTATTGGATATTTATAAGCTTAAAATGTTGTAAATTATGGTTGAGAGAGATAAGTAATGTGTTTTTTTGTTTATGTGTTTAGAATGGAAATTATTTACCCCAGATTATTATTATTATTATTATTGTGATGAAGATTATGATATGAGGATTATTAAATAAAAAGCCATGTTATTGTAAAACTTGTTTTGTATTCAATTACTCTTTTATCAAACATAGCGGAGAGGGTTTTTTTTTTTTTTTTTACAATATCCTTTTATAATTATCTAACAGTGTTATATATATATATATATATCATTTACAATTGATTCAATTAATTAATGGATTCAGATATTATCGATCTTTTATATATATCGACTATATAGTTTTCAAAGCAATATGAGGAATCAAAAAAAAAAAAAAAAATAGAAAATATTTTTTTTAGAGCAACTTATATTTAAGTTCTAAGTCCCAAAGTTATGGGAATCAGAACAAAACAGACATTATCATGTCTTTTTTTTATATGAGGCTATAATAATAATGATAAGCCTCATATTGCGCCTAAATGTGATGTTAGAATGATGATGGCCCATTTTCTTTATTTATTTATTTTTTTTACTTATAAGTAAATTATATATATATATATATATATATATATAGTGCAATTGATATAATTATCAATATCAATATTAATTATACTACCTCTGATGAGAAATTTGGACAAAATGAAGCAAAATGACTCAAAGAAATTTGATAATTTGTACTTTAATATTTGTATTTTTTTTTTATTGAAATGATGGCCTGTGTAAAAAAAAATATATATATATATATATATATACATATATATTGAACGACTTGGCTAGTTCATCATTATTATTATTATCAGAATTTATTTATTTTTTTTTTTAATTTTTCAGTCCTTGAATGATTAAAATTAAAAAAAAAAAAAATATTGTGAAAAAGGTAGTATTTAATTGTCTCATGATTGAATTGAAATTGAAATTGAAATTGAAATTGAAATTGATATTGAATGTTCAAAATATTTTTAAAAAAAAAAAAAATAAATAAATATTAAACGCATATTTTATAAATTTCTACAAAATAACTAACTACTACTAAAACAACAACGGCAAATTGTCAGCAGACTTTCTTTGCACTTCAATTTGACAATTTGACAATTTGACAATTTGACAATTTGACAATTTGACAATTGAAAAAAAAAAAAAAAAAAAAAAAAAAAAAAAAAATGTAGTGCGCGTGCCAATTGTAAGAATTGCTTATGTCAGCTTTCCTATAAACAAAATATAAAAAAAACAAAAAGGTCTGGTGATTTTTTTTTTTATTTTTTATTTTTTAATTTTTATTTCTTCTTCATTTTCTTAAGAATAACAACCAAAAAATAAATAAAAAAAACTACTCAATTATTCATTTATATATATATAACATGATTTTTTATTTTTATTTTTATTTTTTTTTTAAAAAAAAAATTATATATGTATATACAAAAAATGAACAAAATTAAAGAAACCTTTTTATTGCAACGATAATAATTTGTTAACTGGTTATTAATTTCGTATCAAGTCTTGGTAATTACCATTGAAATTCTCGAGACAAGGTTTTAAAAAAAAAAAAAAATCAAAAGGGACATTATGAACATTATGAACATTATGAACATTTATTATTATTATTATTATTATTATTATTATTATTATTATTATTATTATTATCTCATAGTTTTCTTTTTTTCTTTTTTTTTTTTTTATTAAATAAAACTTCTAGAAGCATTTAAACATTACATTAACTTGTGCATATAAAAAAAAAAGTATAAAATCAAAAGCATACTCTTTAATATATATATATATATATATAATTCTCATTTGTACGCAATCAATCTCAAATATACTATGAAATGTTTAAGGTGCGATTAGTATAAATAAACATATCCAGGGTTAGGTTTAATATGCGGTTGAATTTAATAGCCGTAGCATGTTACGTAAGACATTGATTGAATAGAATTAAAAAAATAAAAAAATAAAAAAAAAGTGGTGATATCTTGAGAAGAAGAAGCTTTTTTTTTAAAACCGCCAGAAAAAAAAGTATCACCACTTTTTTTTAAAGCCCAACAATAACAACAATCATTTAAAAAAAACACACACACACCCGAAAATGTCAAAACAGGCAACTTTTTTATATTTATTTTTTCTTAAAAAAAAAAGACCACTTATTAGAGTTTTTTTTTTTTTTTTTTTGACTTAATAATAACAACAAAGTGATCAACTATTGGCTACTTTCATTTTTTCATTTTTTTTTCACTCTTCCAACCTTTCAATCTTTCTTTCTCTCCGAGTAATTTCCGGAAAATGTATATAAAAAATTAACTAAAGTTAACTAAAGTTAACTAAAGCTAACTAAAGCTAACTAAAGCTAACTATTAGGGGTCGGTTGATTAAGATGCCAATAAATAATAATAAACATTTACGGTTGTATATATTTTTAATTCCATTTAAAATAGAAGAAAGAAAGAAAAAAAACATAAGCGATGAGATTACACAAATGGGTTAAAGGGATGAGAGATATTGAAAACTAGTTTTAAAAAAAAAAAAAAAAAAAAAAAAAAAAAAAAAAAACATAAAGATTTTATGTACAAAGTTTTGACTTTCCTCAATTCCAACGGACCATAGTATGCCATAGTATGTCATAGTATGTCATAAATTGGTAAAATTTTGGTTTATTATTATTGTATTATTTCATTCTTACCCACCAAAGTATTCGAAAATAAAAAAAAGAATATGGAAAAAAAAAATTATAATAATTATTAATCTCAAACAACCCAAAATGACCAAAGAAGGATTTATAGATATATATATAAATATATAAATATATAGTATCTCTTGTAGAGTTTCCTCAATTGTAGATTACTGAGGGGGTTCCTTTTTAAAAACCTTGTGCAAAAAAATGCGTGTATTATTGTAATTATAATTATAATTATGCATTCAATTGACGTGTCAAAGAAAAAAAAAATAAATAAATAAAAGAGAAATGGATCTTTAAATGCCGAATTCTATGAAAAAAAAAATAAATAAAATAAAATGATGATAATGGTGGTAAGATTTTTCAAAAAAAAAAAAACTGTTATTTTCTTTTTCTTGCCGCATTATTATTGAATATTCCGCCTTTTTTTTTTTTTTAAACTTATTTTGTGGGGAGATTTTTTTTTTTTTTTTTTTTTTTTTTTTCGAATAATATAGTAAATGATGATGCAAAAACTTTAGTATCAACTGATTTTTTTTTTCTTAGTGATATCAATGGCATGATCTAAGAATAAAAGAATGAAAGAATAAAAGATTCTTAAAAGTATATAAAGAAGCTCAAATCTCTTCAATCTTAGAAATTTTTTTTTTTTTTCTTTTCTTTCTTCTTTTCTTCTCATCAATATCATCAATCAAACACTTTCAACTCTTCAAACAACCAAACAACCAAAAAACCAAAAAACAACAACAATTTTTTTTTTTCTTCTTCATTACAAGAAAACTAAACCAACCCCACACACACTTCACATTCAATTTTTTATAAATCACAATAATGTTTGCCACTGCTATTAGACGCACTACCTACTCTGCCGGCCGCGCTGCTGCCCAGCGTTCTTTTGCTCCATCTTCTACCTCGCGCACCATTACCCATCTTGGTGGTTGGGCTGTTTCCATTGGTGCTTTCCTTGGATGGCCTCTTGCTTGGGCTACTATTGAAGAGAAGGCTCTTTAAATATTTTACTATTCTGGAGTTTATATTTTTCTGTTTTTTGCATAAAGTGTTTTTTTAATACACTCAACAAGGATTCTTTAAATGATGGGAATCTTTTTTAATGTCTTTTTATTTGACGAGTTTATGATTCTTTTATTTTTGATGTCTTTTTTTTTATATATATAGTTTTAATACAAATCTTTTTTCAAAAAATAAAAAAAAATAACTTATTTGCTTTAAACTTGATTTTAAAAATATTTTAAAAAAAGTTGAGGATTTGAAATAGTTGAATTCTTCATTTTGAGTTGCCTTATCCCCTCCCCCAAAATAAAACTAAGGGGAGGATAACCAGATAAAAAGTTTGAGTGGGTCAAGAATATCCAACCAAATGAGTTTTATTACAAAATTCAAAATTCAAAAAAATATTCATAATACCCTTTCTCTTTTTAATCAAGTCTTTAAAAAAATAAAAAATATAAAAATTGTTTTTTAAAAGCCCTAAAATAATTAATCAAATATCTTTATTGATACCAAGATTTGTATAAAAAAAAGGGTCCTCATTTTATTGTTTTTTTTTTCTAGAGATATCAGGAAATGCGGGGTGGGGGAGGAAAAGGAAATGAAGTTAAAAAAAAAATATAAATAAAAAGGGAAACCTTCCATATCTCATCTCCATAATATTTATTAGGCTCATCTCATTGAAAAAAAAAAAAAAAACTTCTAAACTACCTTAAGAACGGCACTACAGGGGAAAGGGGGAAAAGAAGAAAAGTTTATTCTTTTTAAGGGTCCTTAGACTAGTTATCTACGTCATATTAATTTCCATTTATTAAAAAATAGAAGATTTCTTGAGGGGTTAGTTATTTTGTTGCCTTATATTTTTTTTTTTTTTTTTTTTGGTGCGTTGTGTTGAGAGAGTGTGTGTGTCTGTGTATTAGACAATCGCGGGAACAAAAGGGCTTTGACGGGGACGGGAATGGAGGAGTACTTTTTTTTATTTTTTAATTTTTATTTTTATTTTAATTTTAATTTTAATTACTTGTAACAAACTTAATTAAAAAGTGTTCAAGTGTTAATTTTTTTTTTCTTGTAACATATATTACACTTACATCGGGCTTTGTTAATGTAATTGTGTTTGTGGTTAGGGTTATAAGATGTTTATTTTTTTTTTGTGTTGAGATGTTAGGGTTAATATTTAATACGGCTTTAACACACACACACACACAAATTTGAAGAATAGTTTGATATATCCTGGATCTAAATGTGAGAAAGAAAGAAAGAAGGAAAGAGCATTTTAAATATCCATTTTATATTTTTATATATTTCACTTCAATTACCAAATTTTTTTTTTTTTTCATTTCATTCAATATTAAAAGTCTCAATTGACTTAAGAATCTATTTTTTTTTTTTCTTTTTTCTCTTTTAAGTGGATCTTTTTTAAAAAAAAAAAAAAATAATCTTATAAATTTTTATTTTAAAAAGATCATGAAATCCACCCTTTTCTTCTTCTTCTTCTTTTTTTTTTCCCCCTCCCTTCCTCTATGTAGATTTTCAACATATATACACATATTCACTCATACACTCATACACTTATTATTATTATTATTATTATTATTATTATTATGGACTTTTAATAATATGACAATTACTTTTAGATTCCTCAAAACACATTGACACAAAAGAATGAAAATAAAAAAATCATTCCACTTTAATGAATGAAAGAATGAATAAAAAATACCTCTACCGGAAATGATCAAATTCCTTGTTACAAAATAAAAAAAATAAAAAATAAACAAAAAAAAAAAAAAACTATGACGGGTTTAGTACACGGGCTTTGTTGAAAGGCCGAGAAGTGGGGAGGAAGATGGAAGATTAGAAAAGGTGGTTGTGATGATTTAAATTTAAAAATTTAAGGTTTTTGTTTTTGTTATTATTATTACTAAATGTTTATTTTTGAGTAACTTGGAAGAAAAATTAAAAAAAAAAAAAAAGATAAATATACAATATTTCAATCAATCAATCAATCAATTAAATTGGATTTTTAAACAAAAATAAAATGAAATAGAAATCATTGAATTAATGAATTAATGAATTGAAATTGAAATTGAAATTGAAATTGAAATTGAAATTGAAAAAAAAAATAGAGACTTTTTTATTGAAGAAAATATTTAATGTTTTTGTGTTAACTAGATACCCCATATTAATCAAGTTACCATACTATAAGATACTAATTGGTAACATTTTTAACAAAGAATGCACACACAAGCAGCAACATATCCACACATACCCACACACACACACACACACACACACACACACGTTACTATCACACACATACACATGCACTTTTTAGTTTAGTTTAGTTTATTTTTCCCTCGGGGAAGGGAATTGCAAAAGGACTCTGCCAAAGACCGCACGCCAACTAATCAATTTAAAGTTACAACAAAGTATTCCCCAAAACCATTATGTACCTACCCATATAATAATGTATATCTAGAATAAAAGGGAGAAAAAAAAATAGGTCATACACAGATATCTCTTTTGGCTAAATGGGGAGGAATTTATGATGATGTGGAGTGATTTTTTTTTTAATTCCTTTCGAGGAAGAGGGGATTAATCTTCGGGGTTTCTCTTTTTTTTTTTATTATGGAAATCAATTGTTAAATTGTTAATATTTTAAAGGAAAAAAAATTTTTTTTTGTGAATATATAAATAGAAAGAAAAGACCTAAAGGGATTTGAAAATTTTTTTTTTCTTTCTTCTCTTTCTTTTATTCATATCATTCATATCATTCACATCTTCAAAAACACAAAATCTACTACTACTACAACATAAACTTCAATTATTAACTTTTTGTTAAACACAAAATCCTTTTTTTTTTATTCAATTTACTTTAAATAAACTATACACACACATACACAAAAATGATTCCTACTGTTGCTCGTCTTGCTAAAGTTTCTGCTGGCCGTGTTGCTGCTCGCCGTCAATTCCCTGACTCTCCTACCATGCGTGTTGCTAAGAATCTTGCAGGTTGGTCCGTTGTTACTTTTGTTTATTCTCTGTGGCCTCTTTTTGTTGGAGATCTTGAGTATTACCGTTTCCCTGTGAGTCAATCTCACACTCAATCATTTTTCTTTTAAAGATAAGGGGAAGGAAGAAAAAGAAAAAGAAAAATAATAATATAAACAAGATAATATCAACAAGATAATATCAACAAGAAAAGAAGATGATGTTCTTCTAAGGTATAGAATGAAAAGAGAGAATGATTAGCAATTTGGGTTATATTTTATTTTTTAAACATATAAAATAGCTACTCAAATGATTTGGACATGAAAAAAAAAAAAAAAAAACTGCATTTTTTTAACAACAACAAGGAATATTTGCACTGGGTGCTACTATTCATTTTTTAATGACCTCTTATATATAAATATGTATATATATTATTTTAATTTAAAAAAAAATTGATAAAAAAAATTTAATTTAAAACTAGTTTAAACTTCAATTAACAATTTTTATTTCTATTTTTTTTTTTTTTAGATTAAGTCCATCTATTTATCTATCTAATCAGTGTTAATATTTATCTTTTTTATCAGTGATTACCGCCGTCTATCTTTTTGTTATTGTTAAAATTGAGGTTTTTTTTTTTTTTTTTAAAATATATATATATATATATAAATTTTTGACTTTTTTTGTGTCCCTCCATTTTTTTTTTTTTTTTTTTTTTTTTTTTTTTTTTTTTTTTTTCTCAACGGTGCGTGTGGTTATTATGTGCAACCCATCACCACCACTATTATTAATAATAATTATATTAACAACCATAAATAATTAACCCTAAAAAAAGAAATCCAAAATATTGTTTATTTTTATTTTTATTTTTATTTTTTTTTTTTTCGTTTCTTCTTTTTCCAATCTTCAAATCTTCCAATTACTTCTAACTCATTAATCATTATTAAACTTCTTCTAAATCTTTTTAACAATAAAACCTTAAACTCATTTTAACTTTTTTATTTTTTTTTAATTATAATGAAGTAGACCCTGAAAAAAAAAAAAAGACTTTTCTTTAAATAAAAACAATTGATATATATATTTATTTCAAATTTTAAAAAAAAATTAATTTCACAATACTAATAATAACACACACTAAAAATACAAAAAAACATTAACAATAACGAAAAATAGAAGAAAAAATGCAAAGCTTTAACAGAAAAATAATAAACACCAAAACAAAATATTAATAACACCAGAAAAAAAAAAAATTTAAAGAAACCCAAAAATATTGAAAAAAAAAAAAAAAAAAATGTTCACAAAAAAGTTCACAAACGTCCAAAAATCACAAAAACTTCGCAAAAACTTTATCTTCCAACCAGCCCACCTTCTCATAAGAAGAAAATAATCTTGAAGCCTTATTAACATCAATACGACAAGCCTTTTGAGCATCAGTACGTCTAAACGGCAGACCTTGACGTAAACGGTGCACCTTTTCTGCAAATAGTCTCTTCTTAGAATCCAAGTATAGCTCAGCAGGTAAACGTAAAGTGGCAGCAAGAGGCACCTCAGCAGGATGTAACAAGTGCATATGAGGATCGCGCGACAAGTCCATAGGAGATCCCTTCCATTCAGTCTTAAGCTTCTTTCCTGGTGGTAATAGAGTTGCAGGAGGAGCATAATCTGGAAGTTCTGACGCTTCCATATCATGTACTCTAGAAGGAATAGGAGTTGGACGAGGTTTACGTTGAAACTGATGAGGCTTAGAGGCCCGTGGAGAACGCTTAGGCGAAGACACAACAGGAGAAGGACAAGACACTGAAGGAGTAGAAGCACGTTGGTTAATACTAGAAAAGGAAATGGGGCCATGGGTACTAGTACTACTAGTACTAGTACTACTACTAGTATTAGAAGCAGGCAAAGCCACACATGTAGGAGGCTCTGGGGTAGCAACAGGAGAAGCAAATGCAATTGGTGGGAGAGGACAAGGCGCGGGGGCAATGGGCTCAAAGTGCAATGGCTTGCGTGGAGAAGATGGTCGAATATCGTCCTCAATTAATGATGAAATGGCCAAAACACTAGAAGGTTTGGGTGAAGATACCACAGGTTGCTTGGCCACGCGAGCGCGAGCCTGGTTAGTGCGATGTCTCGATCTAGTTGCAATACCATCCGAGTCATCGTAATAGGTAGGTACACGGCGCACAGACTTGCGTGGCGATGGTGCGCACGTGACCAAACCATTGTTATTATTATTATTATTATTAGACAAAGACTTGATTGATCTAGTATTTACCGATGCATGAGCAGTCACTGTGTAGAATGAAGTGTAAGCTCCGTGTGGTTTATAATTGGCCAAAAAGGCGCGCTCGCGGTTCAAAATAGTTCGGGGGTTTTTGCGAATTGCATCCCAAGAGCACGAAACCAAAGGCACTGATGTCTTTTCAGTCAATGTATAGCGAGATTGGTAGGTGCCAGTGGGATAGTCGGCGAATGGAACAGTCACGGGACCAGTTTCAATAGTCCGACGCTCGGCTCCAAGTTGGGCAAGCTTTGATTGTGAAGTTCCTGGGGCAGGCTTATAAGCTGCACGGGCAGCAAGGGTCTTCATTGGGAGAAACTTGTGAGGAAATCTATCAGCTGTTGTAGTTTTATGGCTTAAAGATTGATCCGAGTGCAAATCAGCTGTTGTAGAAAGAAGTAATAAAGAAGTGGAAGGAACTTCAGCAAGGTCTTGTGATTGAATTTCTTCTTGGTCAGCAGCTTCAGGTTGTGCAAAATCAGTCAAAGCGGCAGTGCGGGAAGGAATGCCGAGAGGCTTGGCGAGTCTGGGATGCGGTGACATTGGGGGCGAAGGCATTGATAAAGCTAAGGCTGCTGTTGCAGGGGAAGTAGTTGTGGAAGCAATAGTAGTAGCAGCAGCAGTAGTAGTAGTAGTAGTAGTAGTAGTAGTAGTATTAGAAGTAGAAGTAGAATTAGTGGTAGCAGCTGAAGTTGGAGTTATTGTTGAAGGCATTGTAGCTGAAAGAGTCTTTTTAATTGCCTTTGAGTATAGTGATGGAGGCTGAGTAGTCATTGCTGATGAAACAGCAACTGGTCTAGAAAGATCGCTATGGGACATTGTTGGTGTTGGAAATGCCGATGATGGTTGAGGAGCAGCCTGTGTTTGGCAACTACCAAATGATGACATTGTGTAAGGAAGTTTTTTTTTTTTTTTGATTAAAGTAGTAGATAAGCGAGGTGAATGTTTATTTTAAATGTTATTATTTAAAATAGGTAGTAGATTGTTGATGTTGATGTTGATGGTGGTGATTGATAATAATTGATAATAATTGATAATAATTGATAATTGATAATAATTGATAATTGATTTGATTTTTGATTATCAATTGTTTTTTTTTTTTTGATTTGATTTTTAAAGAGATGTGAAAGGGAGGGAAAAGGAAAAGAGAAGAAAAAAAAAAAAAAAATTTTTTTTGGGAAAATGGCGGGAATACAAATGTTTATATACAAATCACAAAAATAAATAAATAAAATAAATAAAATAAAAAAAAAAATTTAAAAAAACAGAGAGGAGGGAGGGGAGGAGGGGGGTGGAAGGAAGGCAAAGAAAAAGCAAGGAGAACAGTCTGTTTGGGGTAATTAGTGAGATGAACAGCAGGAATAATTAAGATTTATTGGATTTATTCTATTTATTCTATTTATTTTTTTTATTTTTTTTATTTTTACGTAAATGATCTTTGAAATACCCGCGAAAAAAAAAAAAAAATAAAAAATAAAAAGGCCTAAGAAAAAAATTTTTTTTTTTTTTTTTTTTTAAATTTTTACATTTTTTTTAAATTTTTTTTTTTACACCGCGGGAAGTAAAAATAAACCAAATAAACTAAAAAAAGAAATGTCAATTATTTCTTTTTTTTTTTTCTTTTTTTTTCATTTCTTAAAGGCAGCAGTTCTATGCAACTAAAAAAATTTTTTTTTTTTTGAAATTAAAAATAAGAAAAAAAATTTTTCTTTTTTTTTATATTTTTTTTTATATCTAATTCATCCACACAAACTAAAGTAATTACTACTCATAGACAAATATTAATAAATAAAATTATAAGAATATCGTTGGTTTGGTTTTTTTTTTTTTCAAGAAATTTTAAATAGGAAAAAAAAAAAAAAAAATATAAAAAAAATTATAATATACTCAATTCATAGACAATGGCCTAATTGCTAAGAATTGAGTATAAATAGAAAGATGTTTATATTGGTAAATATGATTGTATATATATATATATATATATGTGTATATAGAAATAGAGAAAGGAAGAATAGAAATCTTATTGATAATGACTGATTGAGAAAAAAAAATTTTTTTTTTTTATTTTAATTATTTATTTGCGATTGATAATAAATCATGAAAATCGGAGTTTCCTCTCTTACAAAAAATATTAAATTTATTTTAAATTTAAAATAATTAAAAAATTAAAAAATTAGTTTTTGATTGATTTCCCAAATTTTTATTTTTTTTTTTTTTTAAAAGTCTCGAATGTCAAAAATTTTCTTCCTAATCTTTAACCTTGAGATTTTCCCATCTGATTTCATCAATTGACTGAATGACCCGCTCAGCTTTAAAAAAAAAATAAATAAATAAATAAAACCTTCTTCTTCTTCTTCTTCTTCTTCTTTTTTTTTTTTTTTTTGTAATTTTTTGAATCCCGGGCTTTTTTTTTTTTTTCCATTTTTTTCTTCTTTATATTCTTTAATTTTATTATTTTTTTTTCGCTTTAATCCGCGCTTTTTTTTTTTTTTTTTTTTTTTTTTTTTAAAAGAAAGAAATATATCAATGTCAATGCTTGGCTTTCTATTTTTTTTTTTGTAACTAGTTAACTAATTGACTGACTGATTCAGCAACAGCAGCCCTTTTAATTTCAGTCGCATTCTATTTCTAAGCCATTATGGATGGCCATGTGAACTTTCCTTTTGTTGATTTTTTTTTTTTTTTTTTTTTTTCGAATTGAATTGAATTGAATGACACACCCTTTCATCCCATAACAAGCCCCAAAATTAACTTTATTATGCTTATTATATTTTAAATATATATAAATATAATATTTAAAATTATTATTATTTTTTTAAACACCAATACACCTAATAAAGTCATAAGCCTCCTACTGCCTTTCCATAAAAAAAAAAAAGATTCAGATAATAATAATAATATACTCAATTATTTTTTATATTTTCAATATTTTAAAACAATTCTTGTCGAGTACTACAAATTAAGAAGCGGGGATAAGATGATTATGATGATTTTATATATATTTAAAAAAAAATAAAATAGAGCAAGAAGTAGGAATGTAGCAAAATGGCAACTAAAAAAAAAATAAAAAATAAATAAAAATAAATAAATCATAGGAGGGGGCCAGGTGACCAAGAAACCGCGGGACCCCCCCCTCTTCGCCAAACTATCTTTAAAAAATGATGTTGTATTGATGGGTGGTATAATCGCTAAAAAAAGAAATCCCCCCATAATAATAATAATAATAATAATAATAATAATAAATAACATTACATAGCTATGACTATAGTCTTGAATCGATCAAGCATAACTTAATACAACTCAATTCAACTCAATTCAATTGCCGGACAAATGCAATCGCAAGATCACATCCATTGACTCAATTGTAGTCAAATTATAATCAATTGAAATTCTTGCTATTTAAAATTGTTATTATTATTATTATTATTATTATTATTATTATTAGCAAAATAAATAAAAATCTAATTATAAATATATCTTTATATATTATGTAATTGTTTTAATATATCCTTCTGTTTGATTCCCTGATACAAGTGGTGCACACGCATCCGCTCCTATGACTTTTTTTTTTTTTTTAAAAAAAAAATTTTTTATTTATTTATTTTTATTTTTATTTTTTTTTTCTGCGTGCCCATACACACCGGATTGTTTTCCCGTTTAGGTAAAGCCCGCCTTGCTTGTTTTCCGCAGTGATATAGTTCATTGTTACGTCAGTTCTTACTTAATTAAACTTGAGTAAATTGTGGTCCCGTGTGCAAATTTCCCAGCACCGATTTACGGTCAAATGTGGCACTATTTATTTATCCTTTTTTTTTTTTTTTTTTTTTTTCTCCCTTATCAGTTGCAACACATTCTACGAATGATCTTTCATTTATTATTATTATTATTATTATTATTATTATTATTAAAAATAGATAAATAGATAAATAGATAAATAAATATTTGGAATTCCTTAAAAGCTTTGTTTGTCCATGCTTTTATAATTTCTTATCAGTAATAGTAGTATTAATGACTTCAATTGCAATCATTCTCTCAATTAAAATGGAATTAATTATAATTAATTATTTTTTTTATTATTTTTTTTTTTGTTTTTGGTCTAAGAACTCTTCTAACTGATAAACCATTTTCAATAATAGATTACAACTGTATGACTTGATGTAATTTCAAAAAGAAAGAAAGAAATATATAAATAAATAAAGAAAGAAAAAAAGAAAAAAATCTCGTCACTTTCTAATATGCCTTGCACCATGGCACTACTTTCTTATTCTTCAATAAAACAAGCCACCAAGTATACATCACAAGCCCCATTCTTTATTAACTAAACTTTTTTTTTTTTATCAATCAAACTCTTCTTCATAGTCACCGGACTTCCGTAGTTTGCAATCCTGACTATGCCGAATTCGCCTCCAAAGTGGCGTTTTTTTTTTTTTTAATTTTTTTTTATTTATTTTTTTTTACTGTAGAAGAATAAACAGAATAAGGGCTAAGAATTGATTCAAAAATCAGAGCATGGTATATATATATATACTAATGTTTAAGTATATATATACAATACAACAATATATATCAAAGTGCTCGGTCTTAAATGACTCCTCATTTTATAGCAATGATTTTCATATTATTCATATTTTTTTTTTTTTTTTCACAAGCAAACACAAGCAAAAAAAAAAAAAAAAATATTAAAAAAAAAAATTAAAGTAATCATTATGGTATTAAATGATTATGATTATGATGAAAAAAAAAAAAATAAAATAAAAATAAACACCAAAGTACCTTTGGGCGTGTAACTTCTCATTTTGTAAAAATATTTATATGCTTATACTCATATCCATATATAGTTTATATTCATACCATCATCATCAATATTTTTAACCCAAAATAAAAACTTTCCAACAAAACAAAATAGAATTGTTTTTTTTTTTTTTTTTTTTTAATAATAAGGCTCTTCTTTTTTCCTATTTTTTTTTTTGTAAATAGATAAATATAGTGAAATTATTTTTAATTATAATAATTAGTTTCTTTCTTCAAAAAAAAAAAAAAAAAAAAAAAAAAGATTTTTTTTTTGGACTTTTTCATTTCTTGCCCCGCATGTCCGTACTCCAATACTTGCAACATGTACATTATGATTACTTTAGCTTCGGCAGTTTGTTCGGCAGTATATTTAAGTACCAATGCGCGTGCCATACTATTATTATTATTATTATTATTATTATCATCATCACCAACAACAACAACAAAAAAAAAAGAGGGGTGCAAAGAAAGAATTGTTTAGAATGGATAAAAGAATTGTTATTTCTTTTTCAAATAAAATAAAATAAAAATCTGGATGAAGAGCTCCGAAGAAATGAAAAAAAAAAAGAAAAGGAGGAGGAGTTTTTTTAAAGTAAATAAGTAAATTAAAAAACAAAACTTGATCATAAAATATACAAATATAGACTAGAGTAAGTAATAAAAGGTTTCTAATTTTTATTTTTATTTTTATTTTTTGTAATCAGTCATTATGATGATGATCAAAAATAGACTCCCTAAACATTGCCAAAAAAAAAAAATTATGATGATGATGATAATGATGATGATGTGTCTGATTCCAATATTGCTAAGTATATATTAAGCTTATGTCAATTAAGCCAACTAATACCAATTATGCCAATTAATATCAATTAATATCAATTAATATCAATTATGCCAAATATAATAATTATAAACCATTACCATTACCATTACCATTACCATTACCATTACCATTACTTGCTATTCTAATAAAAAATAAAACCACTCCACCCAATTTTTTATCGTAACTCTTGAAGGTATCTACAAGACTGTCGTAAAATACGTTTTATTTTTTTTTATTTTTTATTTATTTTAACCAACTACAAACAAACAAACAA